TTCTTCGCACTATTTTAAGAGTTTCTTTTGCCCAAATATCATTAAATATTAAGTAAAATAATCTACTACATTCAAATAATTATTTACAAACTCTTCCATTGATTTATATTAAACATTACTTTTGTTTATTTATCCAAACATTATTTATTATTTTTCAATTAAAACCTCTTTAAATTTTTTATTGAAATATTCAAATTCTTTTTTGAATTCTTGAATATTCATTTCTTAAGTATTTTTTTTGTTTTCTTCTTCTTATTTTTTACGATTTTATTCTTATTATATTATATCTTTTAATTCGGCTTTAATTTTCTCTAAAGAAGGTTTTTTTTCTTTATTTTTACTACTACACATTTCATTTATTAATTATTTTAGTTTATCTTATGTCTTATTTTCTTGTTCTACTTCAAAAATATCGTTCTAATAATTGAGATTTTAAAGAAATTCTTATAGAGAAAGAAATGATTTCATACATTATAGAACCAATCCAAATTAAAAAATATCATTTTCTTATGTAGGAAAAAAGCTACTTTATTAACTAATTTAAATTCTTATTTCGGGAGAATGAAAATCATATGAAGAAATAAAAGATGATTTTATATTTTCTTTATTTTTTTATGATTAAAAAAAATAATGTAAACCCCCATCTATTACTTTTATTTGAAATGAATTATCTTTCTACTCTTCTGATATAATTTATTTTTCTTCTACTTCTAATCCTTCTTATTTTAATTTTTCATAAATTTATTTATCGTATACGAATATGTTTGTTAAACTTAAATTTCCATGAACTAAATTTCTTTCATGATAATATTTAAGGGCAGAAGCTATTTTCTTACCGATTTTACATATATATTCAGTATCAAATATTGAGGCTAAATTTTTGTGTTTTAATATATATTCTAAAGAACATTTTGGGTTTTGTAAAGGAGATATTATATATTAAAAATTTCGAATAGTATTGTTTAATAAATGTTATTTATAAAAAAAAACCTCAAAAAGATCAATATTTTTGTTTTTTTTAATGTTTGTTTAGTGAAATAAATACAAATATTATATTTTTTAATTTAAATCAGATTATTTTATTGTATAAGAAAGATTATTAAATTTAATTAGAGGAATCTTTTTTAAAGCATAATTTTTAAAATCATTATTTATTGTAAAACGATACATACATAAAGTAACTAATGATGATTTTTTAATTCCTAAAATACACTAGGAATTTTAAAAAAGTTTTATATGAGATAAATCTTTTGAATCGCAAAATATTATCCTATCTTATATTTATTGTTAGGTTTATAACATTATTTTAGAAAAAATATCTTCATCCATTTAAATAAAAAATATTTAATCTCAAAAAAAAAATAAAAAAATATAAATTATTTTAAATTTTATTATAAATTAAAATTTATAAATCAAAAAAAAAATAAAAAAAATATAAGAAAGATATGTAAAAATATAAATATAAATATAAAAAAAAAGATTAAATATATATAAAACATATAGTAAAAATATATATATATTAATGTATAAATATATAAATTTATAAATATATATTATATATATATATATATATATATTTATTTATTTATATGTTTATATATTTATATACTCTTTCTTTTTTTATATATTTAGATTCATAAATTATTTAAAGATATTTATCTTTTTTAATTAAATTTATATATATAATTTTATTACACATTATTCAAAATTTTTAATACTACAAAATAAAAATCTAAATTTAATTTAAAAAAAGTACAGAAATACATACATTTTTTCATATTTATAAAATTCAATAAAAATTTCTTATATATTAGAATTTAATAGAATATATTTTCTTAAAAAGTTATTAAATTTATTATTATAAAATAAAATATTAATTTATAGTAAAAATATTTAATTAATTTATTAAAGAATAATTTAAAAATATATAAATTAAATCTTATATTTATTAAAATGAATAAACTTCAAAAGCTTCCTTTAAAAAATTAATTAAAAACTGACTTAAATTAATCCAATATACAAGAAAACCTTATGAAAAATTTCTAAATATCTTAGTATTTTAGACAAAATTTAGTACTTTAAACTACAAGTATTTCTACTTATTTCTCTTCATTAGTAAGTACAAGTTCAGGAAGAGAAAAAGTTTTGTCTTTACTTTAATATTGGTCTGAATTTTTATGTATATGTGGAAAGCATTCAAATGTAAAGTTTATTTAAGATTAAGTATCCTAGAATATGATTTCCACTATACGGTTTATGTATGTTTTTAAAGAAAACTTATCAAATGCACGTAAGACTTTTAGGTTATTGAAATTTTTGGATGATTTTAAAGGGGTTTAAAGAGTAATGAAACAAAAGAAAAAGCCAAACTTTTTCAAATTTTTAGGATTTTTGGGCCATTATGCATCTTTTATGTATTATGTTAGTGATAATATATTATTTTTTGTAAATTTACTTGTAAAAGCGTAAAAATAAAACTATTTTTTTTCATAGATTGTATTTAATTTTTTTTATTTAGTAAAATATAATCAAGAGAATTAGAAAAAAAATGGAAAGATTAAAAAAATATGTTTTCTTTAATGAGAATTATTTCAAGTATTTTAACTCATATTTGGAGTTTAAAAATGAGATATTAGTAAAACTAAATATTTTTTTTTATTGTTTATTATATAGAAAAGCTGGTATAGTACTAAATTAACTTTAATAATATGATGATAAAATTATCGAAAAAGATAATATTTCTTAAAAGTTATGCTAAAAGTTAATTTCTAAAAAAAAAAAATAAGAATTGAATGGATGTAAATTACTACAGATATTTGTAGACTTTTAATGTTGTATAAAAGCCTTAAAATATTTGGTTATAAATATTTAGATCCTATTTTTATTGGATTTTGTGGATTATGTATGTATATTTTACTTATTAATTTATTTATTATTTATATAGTATAATCATCTTTAAGCTTATTTAATTTAATAATTGATAAAAAAATATATGTTTAAGTATAATCTAATTACAGTATTTAAGACTTTAAAAACATTCTTAATATAAAAAATAATCACTTAAATGATTTTGATCAAATTGTTGGACATAAATGGTAAAATTATAGTAATGAAAATATAATTTTTTGAATTTTTTATGATAAGATGGAAATATGTTTGTTTTTATAAATTTTTATAATATATATATATAATATAATTTTTTTTTATTTATATTTAAATCTAATAACTAAATTATTAATTATCAAGGTTTTTATAATTAACTATTTAAACTATTTTATTTTCGAATCTCAGGCATATAGCAATTTAATTATTAACTATTTTAATTTTAAGTAATATCATAATCTAATAAATTTCTTTTAATTTAAAATATAAACCTGAAAAAAATAATAAAAAATTACTTTTATTATTCTAATTATTCAATTTTTTTTTCTAATTTTATTATTTCTTAAGAAATCTCTTTATGTTTTTAATTTTGAAGGAACTATTAATAGAATTTAAATTAAAATCAGGAAAATTAACAATTATTTATTCATGAAAAATTTCTCTTTTTAAAACAAGCCTTATTGCTTTTTTTACATTATTGCATAATTCACAAGACTAAAATTAAAAAACAGACTTTTCTTATTTAATAAAGCATACAAGTTCTTTTTTATAATATATATATGTATATACAATTTTGCTTTTAAATACCGTTAGATTCTCCCTCAAACCCTTAATAAAAATACTCATTATTATAAGGTATTATATTATATATATTTGTTATTTAATCGTCTCCAAACGAATGAACTATTATATTATTTATCCCCAAAGTTAAATATATTGGAATATTATTATTTTTTTTGCATTATTTTTTATTTTAATTAGTATGTTAAAATTCCTTTTGGAGGAACTATATTATCACTTTAAATTAATTCAAGGTTTGTTACTATTACTTATTTATATTATTGTGTAAACTACTTTTTTTATTATGGTATTAGATTTATTGTATTTACAATTAAATCTCTTTGAAATGAGTATCTTGCCTAAAATCTTATATTCTTTCATTAATACTCACATAAAAGCAGTCTTCCTCGTAACCTTAATTCGCATTCTTTTTTTAATATTATTTTTTAATTTTTTAAGTTTTACTTATATATTTTAAAAATCATATTTCTATTAGTTTTCTTAATTTTGAATTATTATTTCTTAATTTATAAAACTTATTATTAAAATTAGCAATAGCTTTTTATAATTTAGTTTTATATAAAAATTATTCTAGATTAAATATAATTTTTTTACTTTTTTATTGTTATCTTTATAGACTTCAAATGCACTATATAAATATACTTTTGATTCTGATTTAAAAAATAAATCGTAATAAATAAAATTTAAACATTAATACCTTGATATAAATCACATTATTCTTAATTAATAGCTTAATACAGAATTGCTCTTATTTAATAAATATATTAATATTATTTAACTTTCTTTATTTTTATAATCAATTAATTTTTTTTTATTTATTTTAATACTTATTAGTTTTTTAAAATTGCCTCTGCCATCGAAATTTTCTAACATAATTGTTAATATTAATCAAAATTTATAATATTTTAAACTCCAAATCCTTTTACGAAGTCTTTTTTATTAAAAACATAGTTAATATCAAAAGAAATAGGATCGTCTTTTGTTTTTGAAGTAATTTATTAAAAATATTAATTTTCGAATTAGTCAATTGAATATTATATTTAACTACTAAATTAATTTTTAAATACCATTATTGCTCTTTAGTATAAAATGAGAAACATATATAAAAAATAAAATAAAAAAAGAAAACTTTTAAATATCTTATTATGATGATTACATATTTATTTAAAAAATATAAAAAATTCCGAAAGGATCAAACCATTTTGATTAAGATAATGCTATATAGTCATTAGGAATATTTTATTCTAATCTATTTGTTTATAAATTTTCTTGATTATTTTATTAGTTTAAATTCATATATATATATATATATATATAATTAAAAGAAATAAAATTCTAAAAAAATATATATGTATTATCAATAAAAAACATAAATATTAATATAAATTTCTTTGAATCATTTATAAAAATATTTTCAGAAAGAACTTAATCTCTATCTAATATATTCAGTGAATTCTCCATTTTATAATATTTCTAAAGCTTCAGAAGCAGCACTAAGTTCAGAGGCTAATTATGCTGATAATTCTTCATTAGCTTTTAATAATTATTCATAATTTTCATTAGTATGTTATAAATCGGCTTATGATCCAGCTAAATCACTTTCTCTTTATGCTTTGAATTTTTCTTACTCATCAATTGAATAATTAGTAGCATCAAGACTTAATTTATCAGAATTAAGAACAGTTAAAGTATCAAGATTATTTTATTCTAATCTTTAAACTTCTTCATCGTATTATTTTTATTATAATTATTCTTATTATTTTTCATCGGCTTAAGATTTTTTAATGTTTTATTAAATTTGACTCAATTTTTCAATTACATCTCTAACTAATCTAGCATCAGCAAATTCGCTTGTTGCTAATTAAACGAGAGCTTTTGCAAGAGTTTCGTGGAGGTGTTTTCCGAGTTTGTTTTAGATTTTTTAAAGGTTTGTTTTGGCAAATTTAACTTAAACGAAAGAACTACCAGCTAATTATTCTAATAAGTTTAATGCTTCATCTAATGCTGATAAAGCAGATTCATGTTCTTCTTATCTTTCAAGATAAGCAGCCCTTTCTTATTCTCTGAGATTCTTTATTTTTTCTAATCTAGCTTTGTTTTCAGCTAAGTGTTATTCACCACTTACAATATCGTCTTATAAGTTCTTTCTACGAGGATATAAGTTGTTCTAAAGATCTTCTGTAGCAATTGATACATCAGTTATAGCAGAATCAATTTCTCCTTATAATTTACCGACATCGGCGCGATATTAAGAAGTTTTTTCTTAGAAATAATTATCTTATCTTTCTTATTTTTCTTATAAGTCTTCAACTAATTAAACAACAGCTTCTAATAAATCGTTAACAGCATTATCTTCAGACATCATATGGAGTTCAGCCAATGTCAATATAATCTTAGACCATGATTTATCTTTTTTTAAAGCTTCAATATTTTTGTGGGCTTATAATGGCTTCTTATTGGTTAAAGCAATAGAAGATACTATTAATAATGAAAGAATTATAAATTATGTTTTCATATTTTTTTTTGTAATATTTTTTTTTTTTAGTTTTATTTTTAATATTTGAGATTTTTTTTTTCCCTTTGGCTTTATTTTGTTTATTTATTTCTTTTCTTTTTTTGGTTTTAAAAACGATTTGCTGTTTTAAGAATTTTTTTATTATAAATATTTAAAACGGATAAAAAAAAAAAAAAATATTCAAGTAAAGAATTATGTTTGCATGTTTTAGAATGTGAAAAATAAATATATAAAAAATATATTTATTAATAAATAAATAAAAATTAAATTTGTTTTAATATAAATAAAATAATACTAATAAAGAATATTTCATAAAATATTTTAAATTAATTTTTTTTATAATAAATATAATGATTTTATTGTTATTATAAATTATTTTAATAATTATAAATACATTAATGAAATTTATTATATTAATTATATGTTATATATTTTTTTTTCCTTTATTATTATTTTATTTAATATTTTTTTTATTTTAAATTTTATATAAACTGTATTTAATATAAATATAATATATTATTAATTTTTACCTAAAATGAATTTTCTATCAAAAAAATGCATTTTTTTAAAAAACAATATGTAGTTACATCATCCTAAATTTTTTTCATCTTTAAATTATGATATATGTAAGAAAATTACAAATTTAAATTATTTTTTAAAAATAAAAACTTTAGCTGATATTATAAAATTAAAACGTGTAAATGACAAAAATTTTATTCAAATATAAGGATAAACAATTTTTTTTATTAAAACCATAATATTTAGTAGTTTAAATCAGATTTAAATCAAAAAGGAATTAACTCTAAAACAATAAACTTTAATAATTTAAACTAAAATAAATATTCAGAAATTACTCCTTTATAGTTAATTACCTAATCTAGTTTTTTTTTAATATAGAAGGACAAAGATATGTTGTTATTAATACATAAGGCGAAAATAATTTAAAAATAGGTATCGAAAATGATTATGAAAGCAATTTAAATTAAAGTGGAGTATTGACTCTTATTGATTAAACTGGTAATAACTTTTAATAGTAAAAGATTAATACTTAGTTTATTCAATAGTTTATCTCTCTTTTGTAATAGTATAAAGATTAATAAATTGATAAATAATATATACTTTTATCTATGTAGAATATTCTAAATTAAATATCTATTGAAAACTAAAAAAAAGAATCATAATTACATAACTTTATAGATATTGCGTCTCAAAAGGTAAATGAGTTATAATAATAGTAAGAAGATTTATAAAATACATATATTTATAGAAAGCAAAATGTTTTTATTAAGAGATTTTTTAAATTAGTTTTTCTTTAAATTTTCTTTCTTTAATATTTTACTTATATTTAATTTAGTTGGGATATAGTTGAACCACTTACTTGTCTATGCGGTATTTTTGATATTATAGTTTCTTATTCTTATTGGCTCATTACAAATAAAAATTATAATTATGTGAGTTTATGGCAAAGGAAGGCATAAAATGTTGCTAATAGTAAATATATTTAAAACTAAATAAATTACTAAGATTTAAAAGATAAATTAGAAATAATATAATATTTGTAAAAAATTTTAAATTTAAATAGCACCTCAATAGAAAAAACAATAAAATGAAAAAAAAGTGACTATTAAAAAATATATATTAAAAAAAAAACTATTAAAAGAAAAAGAAAAAGAAAAATCATATAAATACTTTTTATAATAACTTTAATAGATTAATCATAAATAAAATAAATAAATTATTTTAATAAATATATAGAAAATATTATTTTATTTATTTAATAAAAAAATATAAATATTTATCAAATTTATTATTGAAAATATAATTAAAATATAAAATCAACAAGATATAAAATAAAAAAATATACAATATATCTATAAAAAATAAATAAAATATTATTCCATAAAATAATTAATAAACTAAAAAAAAAAATTATAATTTTAAAATAAAAATCAAATTAAAAAATATAAAAATATTATAATTATATTTTAAAAATGAATGAAGATAACCCATTTTATTTTTCTGATGATGAATAAAAAGATGATAATATAATTTAAGAACCGAGAGATCAATAAGACAACTAATAAATTAACAATGGTATAAATAAAATTTTTATTAAAATAATTATAAAAATAACTAAAAAAAAGAATTTTATTTTTAAGGAGAGTAAAATGATAATTTGGGATAATTTGATAATGAAAATGCTTGTGATAATCAAAATTATTAAAATAGATAGTAAAGCATAGAAAATATAACAGGTAATAACCAATAAAATGATTATAACTAAAAATAATAATCAAACACATAATTCTAATAATAAATATAAGAAGTCTAATAATATCCATAATAATAGATTTGTCATTAATAATTGAATAATGCATAATAAAGTTAATTACCTTAATCACCTTATAATGTAAATGATAATATTTAATAAAAACATACTTTTTTGGGTTAAGAAAATATTTAAAGTGAAGATAATATTTAATAACTTTAATAAATTAATACTAAATATAATTCCAAAGAATAAGAATTCGATTTATCTCATTTATAATTAGTATAAAATAATATAAAAAACTAAGATTTAGTAGAATTATAAATACCAATTAGTTATATAGAAGATTTAACTATAAATGCCTAAAAATCAAATTAACTATTTGTTCCACCACCCTATCATTATACAAGATTTACTTCTGATATTAAAATATCGCCTCCTAATTTAAAATTGATAACTTAAAATAATTAATATTTTAACTTAGGAAAAATAATTGATGTAACATATTTAATTTTTATATTAATAATATGTTATATAAATTATAAATTTAATATATCTAAAATTTTATTAAAACTTTTAATTTTAGTTTTAGAAGATTAATGCAAAACACAATGAAATTATTGATTTGTCATAAATATAAGACGTTCTATAAAATTAAAAAAGTAATAAAACATTTTATAAATACTTTATCAAATTTTTAATTTTTAAAAGCTGTTTATACGAATCTCAAAGATATCAACTCTTCAATCGCTAAAAAAACTTTAGAAATTCTTTAGAACTCTTCTTATGGTGGTGCTTAATTAAACAATATATTTTTTTAGGATTTATAAAAATTAATAGTGAAATTTAAATAACTTTGCTAATTAGCAAAAATACAATAAGTATAATTTTATTATGAATATATTTTTTATATCTAATTTTTTTTTTAAAGGCAAAAATTTAAATATTATAGATATTTAAAAATGAAAAATAATAATTTGACTAGTCGTATAATATTTTATTACAAACAATTTAATAGATATATTAGCACAATTAAGAATTAAATATTTAAAATTTAATTGAATGATATTTAAATATATAAAAAGGTTATCTAATAAATAATTAATAAATTAAAATAATTTTTTGTTTTTCTTAATCACATTTTTATAGATTTCTTTGTATTAATTTATTATATATTAATAAAAAGCTTAGCAATCGTTAATACAGAAAATAATATAACAATAAAAATAATTTCTCAAAATATATTAATAAAAAATATATATCATTTTATTAAAAACATAAATAAATATGTAAATATTTTTAAAATAATTTTACTTTTTGATTAAAATTAATAATATAAATATTTTATTGTCAATTTTTTATAAAAAATTCTTTTTAGTTATTTATATATTTCACTTTTTATTTTAATTTAACCTTTTATATTTCTTTAGCTTATAATCCTAGTGTTTTATTTTTTAGGTTCTTTAATTAAATTATCTTCATTATTTTAATCTTATACTCTTAATATTTTTTTTTAAATTTTATCTAAAGTAAGTTCTTCTTAATCTTTTTTTCTAAAAAGATATCTTCCCCAAATGTATCAATAAGGAAATTTTTCATGTCTTCTTATTTTAATTCAAATTTTTTCTCATGTGTAAATATAACTTTCTCTTAAGATCACTAGTTATATAAGTTTCAAATATTTATCCAGGTAACATCTTTTAAATAAATATGATATATATATTTATATATATATATATATATATATATATATATATATATATATTTATATATATATTTTACTTTTCCAGTTTTGTATGGTCCAAAAACTTCTCTTTTAAGTCTACTAACTCTTAAATCAAGTTTTTACATAACTTTTCTTATTTCTCTATTTTTACCTGTATAAAGACCAATATCTAACCAAGTATTTGTAGTTTGTCTTCTATCTATTTCAGCATGAAAAGGCCCATATTATACACCATTTATAATTACTCCTTATCTTAATTTCATCAATTTTTTTTCATCTACTTTGCCTTATACTCTAACTCTGTATTATCTATATATTTTAGATTCAGGTAATTCTAAACATTAAGCTATTTCGCCATCATTAGTAAGAAGAATTAAACCTTCAGAATTAAAATCAAGCCTGCCCTAATAATTTTAAAATTTAAATAAGATTTTTAATTTACCACTGCTTATATATGATTATCTCTAAGTTGTGTATTATTATAAATATATTAAAATATCGTAGGTCTATTCAAAGGATCTTTTATAATAATTTACAAAATATAAAATTATAATAATTATTTTAAAATTTTTATTATAATTTTTTATATGAAGGATTTTAATTTTATATAAATATATATATATAACCATTATGTGAACATATTAATCCTTTTGGCTTGTAGAATATCCATATTTTTGAATTTTATTTTATAGGAATTTATTTTTCGCCTTGACGAGTAAATATTTTGATTTCATTTTCTGGAGTAACATCTATATTAGATGTAGCTTTTTTACCATCTACAAAAATTATCCCATTTTAAATCATTTTTTCAGCTTATCTTCTTGAACAAACACCAGATCTACTTAAATATTTTGAAAGCCTTTCCTATTCTAAAATAATATAAAATAAATAATATTAATAAGTAAAAAAATGTAAAATTTACAAAGCATTTTTCTTCTTAATCTTTCGAGCTTTAACTCTTATAATACTTTTTAATTCTTTAATAATTAAATTCTAGTATTTTCATCTAAGCTTTAAATATTTTAAATATCACTATTTAATATTGAATTATTAGGATTGATACTATTGTTTTCTTAATTGTTTTTTTATTAAGATTAATTATCAATATTATTTGATTTTTGATTTTTTATAAATTTTTCTTATTTTTATTTTTATTCTTATTTGGATTAATTTTCATTTTAAATATCTTACACAGTCTTATTTTGATTTATTATATTAAATTTATAATCTTTATTTTAATTTTATTTATTTTATTTTATCTTTTCATTTTAATTATTTTAGTTTTCAAGTTCATTTTAATTGTCGTTTGTATAATCCTTTTAACTTTATTTTTGTAATTGATTAATATTTATTTATTCTAAATTTTAACTTTGTATATTTAATTTGGCATTATCTCTAATATTTTCATAATCTATAATTTATTTAAATCTCATATTTTTTCTTGCAAATTAATAATAACATTTATTTTTTATAATAGGTATACTAAATAAAATTTTACTAAGATTGTTCATATTCATTGTTTATGTTATTGTATTTTAATTTACAAATTTTTTTAAAATATTTATATTTTTAGCTTTATTAATTAGATATAATTTTATTTAATTTACTTTAAGTTTTCAAATTAATTATTTTTTAACATGAAATAGTAATTTTTATAATAAAGTTTAATTAAAAATAATTTTATATATATTTTTTAATTAAATTATATAAAATAATAAACCACAGAATCATAAAGTATAATTTTTTTAATTTTTAGTTTTAATTTCAATTATATATTTTTTTTTAAGATATGCTTATAAATATTTTATTTTTATTTTTACTATAAATTTTTAAAAAAAATCAATACTCACAATCAATAAAAAAAATGCTATTATAAATTTATTTGGCCTATTTTTTTATAGTTATAGTTGATTTTTTTTTTAAAAAAAAATCACATAAATAATTAATATACTAAACTAAATTAATATTTTCAATAAAATAAAATTATCAAAATACGAAATGTATAAATTTTATTGTATTATTTTTACGATAATCAATATAAGATTTAAATTATGATATTTATAAAAATAATATGATTTAATATTTTCTTATTATTATATTTTGATTTAGTTTAAATTTTTTTATTTTTTTATTTTTTTTATTTATACTATTCTATGCTCAATCTATCTACTTTACTAATATTCTATAAGGAATAACATTATTCTTCACATCTCCAACTATAAAAGCTCTATTAACATTTTATAGATTTTCTAAATGAGAATATAGTGCTCTGCATTACCAAATTATTTTATATTTTTTGCTTAAAAATTATACCTCTTGAACATATTAACTGCATTTAGAAGAATCATCAAAAATGACTTTGGTACTTTCCATTAATTTTTTAAATTCCAATTCATCAAACTATTTTTTCTTGTTTTTCAAAATTAAATCAATAACTTAATTAATTTGTTAATTGTAATTGCCTTAATAGAATACTGGCCAAGTTTAGACATCAATTTCTTTAGAAAACCAATTTTAAATCGTTGATTCAATTTTTCCTTTTATATTTATTCCATAACCTTAAAATCCTACTGGGTAATTATAAATAATAGGTTACATTTTTTATTATTAAACATCATAATAAGATCCTCTATAATTTTGGTTGTTTACGTAATTTTTATTTTGCCAGTTATTATTAAAATTTTTATCAAATAATTAATTTGTTAAAAGTGTATTTGCAAGTAAAGAGTTTAAAGAAAAGTTAACTTGTATTTTATACTTTTCGAAATTTTAAAGCGAAATAATTTTAAGATCTTCAGGTAAAACAGTTTTATTTCTATCAATTTTAAAAATTACTTTAATTTTATCATTTTTTTCTTATATTAAATTGAAAACAAATACTTTCTAGTATTTAAATTCTTGCGAAACTAAATCCTTAAAATATGAAATAAAATTTGTAAACTATTATTGACTCGAAATAATTTTATTATAATAAAAATGCCCTTAACATATGATTTCCATTTCAAAAAATTAAGAATAATGAATAGGTGTAGCCATAATTAAATATTATTACATTTATTAGGATAAATTTAAATTTGGATTAGAATTTTAAACATCAGAAATTTGTACTTCAATATTATTTTGATGGAAATAATAGTAAAGAAGACCTAAAATAAAGTCATCATTTTAAGGAGATTTAATTTCTGATAAAATTTGTTATGTTTACTATTATAATTTAAATATTTCATTTTATGAAAGTTAATTATAAGTAATTAATAAATATAATTTAAAAAACTCAACTTATTAACAAGTTATACTTAAATCTGGGTTCAGTAATTTTAAAAATTAATTTATTTTATTTTATAGATTTTTCTCGTTTTAAATAATTGATAAATCTTACTGTTGCTCATAATTAAAAAGTTAATATTATTATTATGATTACTATAAGTTTTACTATTATTTTTTCAATTCTATATCCCATAACTTTTATTTTATATCTTGAATTTCATTTTCATAATATTATTAAAAATTTTATATTTTTTCAAAATTTGATTATTATAATCTTTCATTTTCTTAATATATTTAATTGTTTTATTTTTTAACTATCTTTGGATAATTAGTTTATGGAACTGAAATTGCTATTTCTTATTCAGGTATTACTCGATTTTCTTATTAATCCAACAATTTTTTATTTTTTTAAATATTATAAATGTTGTTAAACTATCTAAACAATAAGTTACCCAAATTTTAAATAAAAATTAAATAAATAATAAAGATAAATATGCTACTTCGATGAAAGAATTTTCTTGGCCATTAATTTTATTTATCATATCATGTTACATTAATATCCATAAAATATCTAATAGAAATGTATATTTTAAAAAAGATGTTACATTTTCATAATCAGATATATGATGAAATTATTATTGTTCATCCTTGAATTAAGAAATATAAATCGAAAGATATAAAGTTAAAGCGCTAGCAACTGTGTTAACATTTATGTTCAAATCAATTATTACAGTAAAAAAAGTAGAAATTAGGAATAAATACGGCGCATTCTAAAGAAATTATTAAATCGATTTGAATTATTATTAATCAGTTACTTCAATAATAGATTTTTAATTCATATATTTTTTGATTTTATTTTTATTTTTGATATATTTTTTTAATTTATTAATTTAAATTTTTTTGTTGATATTAAAATATTTTTTTAATATATAACTATTTTAAATATATACATAATAATAAAATTTATTTATATTATTGTAACAATTTTCATTCTAAATATTTGCAATAAAATAAAAAAAAGTAACTTTTTTAATAAAATATATAAAAATTGATAAAAACAATAATAATATATATATATATATATATATATATATATATATATATATATATAATTTATATATATATATTTTAAATAATTGTCTAAATTATTTAATTATGTATATATGTGAAACACTATATAAAATAAAGCTTAAAAGAAAAGAAAATAAAATAAAAAATATAATAAAGTTAATATTATTTTTATAAATAAATAAAAAAAAAATATAATTTTTATTTAGTTTTCCATTTAATTTATTATTTTATTTATTAATAAAGCGATTATTTATTTACTTATTATATTATTTTAATTTATTTTTAAGAATTTATTTTACAGAATTTTCTTAAAATATTTTTATAATTTAAAAAACATTAAACTGATTTGTATTCTTAAAATAAAAACTAAACAAATTATTATAATATCCTTAAATATTCTAAAATAAGCTTTGTATTTTAAAAGAATTTTAAATATAAAATAATTATTGATATATATTTATAAAATTGAAAATATTATATAAGTAAGAGTTTCATATTTCCAACCAAATAAAATGTTTATAATATTTTTTATTTTAGTTAGAATAATTTTTTATATATTTTAAGTTATAATTATTTTTTCATATATATATTTGTATATTTTATAGTTAATAATTTGATTAATTCTTTTTTTAATATCTTAACTCACGTGGATCCAAATTCAATCATCCACTTTTCAAAATTTTCTAAATCATCATTTGAAACAGATTTATTTACATTTTTTATTGCTCTTTCAAAATCACTTTAACTTAATGGCGTTTCTCCATTTTCTTATTTTTTATTTTAAAAGTATATTTTTTTTTTATTCAATTTAATAAATAAAAATTACATGCAAGATTGTTAATATTTTCTATATTTTTAAAACCTCCTTCTTATTTTAATATATCTCTCATAGGCATGAAAGAAGCTTCCCTGCATACCTATTTGTTTTATATTAATTTAGAAAAAAAAAATATATATATAAATATCTTCTACTAATGCAATATCAGCACCTGAATAACCTTCAGTCTTTCTTACTATTTCATCCCAATCAATATCTGCTCTACAATTTATTTTCTTCATGCATATTTCAAACATTTATTTTCTTCCTAAAATAGAGGGTAAAGGAATTACTATATTAAAAAACTAAATATTTAATAAAAAAATATCTATTACGAATTCTTTTTTCTAATCTACGTCTTAAGGCTTCATCGAGATCCCAAGGTCTATTAGTAGCTGCTAATACCATTACTTGTTTTCTCTCTTTTTCATCACTTGATGAATTAGAAACACCATCCATTTATATAAGCATTTCTGCTTTCATTCTTTTATTTATTTATTTTTATTAAATATATGTATTTACTTTCTATTTGATTCACATTCACCTTCAGTCCTCTTAGAACCTAAAGCATCTACTTCATCAAAAAATATTGTACTAGGGGCATAATATCTTGCCATTTCAAATAATATCTTTTTTTTTAAATAAATATATATTTTAATTTTTTTAAAAATAATATATTTAAATACCCTCACTAATTTCTCTGAATCACCCCTCCATTTGGAAGCTAAACTACTAGCAGAAACATTAAAAAAAGTTGTCTTACCAAGCTTTTTGTTTAAAAAAAATAAAATATTTTATATAAATAAAAAATTATATTAAAATACAGTTGCGACAGCTTTAGCAAGCATAGTTTTACCTGTTCCAGGAGGTCCAAACATAAGTACTCCTTTCAATGGCCTTCTAATTCCTCTAAAATATTAAGGAATTAAAATAGGGAGTAAGACAGCTTCTTAAAGCATTTCTTTAGCTTTATCGAGCTCTGCAATTTAATCAAAACTAATATCTGGGTTAAAACATACAACTTCTTTTTCTAACATGCCAACTAAATCAGAATCTGGACCTACTCCATCTGGATAACAATGATTAAGAAATGATTTTCTCTTTTCCCCGTTTTCATCAATTAAATGTTTCTTAGGATTGCTATTGTCGACTGCATTATTTTACCATGGTTTAGCATAATTTCGTCTTTTGTTATTATTGTTATTTTAATTATTATTACATTAAGGATTATTTATTTTCTTTTATGGAGCAGAAGTCTTTGGTTTTTAAGGAGCTTATCTTGCTGGCGGTTCCTTTTTATAATTTTTTTTTCTATTTCATAAAATAAAATTACCCAAACATCAGGGTCTCTAGGAGAAACATCTTTTGCTGGCTTTTAAGGCTAATAAAATAAATTTGATTCGAATTATTGTTACTATAATAACTATTATTATTATTATATCTATTATGGTGATGGTTACATATATTATTCTTATAATTATTAAAATGGTTTTTAATTAAAAGGATAATTTTTTTTATCTTACTTTAATTATTATTAAATTTATTGTTATTACTATATTTGTTATACTTATGGATATTATTAAATATATTATTAGTTTAAAATAGGGTTTTATAATTATTATTGTTATGTTATTGAAATTTATGGGGCTTGCAATTTTATTCCTTAGCTTATTTATAATAATTCAGTTACTATATCACATTCTTGTTATATATTTTCATAAAATGTTTTCCATATTATTTGCATTTAAAAATCAGATTCTTATTAAAATCTTTGAATATTTGTTAATGATTACTTAAAAGCTATTAAAGCCTCGTTGTATTTGCCAAAAAATGCATTTTCTCTAAAAATTTTATCATTTTATTTAATTTAAAAATTATATTATAAGAATAATATATATTTATATTTTTAATCATTATACCTAGCTTATTTTATAAAATTGCGCAAATCTTCTAATAGTAAAGTTGAATTTTGCATTTAAAAATATGTTTAATTGTTTTTTATTTTTCTATGTTTATTCTAATTGACAATTTAAAAAAATATTAAGAAAAATTAAATAATATAATTATTTTTATAAAATATTTTTAATTTTTTAAATTTAGATTTTAAGTAAATAATATGATATTATATATAAATATATATATGTATAATAAAATCATAGTTATAGGATATACTTTCAATAATTATTATCAAAATTTTAGCTATAGTGTTTATTAAAAAAGGATATATTTTATTATACATAATTCATTTTATTAAAATTAAGAAATTAAAAAATTAAAAAATATATATTTCATTTAATTGTAGACCTTTTTGATACGAATATTAATAAAAATATATTATTTCTTTTGATTTAATATTATATAATTATTATTTAAATAAAAATAAAAATATAATTTTTAAATATAGTCAAAATAAATTCTAAAATTTAGCGCGAAAAAAAAAATGAGAATCAATTTTAGATATGATTAAAATTTGATTAAAACTTATGAAGAAAATCAAGAAAAAATAATTAAAAATTAAAGAAAGTAACAAAGCTTGATTAAATAGTAAAAATAATAAAAAACGGAATAAAACTTTCAATTAAAAGATGCTTTTTTTAAAAAAAGAAGTTCTACAATTGAATAAAATATAAATTCGAAAACAAAAAAACATGTTTTTTAATTTAAACCATAATGTTTGATTAAAAGTAATATAAAAATTGATACATAAAATTGTGAAATAATTTAAAAAGAGGACACATAAAATAAGTTTAGCTAATAAATTTAATAAAAATAAGAAAAAGAATAAGAATAAAAAAAAGAATAAGAATAAGAATAATAATAAGAATAAGAAATAATATAATAAAAATAAAAATAATAATAAAAAAAAGAAAAATAATAAAAAAAAATTTTAAAATAATAGTAAGAAAAATAACAATAAGAAAATTAATAATAAGAAAAATAAGATAATAATAATAATAATAATAAGAATAATAATAATAATAATAATAATAATAATAATAATAATAATAATAATAATAATAATTTTTAAAAAATGAATAAATTAACTAACATAATGATAATTAAGTAATTTTAGAAACTTAAATTTTGAACTTATAATAATTTGAAAATATATAACTTCAAAGTAATAATTAAATATCATAAACATGTAATTTAAATGATATTAACAATAATCCATAAAACTTTGATAAAGAAATTCTAATTAATTTTGAATAACTTTAAATTTAAGAGAATAACTTTACTTAAGATAAAAATGAATATTCTTAATAATCTGAATAATTAAAACAAACTTTGAATGAAAACCATAAATCGAAAATTTCCAAATAAAATAGAACTAAAAATAGAAAGTCAAAATTACCAAAGGAAAATACATAAGACAATGAATAATAATATAAAGTTGGAAAAATAGAATATAAAAAAAAAGAGGATAAATAAGTTAAAAATTCCAAAGTAAAAAGTCATAAAACAATATTGAAAAAATCGAAAGAAGAAAATTTTGTTAAAATGAATTTAAAATTAAATTGGAAAGATCACTTCAGGGGTCCAATAAATTCTTTAAAAAGAAGATATACGAAGAGTGGACGTTTAAAATAAAAGTATAAGGAAAAATATTAAAATCAAATTTAAGAAGATGAAAATAACGAATTAAAAGAATATTAGTTTATGGAAGTAAATCAAAAAAGTGGAAATCAAAATATATTAGAAAAGGGTTAAGAATAAAATGTATATATGAATTATATTTCAAATGCTTTATGCACATTTATAGATAATAATGATAGTAATAAAAATTAAGATTATAATAATAAATCATAAGAAGAAAATGAACTTTTAGAAATAAATACTTCTGATCTATCAGATGAAAATCTAATTAAAACATTATAAATAGTATATAAATTTGATAATTTTCGAACAGGTTAATTAGAGGGTATTCGAAATATATTATAAAAGCGAAACACATTAATAATTTAAAATACAGGTCATGGAAAATCTTTAATTTATTAATTCCCAACTTTATTTATAAATGGACTTACAATAGTTATTAGTCCTCTAATTTCCCTTATGATGGACCAAATAAGTAAACTACCAAAATAAATCGCTGGAGCTGCTTACAATTCTACATTAAGTAAAACTGAAAAGGAAAAAATAATAAATCTAATAAAAGAAAATAAGTTAAAAATTCTTTATATATCACCAGAAATTCTACAGACTGATTTCATTTATTTATTTTCTGTGTTTCCGCATATTAATTATGTATGTATTGATGAAGCACATTGTATTTCTGAATGGTCTCATAATTTTAGAACTTCTTATTTGATTATTCATGAACTTATAAAGGAAAAATTACATTGTGATAATCTTGTTGCCCTAACTGCAACTGCAACAATATAAACATAAACTTCAATAATGCAAAAATTAAAAATTTAGTCTGTAATAAGGGGAGATTCTGTACATAGAGAAAACCTTTTAATGACTATTTCTAGAGATAAGGAAAGAAATCAAGCTTTATATAAATACTTATGTTTTCTAAAATTTAAGGAATAAAAGGAATAAAGTGGAATTGTATATTGCAAATATAAATACTAGTGCGAATTAATAGCTTAATATTTAAATAACTCTGGAATTACTGCTGCTGCATATCATTCTTAATTAGAAGAGAAAAATAAAATTAGTATTTAAAATGATTTTATGAATAATTAAGTACAAATTGTTGTTGCTACAATTGCATTCGGAATGGGAATTGATAAGAATAATGTAAGGACAGTAATACATATGAATATGCCTAAAACAATTGAAAATTATATTTAAGAAACTGGAAGAGCAGGAAGAGATGGATTAATTTCACATTGCCATATGTTTTTAAATGATGAAGATTTTTGGAGAGAAAGAGGATATGTTTAGAGTGATTCTGTGGATTATTTTAATTAAAACTATTAGCCTAATCTATTTTTTCAGTAAATTAGGAAGAAGAGGATGATGAAAATTAGAATATTTAAACAGAAGAAATACAATAATTCCTCTATATAAATAGTAAGGATTATTGTAATTAAATGGATGCTAAAAAAGAAAATATATAGACACTTCTAATGAAATTTAAGTAATTTTAAGATTAAGAAAAACCATTATTTAAGTTATTTCCATCGTTTTATTCGTTTTGTACACTTAAATTTTATAAAGATAAAATAGAAAATATAAAAAATGAATTTTTGGAAGATATTGTGAAATTCTGTAAAGTTACTTAAGGATGTTTTACTTTTAATGTTTGTGAAATATGTAATCAACTTAAAATTGATTCTTAAGAATTATCTAAAAAACTTAAAACTCTAAATTAATTCGGTATTTTTTACGAACTTAAAGAAGAGTGTTTTATATATTAAATTTTAAGAAAGTTTTCTTAATAAGAAGTAGATCTTTTAATTGAAAAAGTAAATATTTTTAAATATTAGGTTTATATATTATTTTATAGGTTTGTAATGAAATTAAATCATATGAGTAAGTATTAATTAATAAAATCGAGTTTCTTTATTGTGTTTCAAAATTAAATTCATTTTCAACTATTAATTTTATTATATAAAATTATATTAGCAAAAGTTAAGAGAATAAAGTTAATATAAGTAAATATTTTGATGCTTATTTTACGTCTAATAATGTCAAATAAATAATTTAAGAAAGTGAAAATATTAGCCTTTAAGATATTCTACCATACTAAAAAATTTTATTATAAGATAAAAATGATATTCAAAGAGATACTTAAATATTTTAAGAGAATAATTATAAGATAAAAACGAATAAGAATAATTGGAAATTATTGAAAAATTTAAAAACGCAAAAATTTTAACAAGAATATTTCAGGGAATTTCTTCATATTCTTATCCTTTAAAAAATTGGAAACAGTATTATTTATATATATTTATAATATTAAATTAAAATTATTAAAGTAATTCATTTTGGGACAGATATTATTAATTCAAATATGAAGAGCTGTATGAAGTTGTATAAGAAGCTATATCAGATTTTATATTTGATAATCATTTCTAAATATTTAATTAACTAAAAAAAATTAAAATGAAAAATTGAAATTTATGATAATTAAAAATATTAATGTAAATATTTATTTTAATAAAATAAAATAAAAAATTATATTATATAAATATTTTAAACTAATGTATTACACAAATTCATATATTTTATATATATCTTTATAAACTTAGTAATTATTTATATATTTCTTTTATGAATATTTTAAATATTATTAAACTATTTATTGTATGAAATATTTTAGATTATTTAATTATTTATCAGGTAAAAGCTAATTTTTTATTTTTTATTTTTAAATCAAATCTATAATTTTAAAATATAAATTATAATTTTTTATATCATTAAATACAAAATATTATAAATTAATATCTTTCAATTAAATTTTAAAATTATAAAATAATTTTGATAGTATTCATTTAATTTTAATTTATATACACGAAAAAACATATATTTCAAATTTTATTTAATGTTTCTTAAAAAAAAATGATAATTATATTTAAAAAAAAAACATAATAATATAATAATAATATAATAATAATTTATATAATTAGTAATTAATACTTCAGCTATATAATTATATAATAAAATTGAAAATATTTTTATTTTTAGATTTGTAAATATTATTTTTTTTTCGAAATATTTATGATAAAAAAAAAAATATTAAAATGAATTGAATTTAAGTACTTGTCAATTTTACGTTACTTTTTAAAAATTATAATTTCAAAAATATTATTCGTTCAATTTAAAACAAAGTCGTAGTTATATTTAAATATAATTTTAAATATAATATTTTAAGTTTTTATAAAAAAAAAAAAAAAAAAATATTTAATTAAATATATAGATATATATTATAATTAAATTATATTTTAATTATAATTATATTATATAAAAACAAAAACAATTAAATATCATAAATTAATAATTATAAATATTCATTATTTACAATTAAAATTTAATAATTTATCATAATTACAGAATCAGAATTAAAAATAAATATAAATGAATTTAAAAAGTTTGAATCTCTATTTAAGATTATATAATTTAGTTAGAAATAAATGAAATCTTTATTACTTTATATAATTAATAATAATTTCTATTTATAATATAAAAAGTTAATTTATAAGTCTCTAATAATTTTAATAGCTAAATTTATGCATTAACAAAAATTCAAATAGAATATTAATAACCTAAAATACTTAAATATATAAATATATTTATGTTTTATAAATAAGTTTTAATAATTTATCAAAATTTATAAATTTATAAATTTAGAGTTTTAATATTTTTATTATATGCTATATGCAGATAAAATATAGATATTAATAGATATAATATCAATTAATTCTTAAAATATATATTAGAAATGTGTAAAGCGTATTAATATAGATATTATAATAGCTAGTAATATTAAAAATAATAAATTAAATAAAATTAAAATATTTTAATAACTTTATAAAAATAGTTAAATTATTTAATTTAAACGTTATTTTTCTAAACATTATATTCCAATTACAATATAAATTAAATAAAAGAAATAAATAAAAAATTAAAATAAATATAATAGAAAATAAATTTAGTAAAAGGGATTTTTCAAAATAAATTAATATATAATGTATCTAACTAAATAAAATATATATAGGCCATAATTTTTAAACTAATATTAAAGAAAAGCACATAAAGTAAGGAAAAAATAATATATAAACTATAATTAAATTCATAAAAAAATTAATAGGTTTAAAATATCTATTTTTATATTTAAATTAGTTATTCATAGATGATATTTCTAAGTATATTAAAAATATAATTGTTATAAATACAAATAGTAAAATTTTAGAGAAAACTGTAAATTTATTGTTTTGTTTAAAAAAAAATATACATAATTATTCCATTTATTAATTTTTTTAATCATAATTTTTTTCTATTTTGATAACTGGCTTTTATGATAATCGAACAATTTAATTAAATAGATTAAAAATATTTAATAGTTTTATGTAAAAAAAATAATAAAAATAAAAGTTAAGATGATATATTAAAAAATCTAAGTAAAAATATTATATAATGAATATTTTATACATTTACTTATAAAATTAATTTTTTAAAAAAAAGCTTTTCAAATTAGTTTATTATTTGCAATTATAAAAGAAGTAATTTATGGTTTTTTTTATATAAAAATCAAATAAAAAATAAAAAAATTTTAATAATATATTATATAAATAAGATATTTTAAAGATTAAATCTAAATTCAAATAAATATATAATAGGATAAATATAAAAAATATTTCATATTTTAGAACATAATTATGTTTTTGGATGATTTTAAATTATTTGTTAGCATATATTTTTTTAAGCAAATGCAAAAAACATATAAGTAAGTACAATTCCTTAGATTTAATTAAATAATTTTATAAAATTACTGGAAAAAATTTTTTAAGATAAAGAAAGTTTCTATGGTTTAAAAGACTAAAGATAATTATATTCTTAATATTAAAATATTATTTAATTATGTTATTCATGCTGTTATAAAAGCTATATATTTATTAAAATATTTACCTTTGCTTTTTTATAAAAAAAAATTATTACAATAATAAGAGAATATAATTAAAAAATATAAATGATTTAAAGATTATTTAATTTAAATATTAAATATATTTTTATATTTTATGTATTTTTTAAAAAAACTCAATTTAAAATAAAATATATGACACTAACCATATTTAATAGTATATATATTTTGTTAGAGTTTTAAAAAAATAAAAAAATATTAACAAATAATATAATATAATATAATAAATAAATAAAAGAAGCTATGAATTTGAAATCTATTTTTTTTTGTTAGAATATAAAATATATATGATATATTACAATGATGAGAATTTACTTAATATAAGAATTATTTTAGTCTTTAAGATAAAAACAGATTTAATTTCAATACAATTTATATATTTTTAAATATTTTTTTTATTGTTATTTAAAAATTATTAAATAATAATGTTTATATTTATTACTTATTTTTATTTAAATAAAATTATTCAAATTAAATTTATAATTTTTTGCAAAATAATTTATTTTATTCTATATAATTATACTAATATTTTTGTTCTTATTGATATATGAATAAATTCGATATATTTGGTTCTAACATTTAATTTATGCTCAATAATAAATAATTTAATGGTACAAAGTTTGGTTCAATTATAACATTTTTAATATTTATTATCATTTTTATCAGAAGTTTTTACATATTAAAATCTTTAATCAACAATTAATAACTTTAAATTTTATATAAAGACCAAGTAAATACTTAGTTATAATCTTTTTAAATAAATTCGAAAGAATTTTTTATTGCATTTGCTATTTAGAATAAAAATAACAATTAAAGATTAATAAATAATTCAATTTATTAAATAGAAGCATAATAAGTTTTTCTATCTTTAAACTAAGAAAAAATAAAGACAATTAATTTGCCTTTAATACCTTGTTAGAACTTACTATTAAAAGATTAGAATTTAGGCTTTAATTTAACTTAATTAAGGCAATTATCTTTATAAAATTATTATTGTTTTGATTAGTAAATAGATATTTAATAAAATTAATAAGATTTTGATTCTTATGTTTAGATAATTCTAAAAGAATGCAAAAATTAAGAATAATGCCTAAGTCGAGATAAAATATAATAAGCTTTGCAATATTCATAACTATCTATCATATATCAAGATAATATATTCGATTATTTATCAGAAAGTGGTTTTCAAAGCCATTTTGAAAAATAAAATTGGAACATAAACTAAAACATATAAAAAGATATATAATTAGTTATGAAAAATTCATTTGTAAGTTCAGATGAGGGAACCTTTTTTGAAAATATAACAAATTAAAAAATGCCTACTTTTTTTTAATTTAAAGAAGAAGTAATTTTTTTAATAATCTTTAGTTAAAAATAATATTTAAATTATATTAAATATTTAACTTTTTATTTATTAATTTTTAAAAAATTAGTTTGAATTAAATCCTTCTAGTGATTATTTTATTAAGCTTGATATTAAACTATAAAAAGATAAAATAAATTAATATTAAAGAATCTATAAAAATATAAATAATTTTATATCTGATATAGGTGGATATTTAACAATTTGTTTAATAATAGGATCAATTATATGTAAACCGTTTTCTAAATTAAACCTATAATAATAATTAATTAATTAATTTTTCGATTTTGATTTATAATAAGAAAACTAAAATGATAATGTTTTGAATTAAGAACTTAAAAAACATTCACCAAAACATAAAGTATCACAATTTAGGGTTAAATATAAAATAAAAATGTAAAAAAATTAAAAAAAAAATATGTTTTTTCGAAAGTAATCCAAATCATTAAATAGTGCACCAATAAGTAGAAAAAACGAATAATAGTAATTATTTGAACTTATTAGTTAAAAAAAAATATAATTAATTCTACAATTAATAACCACAAAAATAATTAAGAAATATAATATTTTTAAAGCTAAAAGAGCAAAAACAATTTATAATATTCATAAATGGAATTTTCAAATTTATGTTAATCATAATTATTTGAGTTTTAAAAATAACAAAATTTATTCAAAAAAATGCTTTTTAAAACTTAAAAACTTATAAAGCTTAATTTTTTTGAATATATAAAATACTTTATATGGCCTTTTGGTAGATTTAAATAAAAAAAAAAAATAATACACTATAGCATTGAAAATCTTTATCATCATTTCGATGTTTTATATGTAATAAAAAAACTTTTAGAAGTTGATAAATTGAAAATACTTTTGCTAAATCAAAATCAACTAAAATTATTTGAATATTTACCCAAACCAATTATAAATACTTAAAATTGCAATGAAAATTAAGATTCATAAAATATAAATTAATAATTTAATGTTTTATATACAGATAAGAGGTCTGAATTGTAAAAAGTAAAAGAAGCTTATTAAGCTTATATTGAAATCATAAATAGCGATTCCGAGTCGAATGAAATTGATTTAAAACTAATAAAATTAATTGATCCGAAAATATCTGAATTATTTAATTTTAATGATAAAGATCAATTAAGTTTATAAAATATTTAAAAAAAAGTTAATCAAAGAATTTAAAAATAAGAGGCTTAGAAATCAAATATTGAATGTTTAAATTTGGTTTTTTCTTAAATAAGTAGTTAAAATGATGAGCATAACCAAATAAAATGCGCTGAAATTAAGTAAACTCCTTTTTAACAAAGTAAAAAATTAAATCTAATTAAATGAAATTAAAATAATTTAAATTTGGATTGTAAACTAAATAATATAATATATTTACTGATTATAATTATTTTTAAATAGTAAAGTAAAAAAACATATACTTTTGTTTTGAAAATTTATTGTAGGTTATATTATTATTATATTTAAATGTTCATTTATTATTTTTTAATATTAATTTCGATCCATCAAGAAATATTTTTCCAATTGTTTTTTTTTTCTTTTATAAATAAATTATTTGTCTTATATACTTATAAAATTTATTTTTATTTTTATTTTTTTAATTTTATTAAAAAAATTTGATTTTTATTTATTTAAAGATTATATTTTTTTTTTTAAATTTTATAAAAAATATTTCTTTAATTTATAATTATAAATTTAAAATACTTATTAATTCTTCGCAAAAGTCATTTAGTTGAAAGAATGAAATTCAAATCAATCCCTGTAACAGAGTTTGGCATATTCACCAGTGTGAAAAAGAGCATATTATGATGATATGTATATGTGCCTTGACAGCATAATTCCGTTGTATGCTATATGGATTTCTTCAACCAATTTATATAATATTATTATTTTTTTTTTAAAAAAATGCTTTATGAAATAATAATAATAATTTTTAAATTTTATTTAATTTAATTTAATAAAGAATATAAAACAATAATATATCGAATTAAGACTAAAACATTTTTTTATATTTATAAACAAATCAAGATTATAAAAAATAATATAAGTTTTGGTAATACAAAAATATAAAAATTACTAAATATATAGACTAATTTAAAGTAGTTAATAAATTAATATTTATAAACTGATAATAGACTTCAAATAATTTTATAATATTATTATTTTAAGGGTTTAATAAATTTAAAAATATTTTTGGAATATATTAATTTAATTTATAGAATTAAATAGAAATTCAAAATATGCATAATTTGAGTTAAAAAAATTAAAAAACACATTTAATATTACAATAAAAAAATTACAGAAATATTTATAAAATAAATAGCATAATATAAAATAAAATAAACCAATAGATTTTATAAGTTTAATAAATATTACATGAAAATAAATAAATCCAAAAATATTACAAATATTAATTGTTATTCAAATATTAGGAAATATAAAAATTATTGAAAGCCAAAACTATTTTCAAAAAGCTATTAATATATCTTAATGTTTGAAAAGAATTACTCAAGGAAATTAATGTTTTAACCAATTATTAAGTATAAAATATCAGGACTTTCCTATTTTATTCATCCTGCTATATTGAAATTATATTTTACTTGATCCCTTTAAAAAATTTAAAAGGATTCCTAAAAATTGTCTTAATAAATTTCAATGAAATAGATTATTTTTTTAAATATTTAATAATAAAAAGATTTAGATGATATTTATTCATATTTCAATTTTAGGTGATTTCATATTAAATAAACTTTAATTTATATTAAAAGTAAAAAATAGAATATATTTTTGCGAGTATTAAAGCTACTTTGATTTTTAAACTGAAAAGTTTAATTAAATTAATATATGAAATTTGAATCTAAAAAAGTCTTTTATTTTAATAAATAAATTATAATAGTTAAATAAAAAATATTATTATACTAATATATATATAATTATAATATTTTGTAAACAAAAATAATAAAAAACTATTCGTATATTTTATTTTTACTTTTAGATTTATTATTTATTAATTTTTAACAATAAATAAATAATTTATAAAAGTGAAATTAATTTATTATCAAGTGTTTGCTATTTTAATAATATAATATTGTTAAAATTTAAATTTAAATTAAATTTTATTTTTTAAGAGTAGTTTTATCATAATTAAGATAAGCAAAAAGTTAATATTTTTTTTAATTAAAATTTAAAAACTTATAAAATTAGTACATTTATTTAGAATTTATAAAATCAAATGTTTTCAAAAAAGAAATTAATTTATATTTAAAGCGAAAGTTAAAATTTATAAAAAGAAGGAGAAAATCCTTATTTATTTTATCCTGAAAACTTTTTATTATAACCACAATTTAATAAGCCTATTTTATATAGAGTAAATTAAATATAATTTTTTAAAATATGAATTAGCTTAAATGAATTTTAATTATTAAATTAAAATCAGTTATATTTATTTTCTCATATTACTTTTTATCCTTTATTTTTTTTTAAAAAAAAGTCAATCAAAAAGAGCAAAAAGGGTTAAATAAAAATATAAATTATATAAACTATATATAAAAATATAATTTACATTCTAAAAATAATTTTTTATCTTTATAATTTTTTAAACTATGTGAAATTTAAGGAACTTAAAACAATTAATTTAAAATAATGAAGGAAATTATATTTATAAAATTAAATAATATGTTTATTCAAATTTTTTAAAAAGAGAAAAATATGCGATTTAAATTGTTTTATGTATTTTGAAATATTTTATATTCAAAAAATTAAAAGTAAAGAGAACATAACAAAAATATTCTTTTTTTCATATTAAATTTTAACGTAATAATAAATGGATGTTTAAAATAAAATGAAGCTAAATAAAATCGCAAAAAAATTTAAACTAATAAAATAACAGTTAAAAAAGTACAAATTCATATTAAGATTATATTTATTGAAATAATAAAAGAAAAATCTTAAATGTTTATTTTAATTAAAAAAGTAAAAAAATACTTATAAAAATAGAAATTAAAATTAAATAACAATAAAATCATAAAAAATGTTCTTAAATAAATAATAAGGTAATTTATATTTATATAAATAGAATTTTAATTTTATATATATATAAATATATTTAATGTAATAATTAATTATTTCTTTTATTATAATTAAAGTTAAAATTAGGAATCGAGAGTTAATAATTGTAAAAAAAAAATTAAAGATATATGACTTTGAAATAAATTTAAAACAATTATTAGTAAAAACGATTTTTAATTTTAGTATAATTTATTTTGAAGTTTAAAAAAATTTAAAAAAAAATATAATATTTAATTAAATAAAAAAATAAAAATGAATAATAAAAATATTACTCAAAAATAATTTTTTTGTTAGCATTTTTATTAATAGTTTATAGTTGGCTTTTTTTTAATGATTTATATATGAAAAATATAAATTATTTATTATATATAATATAAAAAAAGTGAATATAAAAAAAAATATTTTGCATAAAACAGTATATTTATAAAACAATTAAAAATAAGAATATATTTTTTATAAATAAAAAAAAAAATATATATATTAAAAAAAATTATTTTATATAAAATAAAATCTATAAAAAATAAGATTATAATAAAAATATAATTTATTAAAAATATATATATATATATATATATTTAATATAAATATAAATATAAATATATAAATATATATATTTAATTTTAATATTTATTAATAATTTTACTTATTTTTTTCTTAACATACAAATGTATTATAAAATTATTTTTTTTTTTATTATTTTAATCTACAAAATTTCTATTAATAATGTTATATATTTTTTTTTTATAAATTATAAATAATATAATATATTATAATATTTAAATAAAAATACATATTTTTTTAAAAAAATAATATAGAAAAAAACATAACAAGAAATATTATAATTTTATTAATTTACAAATTATAAAATAAGAAATATTATAAATTATATATGCATTTATTATTATTAATACAAAAAAATTAAAAACTATTAAAATTTTAAAATAAGATAAGAATTTTTTAAAAAAACAAATAAATTTCAAAAACATAGAATATATTTTTATTTAGTTCATTTAAAATGCTTAAAACCAACCAAGCTCTTGCTAATATTTTCGATAATTTTAAATAAATATAATATAAATAAAATGATGTTAATATTTCTTAATTAAATGAAATAATATCACTTTTATTAGATATTTTTTAATTAAATTAAAATGATTAAGATGTTTAAAAAAAAATCATATTTTTATCGAATATGATAATATTTCATTATCCTTAGCATAAAAAATTATTCCTTTAAAACAATTAATAGATTTTCGGATTATTAGTAGAGTATTTTAATAATTTTACTAGTAAAAACAATTCATTGGAAGGCGATAAATATGAAGTTTTGGCATTTATTTATAAGCTTTTATTAGGAACACGATGTTCTGAAGATATATAGGAAAAAAAAATGCTTTTTAAAGCAAGAAATTAATTGTTAAATAAAAAATTTATGTAATTTTTATTTTCAGTAGAAATATTAGAATGCTCATTTTAAGTTCTTTAAATGCTTACGCTTTTATATGCATTTTTTGCTAAAAATTCTTTAAAAATTGTTAGTTTTTCTCTTCAAAATCTTGCTAAAAAGGCTTTATTAGAAATTTCGTATTCTAAATCATGTCCAGAAATTTAAATTATGGCTATAAAAAGTTTACTTGAATTAAGAAATGTATGCAAATTAAATCATAATGAAATAAAAAAATATAAATTAATTGAACTAATTAAAAATTTGAAGCTTTAAGAAAATTTTAAAAGTATATGTAATAATTTCCTTGAATATTTACTTTAAAATAAGCTTGTTTCAATGTAAAAATTAAAAATACTTTAAGTTAATAAAAATAAAAAAAGCTTCATAAAATCATTTTACGATTGATACATATATATTTTTTAAACTATATAAATAAAATTATAAATAATTATTAATAAAAAAACTAAAAAAATATATTTAATAGTAAATAAATATAAATTATATAATAAAAAATATATATTATAAAATAAAATTAAAAAATAAAAAGAAATATAATTTTTATTATTATAAAAAATAATATATAATAAATATATATTTGAGTATAATTAAAAATAAAAATATTTATTAATAAAAATTAAATAAATAAATAGAAAAATAATCTAAATATGATATAAATTTATAATATATTTAAAATAATTATATTTATATATAAAATATATATTTAAATATATATATAAATATAATAATTATTAATAATTATAATACATTTATTGAAAAAAATATAAATTTTGACTAATTTTACTTATAATTTATGAATAAATTGACATTCAAAAACAATTATAAAAATTTATTATATATTTTATGTTAAGTATTTAATTTTTTTAGTATTTTATTTTTAGTTATATAATTTTTATAGATCTAAGTTTAAATAAAAAAATGTAATTATTTAGAATAGGTAAATATATATAATATTTACATTTATTAACCTTATTTTTATTTTATTTTTTTATATTATTTATTTTAATAAATTGCATTAATCCTATATTCCTTCTTTTTCTAATATTTTAATTTCTCTTTTTTGTTTTTTAAATTTCGGATAGTCTTTTAGTTTTAAAATTATGCCACCTTACTAAAATAATACTCTATTTCTTTCATCAGGTAAATGCGTATGCCCTTATGTGAATATTCAATATAATTGATTGTGTTTAATAAATTTTCTAATTTAATCAAATTTTAATAATATGTATTTTGAAAATTTATGTTATGTCTAAAATATTGTGAAAATAATGATATTTTATAACGAAAACTGTAAAAAATGTTCTTTTACATATTAAACATCTAAAATTTATGCATAGATTTTTCGTATGATATTAAAATGTAAAATATTATATATTCATATATTTTTTTATTTTTTGTATATTTAAAAAAAATAATAAAAAAATTATTTTATTAATAGAATTTAATAATTAATTAAAAACTTGATTAATAAATGCAAATAAAATTATTAAAAGTTTGACTTCAAAAATTAAAGTTATTCTTAATTAATATTATTTATATATCTAAAAATATTACTTATTCATATTTATTTTCCAGTAATTTTTTAAAAACTTAAGCGAAAAAAAAGATAGGAAAAAATGAATAATGAATAATTTTTTTTTAATTTCATGATAAAATTTATAAAAAAAATTAAATATATAATATAAATATTTTTATTTAAATAATGTAAAGAAAATAAAATATTTTTATTAAACAATAATCATTTAAAAGTTATGAGAACTTTTTGTTTTATATAATTGCTATTATTTTTTAGAATTTTACCAAAATTTTATTGTTAAATTATTTATTTATAAATAATTATTATTTCGATCTTTAAATTAATGAAAAAAATTATAAATTAAAATTAATTTTTAATAAATTTTATTGCAAATATGATTAAATTTTAAATATCACTAATTTTTTAAAAGTAGACTTTTTAGTTCTTTTACTTTATTTTTAAAAATTTAAAGCATTTTAATAATAAATATTAATTAAATGTATAATAAAAATTATAATTATTATTATAATATAAAATAATATTTTTATATAATATCAAAATTTTTTTTTATTTGAAAAAAAGTATAAATTTAATTTTTGTTGGACAATCAATTTATAAAAAAAAAATTATAATTTAAATAAGAAAATTAAAAAATTGAATAATAAATAGAATTAAAAATAATTTTATATAAGAAATTTAATTATTAAAAAAAAAATACAAAATAAATTTGCAAAAAATAAAAAACTGAAAATAAAATAAATGAATAACAAATTAGGTGGATATGATACATAACTTTTTACATATATTGATGAATAATTTGAATGCTTAATATGTTCAAATATAGTACGAGATCCAAAAGAATGTAATGGCTGTGGATCTTTGTATTGTAAATGTTGTATAGACGATTGGTTGTAGAAAAAAAAGTAAAAAAAGTAAAAAAAGTAAAAAAAAAAAAAAAAAAAGAGAATGTCCTAAAAGATGTGATATGAGTCTTCATCAAATAATTCCGGTTTAATCAAAAGCATTATTAAGAATATATAATAATTTAGATATGAAATGTCCCAATAATGATTGTGAGAAATAAATAAAGCTCAGTGATTACGCATAACACGAAATAATATGCAATAGTAAACAATGTTTGAACTTTTAAGTATGCAAAAATAAGGAAAATTAATAATTTGGTAATAAATAGATATGCAGTTTGGAGTGTGATCTTTAATATTAACTTTTATAATAGTTTAATAAACAAGAATAATTAAAAATAATTTCATAGTTTTTAAAAAATTAAATATAAAAACCTTAAAATGATATAAACTAATAAGCTTTTTAATAAATTCCTTAAAAATCATAGATTTAACAATAAAGTAATATTATTCCCTAAGGTTTAGTTTAGCTTAATGATTAATTATAATGGAATCCTAATTGTTCAGGAACTGGAATAAAACTATATAATAATAATACACATTGCTGGCTTCAAGAAAGTTCTTATATGTTTAGAACCATATTAGCAGATTAAGTAAACTATTTACAATTCAAGAATAAAATTTAAAAAAAAATAATTAGGCTTTTTATTAAGGAGCACATTATTGGGAAATTCATGCTGACGATAGAACTGAAAATGAACTTAAAATTGGAGTAAGTATAAAAAAAGATTTCAATTATAATAGTGCTTTTTGTGATTTCGAGTATGGATTTGCTTTTTATGGACTTGGTCAATTAAGGCATGGCTCTAATGCTTCGGGCCCTTCTTTTGGTTAAAGATTTAAAAAAGAAGGATATTTAGGTATTTTCCTTAATATGAATAAAGGGTAACTTTCGTTTGCATTAAATGGGAATTTTCTTGGAATAGCATTTACAAATGAGGTTTTAAAAAAAGGACCAATTTATCCAGCTGTTTCTCTTTTACATTAAGCTGGATGCAAAATAAAATCAGGTTTGCCTTTACCAAATTATTTTCCTGTATGAATAATATTTAATAATAATATAATATAAATTATAAACTTTTTTTTATTTATGTTAAATTAAAAATAAAATAAATATTTTAAATATTTGTAAATCTTTGTAAATTTTTATTTTTTATAATAATTAAATTTATATATTAATAAAAGAATATATATTAAAATAAATATACATATATAAAATTTTTATAGATATAAAATATTATAAAAAATTATAAATATAAAAATATTTATATTTAAAAATATTTTATATATATAAATATATATAAATATATTTATAATTATATTTATATTTATATTTATAATATTTATTTCTATTTTTAATATATTATAAATTATTTATTTACATTTTATTTTTAAAAAATATTTTATAAATTAATATAAAACAATTTAAAATATTATTTTTTTTTATTTTACTATATATAATATATTTATATTTTATTTAATATAACTATTTTTCAAACATTTATAATATATAATATAATAATAATTTATATATTTTTATTTAATTTTATATTCTCTTAATATATTTTATTTTTTAAATATACTATAATATAAATTAAATATTTTAAAATCTTCAATAATTTTTTATATTTTATCATTTTTATTTTACTTTTATTTAAATTATTTATTCTTTTATTTTTTAATATTTTAAATTTTTATACCTTTACTTCTTTCATATATTTTATTTCTATATTATTATATAAAATATTATTATTATTATTAATAGGGTTTATATTTAAATAATTTTTTTTTTTTTTAATATATTATTTTATTTTTTTTAAAAAAATCTATATCTATGTTAAATAATTTAATATATAATCTTAAATTTATAAATTATGTACAACGTGTAATATTTCTAAAATATTTAATAAAAAATTATTTTTTTAATTATATTATTGTTTTATTTTTTAATTTTTAAAAATTATTATTAAATTAAAAATAAGTATTGGAAAACCGAATATGTTTTTTTTGTAAAAATACTTAAATTCATCATTCTAATTATTTAATTTTTAAAAATATAATATACATAAATTAATCATTTATTTTATTCGTTAATTTATTTTAAAAAATCAGAAATTTCTTTATGTTATTCTTATGAAACACCTTAAATCTAGCCATTTTCATTTATATTAATCTCTCCATCATAAACTGTTTAAAATCCCATTTCTATTAATTCTTCTGTACTTTTTCCTTCAATATCTAAAGGGAATTTTTCTGGATTATTTCCAATAATGAAATATTATTAAGAATTATTATCGAAAATTTCTTAAAAGTCCTCAATTTAATTTTCATTATTTTCACTAACATTTCTTTTAGCACTTAAATCATTTGCACTTATTATATTAATACCTTATTTTTCAATGTATTTTTTTTTTTCAAAAAATACCTATTATTCTATTTCTTCTAATTTCTATGATATACATTATTATATCTCCCATTTTCTCAAATTTACCAAATATCCTAAAAACTACTTATATACTTTTGGAAATTTTACAATATTTCCCAAACTATTATTTGCTTCCAATAGCAATTAGTTATATGTTCTTACACTGCTTTTTGTCATATTTCCTGAAAAGTAATCTCTTAATTCTTTTACTACATCTGATTGCGATATTCCTTATTTTTCTTTAATTTTTAATGTTTCTAAAAGGGCATAATTTAATAAATTATTTACTATAGTGTCTCTTTTTTTAGCATTTATTAAACCTATTTAAAATTCATAATTAAAATCTTCATTCTTTCTTTCTATTCTTCCTATTTATTTAGAAAAGCTTTCTGTATCTAATCTTTAGCAGGTACCATAATCTGCTATTCTTTAAATTTAAAAATTTTATAATCTATGTAATTCTATGCAATATTTTTCATCTATTAATTACCAATCTTTTAACATTTTATATAGGTTTCCTTTATATTCGTTTTCAATTATTTGGTAATATATAGTAGCTTAAAACGGATTTATTCCATTTTCGATGTATAAAGGTGTTTCCTTTCCCATTATATGGTTCAAAATTACGTATTTTTCGAGAATTTCTTTCGCTGAAATTTAGTTTTCTTTAACTTTTATAAACAAAGGTCTTTCTTATAATTTAAAATCAAATTTATCTGCTTATTTTTAGGCCAAATTAAATATTTCATGTTAGTCTTAGTCGTTTCGAAAATATTTTTTTATATTATGAAACGTTTTCATGTATTTTTATGAATAGTATTTATTTATTGTAAAAAAGTCTTTGTCCTCTTCTTTATCTATATATGCTCGAAATATATAATCCCATTCAGGAAGCATAGGCTCAAAAGTTTAAAAGGATATTTTCTATTTTAATTCATCAGGTACTATTAAGGCTACTTTTTTAAATATTCTTGCTGATTTCTTAAATATGGATGATGTGTATAATATTTATTTCTAAAATAATACATCACTATATATTTCTCTAGCTTTTTTATTAATATAATTGTAAATTCTTTCATTTTCAAAATATCGATACAAATTATTTTTAATTAAGCTTTTTTTTTTTATAATTTTTTTTTTTTTTTTTTTACTCATCTTTTATTTTTTCGATTATATCAAAGTATATTTCTTTTAGTTTTTCTAATGGGATTATTAAAGCTAAGTCTTCTAAAACTAAATTATAATCGCATTTTCCGAATATTAAATGATGTCCAGTTTTTTCATAAAGTTAATTTGCTATTGAAAGACTATTCTATTTTTGTTTAGTTTTTTTTTTAGTTTTTTTTACTTCCATTTTTCCTTATCTTGTTTAATTTGAGATTGAATATATATATTAATCTTATTAAAAAAATTAAAGCCCAAATTAAAGATCTTATTAAAAAAATTGAGTTAATTTTTCTTTTGCAGGCAAATCCTTTTCTTAATTATATATAACTGGATTGCTTTTATATTTTTCCAAGCCGATTCTATATTCTTCAAGTTAAGGTTTATTTAAATCTCCAAATATAATACACTTTTTATAATAATAATATTTATTTTTGCTTAGATTTAATTTCAAATATTTTATTTATTTTGTCTTTTACATTTGGTTAATTTGTATCAATCACTTATTATATAAAATATGGTGAACGCATATCTGATTATGATCCAATTATTAAATGCTCTTTTCCATATATTTGAATTCTTTTAAAATCAGGTTAATGTAAATCATCTTATAAAAAACTTTTTGTATATATATTTATATTTATTTAGTTTAATTATATTAGTTTTATATACTGATAATATTATTATTGGTTTTCTTTTGATATATCACGAATTTATAATTATTTATAAAATAATTTTAATTCTCGATTTCTGTTTTTTGCTAATGTCCCACCTTTTCTACTAAAATTATATTTTATAATATTCTTTAACATTATTAATAATTATTTTTTATAAATAATTAAAATATTATTTTTAACCCTAAATATTTTATATTGTATATTAAATGTTAATTACTGCATTAAACAATATTTAAAAAAACATGATTATTAAAATTTTATTTTTATTAATAACATTTTTTAAAAAAATTATAAAATCCAATAATATTATGAATATGAGTTTAAAAATTTTATTGATTACAAATTATTTAAATGAAAAGTAAAAATTTAATTATTATTATGAAAATCTAAAAATCTAAAAGAAAAAATTTTTATACACAATTAATTATTTTTTTATAATTAATATATAAAAAGATTTTTTTAAACAAATTAATTATTTTTTTATTTTTTTAAAAATAAAAAAATGCATCGTCCGGGAATTGAACCCGAGCCGATTGCTTGGAAGGCAATAATCCTGCCACTAGACCAACGATGCTTTATTGATAATATAAGCATACATATTGTTAATATTATTTAAACTATTTATAATTTATTAAAATAAAGTTTTTTTGATTTAATAATTATTTTATTTTATTATAATTATTAATCTCTATTTTTTAATTAAATAAAGTAAAGCTTTGAATATATTTAATTAATATTATTTGATATATATTTTTTTTTTGAAAAAAAATTATTTATTTGCTTAACTTTTTTAAAAATTATATAAAGAAGTTTAATAATCTATATTTTTTTATAAATATTATTATTTTAAAATAAATGATTATTATATATATGATTTAATAAAAAATATCTATTACTTGTTAATATTTTTTTAAAAAAAATACAATTTTTAACAAATAAAATGGAGAATAAAAATTAATAACACAATTTTCTTTTGAAGACTGAAAAAATTAAATAAACGATATGAAAAAATAATATAATATAATATTTTATTTAATTTGAAGTTTTATTATATTTATTTTATAAGATTATTTTTAATCAAAATTAACGAAGATTAAAAAAAATTAGAAATCACCATTAACATTATATTTATTTTTTTCTATAAAACAAAATTATTATTTTAATTTAAATTCTTAAAACATAAAAAAAATATTTTTCAAAATTTTCCCAGATATTTATTAATATTTGAAAAAAATAAAAAAGAAAAAGTAAATTCAATTTAATTTTTCTTTGAAAAATATTTAACCGACTTAACTTAATTTACTTAATAAAAAAATTTAAATAAAATCTTTTGGTGGGTTTAATTGAGTTAATTTAGAATTTTAATTTAAAAAAAATCAAAATAAAACAAAAATAACAAAAGTAAAATAATTAAACAAACATTAAATTAATAAATAAAAATGAAAATCCAACTATTATTTTTAACATTTTTAGTATTAACTATTCAAAAATCCACTACAGAACCTTAATGTAGAAATTAAAATGACGAACTGGTAGATTGGTTTATAATATTAAAACACCCTTAAGGTACTGAATATTCATACTGTGATTCAAATGAATGCACTTAACTAAGAAGCACTGGATTAGATTTGAATAATCCTAAAGATTCTCCTTTATTAAATACACTAAAATAAATTTAAAAAGTAGACTCTTCTGAATATGGTTCTATTTTTTGGAATGATCAACCTCCTCAATAAAAAGCATCATTTAATGTTGCCCATTCAAAAGGAGTTATGGGTTTTGGCTAAAATTAAGGTTTTATACTTATACATTCTGCTCCTAAATTCCCAGAAATTATCAATAAAGAAATTGTTCTTTAAATAGAAAGTGGATAACTAGTTTTTGGTTAACATTTCTTCTGTATTTCTTCTTCTACTTCTGAACTTGATGCCATTGCTTAAGCTTATAATGTAGATTGGCCCATGGTTTATGATGGAAATGTAGCTTTTGAAGGACTTTAATATCTTAAAGATATGCTGAATAATGAAAGAAACGAAAAGGATCATAAATTAACTGTTGAATTTACATCATTATAGGGCACAAAGTTCTTAAAAATGGCTAAATCAGGTCATTGGGAAGTTCCTTTTTACGATAATGTGGTCACTGAATAATTAAAAACAGGTCTTTATGTAGAAAGTTGGGGATCTCCTTAAGAAAATTCTGATTGCCACTAATAATATGAAGTTCTTTCTAATATTGAAGTAAAAATGCCTACTGGAGAAAAGTATAAATTCACAAAGGATCATTCGAAATATGCAATTTCAAGTAATCCAACAACTCCTTTTGTTTGCTTAGGAGATATTAATAGATAAAATTCTTAATGGAAAAGAGGAGGAGGTACTATTTGTTTTAGAAATGGAAATGCTTATAAAGCATTTTAAGAAATTATGGTTGTTTAATAAACTTGTGAATAATGAAAAAACTATTTTTTTAATTTAAATTATATTTTACTATAAATTTTTTATAAACAAGTATTTATTAATAATTTTAAAATTAATATATATTTTCAGGTATATATTAAAAAAAAAATTTACATATTTATTATAAAAAATTAAAAAAAAAATGCAAATTTTATATTATATTATATTTTTCTTATTATTTTTAAAATAAAGCCTTTTTATTTTATTTAAAAACCTAATAAAATATTCCTGATATAGCTTAAATTGTTTTTACTATAATATTCGATGAGTATGATTTTCCTTATCAGGTTCATTAAATTTAGATGAAATATGATGAAATCTTAACATATTTCAGGGTACAGAAATGCGTAAATAAAAAAGAATTGAAAATTTGCCTGTAATATGTTTCTGTCATCGTTTATTAGATACTTCTGATACTATAATAAAATCTTATGTTACTAATTATTAATAAAGTGTATGATTTTTTAGTCGGAGATTCTAGAGGAAACATACACTCTCCCCAAAAATTGGGATTTTAAATTTTAACATATGGCCATGTTTAATTTTCCAGTCGCTTTTGAATATATAAGTCATAAGAGACATGTCAAAAAATTAATTATATAAGACATTCCTAATTTACATTTTAAATGTTTTAATAGAAAACATATTAATGAAGATGAATTTACAGATTCAGCAGATATAGAAATTTTGAAAAAAAAAACTTAAAAATAAAATTTATTTTATAAATGGGTTCATGCGACATTTTTGATTGATAAAATTTAGATTTTATGAATAATGTTTTAAAAAATTAGATTAATATAATAATTGATTTATTTTTTTATTCAATTTTATTTTTTTATTAAATTTGTTAAATTATCATCTTATTTTGTTTTTAATTCAGGTATCTCATTTTCTTCTTGTTTTTTCTCTACTTTTTTTTAACTTTTTAAAGAAGTATCAAAATATCTTCTTTCTAAATCAAAATATTTAATAAAAAGTTTCTTTAAAAAAAAAATTAAATAAAAAAAATAATTTTCTTACTCTTTTATACATATTCATTTATGAACTATTTAAAGAAGCATTTATTTATTTTGAAGGATATCTTAATACTTCTGCTCCGTCTTCAAATAAAATAACTGTAGGTAGATCCATAGAATTAACATCAATATTTATATTATATTATTCTACTATTTTTTTATTTCTATCAACTTCTATACAATAGAAATTAAAATCTTAAGTAGTATATTTATCTGCAAAAGAACCCCAAAAACCTCTAAGCTAATTTTTTTTAAAAAAAATAAAATAAAAAAACTTACATCAATACATTTGCTATCTGAAGTTCTATAAAACTCAACAAATTGCATTTTTTTATGAGTATATGTATTTGTATTATCATCCTTTTTTTCTTTGTTTTTTTTGAACTTTTATATACAATCATAAAAACTCTCTTTTGAATTAATTTCTTTCATATTTTTGTTAAATCCTAAATACTTAGGTTTTCTCAAAAACAAATAAAACATGATAAAAAGTAGCAAATATAAAAATGGTTAATAGCTATTTATTAAAAAGGATCGAGCAAAAATTGTTAATTCCGCAAAAAAAAAATATTAACTTAAAAGCTTTTCGATTGTGCATCCCCTTATTGATTATAATATTAACAATACTATTAGTGTTATCACTATTGAACCTTAAGAATTAAAATTAGTTATTAATTCTGATGAATATTTTTTGTCATATTCTGTTTTTATATACAGATATAGATGGTAGATTATAAATATCCCTAAAAATAATGAATGGATTTAATAATATGGTGCATTTATTCTTTTTAAAGTTTAAATCATTATATTTTTATTTAGATATATTAAAATATTAGTATATAGTATTTCTATATTATTATATATTAATTTTTACTTATAATTATTAATTTTTTTTAATATTTTTATTACTTTTTTATATTTATTTATATTTTTAAAGAATAATATTATTATTCTGTAATTACTTAAAATCAAATATATAGTATAACTTTTATATATATAAAATTTTTAAAAAGTTCAAATATTTAAAATAAAATTAACTAATTAAAATATTTTATAAAAATGTTTATTTTTATTCCTCTATTTATATTGGTGTCTTTTGCTGTTGTACTTCCAGGCTATATATGCTTACCTTCTTCTTCTCCTGCATTCAGGGTGTAAGTTTTTAAAATACTCCAATTTATCTACATGTACCTACTTATGTTCTAGTGCAAGTTTATATCCTTGTTCCAGTTTATATGTCTCTGTTCCAGTTTATGTTTCTGTTCCAGTTTATGTCCCTGTTCCAGTTTATATGTCTCTGTTCTAGTTTATATGTCTCTGTTCAAGCTTATGTACCTCTTCCAGTTTAGTCCATAATGCCTCCGGTTTGTGTACTAACATCTCTAGAACTTGCACAAGATATGCAATTTACAGCATTTGTGCCCTCATCCATATTTAATGTCGAAGTAACTGTTTTTGCAAGAAATTCGGCTGATCATAATTAATATAATTAAGCTATAAATAACTAAATATAAATAAGTATATTTTTAATTTATATTATAATAATAAAGTTTTAATCTAGATAGATTTTTTATAAAAAAAAAATTATAATTAATTATTAAAATTACTTAGATTTAATAATAAAATAATATTTTATTTTATATTAAATCATGTATTTTTATATTGCATTTTTATGATATATTATTTGTTAAAATTAATAGAAATAATATATTTATATTTATTCTAAATTATTATTTGTAAATTATCATTTAAACTAATTATTTAAATTGCTAAAATTTATGAAACAGTTATTAAATAATAAAAATAAAATATTAATTTTAATGATATATTTAATATTTTAAATAAAGATAATATTATAAATTTAAACATTATTAATATTATAAGTAATAATATATTTTATATTTATTTTAAATATTGATAAAAATTTTATATATATTATTCATTAAATAATAATTATATTTAAATTTATTCCAAAAAATATTTATTTTCATTTATTATAATTTTAATATATTTAATTAAAAAAAATAAAAACATAAAAATTTTAAATAATACTTTTTAATTAAATATAAAAAAACAATTCTTTATATAACATATTTATTAAAATAATAAAGAATAATGAAATTATATTTAAAAATATAATATATTTACATTTAAATAAAATATTCTATATAATTATATCAGTTTTATTTCTTATAATTATTTATTTTAATTAATGCTAGATTTTATACCTATTTCTAATAAATTAAAATAATTACAAATAATATAATAATTAAATTTATTTAATTATTTTAAATTATAAATACAATTTATTATTATAATATAGTTAATATTATATATTTATTTTTCATTTTTAAATTTTTATTTTGAAAATTATTTATATTTTTTTTATATTTGCTTTGTAATTTTTTTTCTTGCTTTTTTATATTATTTTTAATTAAAAATTGATTATTTATTGTTTTTACTTATATATATTCGAATTAATTATTATAAAAAATATTCTTAATCAATTTTAAATATTTTTATATTTAAAATTTAAATAATTTAAATATTTATTTTAAATTAGTTCTATTTTATCTAGCTCTTATTAAATATTATACACATATATTTTATGTTCTGATTTTTATTATTTTTAAAAAAAAAATCAGAGTAAGCAGTATATTAAAATATATATGAACAAATGGTGTATTTGTATATATATTTTTTAATCATTTTAGTGAATTATTTATTAAAATTTTAATTTTCTATTCTTATAATTGATTTTACTTACATCATTTTTAATTTTTTAAAAGTTTAAATTTTATTTTTTCAAGTAAAAAGAAGAACAAACAGAATAATTCAATCTCAAAAAAAATAATGAATTTTAATAAAATAAATAGATATTTATGATGATTAATTTGATTACTACTAATTAATACCTAAAATAAATTAAATAAAAATAATATTTTTTTGCTTCCATTTAATTATTATTTTAAATAAGATTTACTATTAGTTTTATTTTATATCTACATAATCTGTAATAAATTATCTTCTATAATTATCCATAAGGAATTATTTACGAATTTTTTCAAAAAAATATTCTTTGTTAGGATTTAATATATTTTAACATTTTTGCATTATTTCTTCTGTAAATATTATAAATTATTTATAAATCTTTATATTGTGAAACAACCACTATATAATTTAAAATATAAGGCGATGAGATAAAAAATTACTTCCTTTATTAAAAGCATGATTTTAGAAAATTATATACCATTTTTAATATAGAAGAAAATAAAAGTGTATTGATATTTCTATAAATATAAAATTCAATTTTTTTAATTTTTTATAAATTTTTTTATTATTATGTTGATGTTCTTAGTCAGAATTTTTGTATTATTTCATATATACGGAATTATTTAGATGATTATATTTATTATATATATTACTTATTAAGATTTTTTTGTATTTTTTTAAAAAACCAGAATCGAAAAAAAAGGTGAGAAAAAATGGATTGTTTAATTTTGTTAATAGAGTTTTTGAAAAAAATTACAGAAAAAATAAAAAAAAAATACTAGAAATTAATATTTTGATTTCTGTATGTATCTTAATAAAATATTTTTTTTTATTAATGAATTTTAATCGAGATTTTTTAATTGCTTTGCAACGCTTTCATAATTTTATTTTAATCGTTGTTATGTTAATATATTTTGTATAAACTTTTTTATTTTTTTGATTTTATTATTTTCATTTTTTTTTTATTTTTATAAATATTTTAATTTTTTATTAATAAGTTTAATATATATATTTTATTATTTTAATAATAGAAACTCGGCATAAATTTCTAAAAAAAAAAAATTAGATTCATTATTATTGGCTGGTTAATATTTATTAAAATATAATTAATTAAAGTATGAACATAAAAAAATAATATTTGTTTATAATAAAATTTATTTTTGGAAAACCTATATTTTTAATATTAAATTAAAAAAAAATCAATATTAATTTTTTTTTTTTAAATTAAATTAAATAAAAAATAAAGAGATATAATAACATAAATTATATATATATATATATATATATATATATATATATATATATATATATATATATATTTAATCATATCAATATAAAAAAAGTAAGTAATAACTGTAAACAAAGAAATGTAGTTATAAAAGAAATCCACATTTAACAATAATGTTGATACTTAGTAACGATAAAGTCTAAATAAAACTATAAAAAGCTTAATAAATTTGTTAAAAATCAAGCATTTGAAATTCTTTGATTAAAAATTAGAAATATAATATATCCAAAATTAGACTGAAATATTATAATACCGTACAAAATTAATGTCAATAAGTTTATTTATAATATTTATTGGTTTGTTTTCAAATAACTTATAACAAAATAAGGGCAAAAATATAAAAATCGAGTACATAATCTTATCTTTATTGAATCTTTTATTAATTCGTTTATACAAATATAATTTTTTTCGAATATCAAAGTGTTTTTTTTAACTAGGGCAAGTGATATTTTTGCTTTATTTAAATAAAAAAGAATTAAAATAAAATGAAGAAAATTTATTTACAGAATGTTTTTTAGGAATTTTCTGTTCTATGTAAATTATTTAGAATTAAGCAGATTATTATTTGAAGATTTCAGGAACTTTTTTATATATAATTATTTTTGATATTATCATTAATAATAAACTCTTGTTTATTTTCGTAAGTATTTTATTTGCTTTGACTTTTTGTGTGTATTTTTATAAAGAAGAATAAGGTTAAAGAGAACTTTTCTTGGAATTAAAAATGCGAAATTAAAATATGGATTTATTATAAAATCTTATAGACGAAAAAATAGCTTCTGGCGTCGTTATTATATCTAAAAATGAAGAAAAGGAGGAAATAAAAACCAAATTTATGAATAAAATCATTAAAGAACAATTATAAATAGAAAAAGAAACGGAAATTATCAATAAACTAAAAGAAATAAAAGTCCAAAAATACGATGAAAAAAAAGAAATTATTAAAAAAAGCAGTTTATAAACTAATTTATACACATAAATTCAAGAATTTTTTAATAAAAAAATAAAAGCAGAATAAGAAAACAGTGTTTCATAAATTGAATCATTTAATGGGTAAATATTTGGAGGTTTTTTTAGAAAAAAAAATGAATATTTGAGTACTTTTAGTGATGAATTATAAGAAAAGCAGTTTGATTTTAAAATTAATTAAATTATTTGGGACAATCAACCTGCATTAATAATTATGGTAACTGATTCTACATAATAAATGATCAATAAAAAGTTTGAAGAAATCGATAAATATAAATAATAATTATTATATATGATATCTCATATAAGTAGAACTCCTTTAAATTCTATTATTAATATTGCTGATGTACTTTTGTATGCTTTTACCAAAAATATTAAATAAAAAGTTGAAGAAATTGTATAAAATTTACATTTTATTAAAAATAATGGACTTATTTTATAATATTCTATCCATAATATTACAGATTTAAGTTAAGATATTGGACATATTGACTCTGAATTATTTGATATTGGATGTATTATGGCTGAAATTATGGATATTTATTGGTATTAGGTTGGAGAAAAGAATCTTAAAGTCAAGGAGAAATATGAAATTAGAAATATAAAAAATGATAAAAAACGAATTAAATAAGTTTTATTTGAAATTATAGGAAATGCAATAAAATACACAGATAAAGGTAAAATTTAAATATCCACAAAAGAAGAAAATAAAGATTTTTTCTGGATTAAAATATCAGATACAGGGAAAGGAATGACTGAAAGTGTTTAAAATAACCTTTTTAATGTTCGAAAAAGCGTTATGAGAGTTTCTTTGGAGAAAAATAAATTCGCCATGAAGGTTAATGCAGGGTTAGGTTTAGAATTTACAAGAAAAATGGCTGGGATTTTAGGACCTTTTGATAAGGTTTTTATTTAATCAGGTGAAAATTAAGGTTCTTCATTTAAAATTTTACTTTTTAAAGATTGGGATTAAAGGCAAAACGCTAATTGTGAAGAAATAAAAAAAAAAATTGTTAAAGATTTGAATTAAAATAATGAAGAAATATTAACTCCTGATTATGTTAATTTTAAAAAAAATTAAAGAAAAGATATTAATTTTTCAAAATCCTAAATCAAAAAGAAAACCAATATTTCTACTGTAAATGAAAAAATGTATTTTTCAGTAATTCAATAGTTTGACTATAATGAATAAAACGAAATATAATGTAAATAATTAGGAAATGAATACAAATATGTGCATTCTATTGAATAAATTTCTTTAGATATCCCTAAAGAAGAATAAATTTTGGATGAAAAGTTAAAATAATTAAGCACAAATGATAATTTTTTATAAAAAATATCTTAAAATAATCAAGAAAATTATTCCAATTCAAATGTTTCACCTGAATTTAAGTCCTTTTTTAATAGAAGTTCAATGAAAAAAGCAACTTTTATAAAATAAAAAAATAGTGTTGATGAAATAACACACTAATTAAATATAATTTTTGATAAACCTTCTTATATATTGGCTATCGATGATATCCCTTTTAATTTATTTGTACTTGAAAAGTCATTAGAAAAATGTAAAAATATAATTTTTCATAAAGCTTAAAGTGGAAAATAATGTATTGAATAAGTTCTTAGGCTCAAATAAAAATAAGGATTAAATTACATGCTTTATTTTATGGATATTCAAATGCCTGATTTAGATGGATATTAAACTTTTATTTAATTATAGGAACTTATGAATAAAGGCACTATTTTGAAAGCACCTGTGTTTGCTCTTTCAGCTTTTTCTGATGAAAAGCTTAAATGCTAAAATATTGGAATGTAAGGATTTATTGAAAAACCTTATTAGTTATAGGATTTGGTTAGAGTTCTCTTTAATTTTTTTGGCCTAATTTAATTAAATCTAAATAATAATAGTAATAATTGACCTTTTAATTTTTTTTCTAATTTTAAAGATAATTTCATTATATATTTTTCTTTTTCCAAAAAATAGATTTTATTATTTTTGTTGTTATTAAATTATTTTAATTTTTTAATTATACAAAAATAAATAAAAACTAAATAAACAAATTCATAAAAAGGGATAAATTATATATAAAATAAAAGATTTCCTTAAAAAATAATAATATTTAATAAATAAATAAAAATAATAAAAAAAAAAAAATGACATAAGAATAAGAACATAAGCACGATCATGAGCACGATCATGAACATGAACATGAACACGATCATGAAAAATGCGATTCTCATAAACACGACAGTGATTCAGGAGATGATGTTGATGATGGAAAGAAAGGAAACAGAGGAGAAAAGAAATTCAAAAAAGCAATGAGCAAATTAGGCATGAAACCAGTATCAGGAATAAACAGAGTCACTATTAGAAAAGGGAAAAATCTTCTTTTGTATATTGATAATCCTGAAATTCTTAAATCACCTGGAGTTGATAATTCTTATATAATGTAAAATATATTTATATCAATAAATTATTTATTTATATTATAACAAAAATTAAATATATTTAAGATTCGGTGAAGCCAAAATTAATGATTTCGCATAAAATTTGGCATCAAAAGAAGCTAACAAATTTAAATCTTAAGCTCCTACTGAAGCTGCTTAATAAGCAACCAAAGAAACTTCTACTACTAGTACTAGTGAAGGTGCTAACGAAACTAATTTAGATGAAACTGGTCTTGACCCTGAATCTATTAAGATGGTTATGGAACATGGTAAATGCTCTAAAGCTGATGCTATTAAAGCTTTAAGAGAAACTGACGGTGACGCAGTTAATGCTATTGTTAAATTCTAAAGTTGATTTATTTTAAATTTATTGTTTTATTTTTATATTTATTTTATTAATGCTTTGCATTTTTTTATTAAATTTAATTTGATTTTTACTTTATAATTATAATTATTTTTTAAATTTATATTAATTTTGATATTAAATATTTAAATGCTAAAATAATTTTTCGATCAAAAATAATTATAATTAAGTATTTGCATTTTAATGTTTACAAATAATTTTAACAGAGCTTTATTTAAATTAATTTACTATTTTAATTTTTAATAATAGCTTTACATATTTTTTTATTTGAAATTTTAAAAAATGATTATCCAAATATATATTATTTTATATTATTCTGTGATAATTTGTATTTTAAATTTCTTACAAAATATAAATAATTAATATGTGTTTTTTATTAAATTATATTTCTATAATAAAATAAAATGACATATGACTTAATTTAATGAATATAAAAATATTAATTAAATTCAAATTTAATATAATAATATTTTTAAAATTGAATTGTATATATTGGTAAGAGAAAATGTTTAATTAACTAGTAAAATAAAAAACAAAAAAAGTTTATAAAAAACAAAATTCAAAAAAGCTTTTAAAAAATATGTTAATTTTATAAATAAAAGTTAAATTTATTCCGAAACAATTTAAATTTTATAAAAAAATATTAGACATTTTATAAATAACAAACAGCTTCGAAAATTTCAAAAATTCCAGTAAAGTATATTTTTTAAAAATATACCTACGCAAAATATCATTTAAAAATAGACAAAAATACAAATAAGAATTTTTTTTAACATAAATTCATAAAATTATCAATTTTGAAAATAAATTAGGATAAGAACTTAAAAAATATAAAAGATTTTTAAATTGTTAAAATTAAATAATTACAGAATTTAGAATGTAATAAAGTAATTAAGGGTTATGTATAAAAAAAGAAATAATGAAAAATCTATATAGTATTAAAAAACAAATCAATAAATATAAATTGCATGGAAATAATAAAGAAATATAATATGTGTATAATTAACTAGAAATTAGTTATTAAAAAAAAGTAAAAGAAAAAAAAAATAATAAAATAAAAAAAAATCAAAATATAAAGAGAGCAAAATTTATTAAATACTTTAAAAAAGGCAATTTAAGTAATATTTAAAATTTGTCATGAAATTTTATTAATATTTTGATAAAATATATTAAATGTTTATAATGTTCAAAAATATAAATATAAATATAAATATAAATATAAATATAAATATAAATATAAATATAAATATAAATATAAATATAAATATAAATATAAATAATCATTACTCTTGCTGAAATCATAAATTTATCTGTTCATTTCCTTCATTATGTGTAAAAATATCTTTTTAAACAAATATTTGCTTTTAACTATGTTAAGATTATCGATTTGTCTTAATATTTTACTTTTTCTAATAAAATTGTATATAAAGTTTAAAAACTTGCACTAATTTTAAAACAGTTTTCAATTTATCAGGATATTTACAATTCTCTTACATTAAATATAAAATAATTTGTATATATTGTACTAAATTTATTGTTGACTTGAAATATTTTATGAATAGATTTGAAAATTGGAATATCAATTATTATGTTAACAATAAAGTAATATTGAAAATATTGATTGTTAGGTCAAAATAAATGTCTTTAAATTTATTATTAGACTAAATTTTTTATGTTTAATATTTTAAATCGTTTTTTTAATATATAAAGTTTTAACTAAACAATTTTATTTTTTTATAAATATATCCTATTTTTGAAAAAATAAACAAATTTTCATTTTTTTTTTAATATTATTAATTTTTTTATCTAATCCATTAAAATAAATTTATATAAAATAGCTCAAAACATATATATATTTTAAATGATTAAATAAAATACTCGATTTAAATAAATTGAATAAAATAGTATTATAATATAATTCACTTTTTAAAATATTTAATATATTGTGATTTATAATATAAAAAAATACCTTTTTATTGTAATAATAATAAATATCCTATAAATTAATAACTTATTTACAATAAATATCTCCAAAAAAGATTAATTTATTTTGATAATTTTTAAGAAAATTTTATAAAAATAACAAGTATATGTATCTTTGATTTGTATTATAATAAAGATAATTAATAATCTTATAATTTTATATAAATTAAATCAATATTTACTTATTAAAAAATAGTTTTTTATATTTTATAATTTAATTTATTAAAAAAACATAAAAATGTAAAAAATTCAATCAATAATTTTATAAATTTAAAAGAGTTTATTGCTTCAATAATAACTAAAAGTTTTTATAATAACTTTTTTCGCACATGCATCTTTACACGGTAAAAATAATAAAGATAAAAATAAAAAAAATAAACCTTAAAAAAGCATTACGAACATCTTGGTCTTTTTATTCAAAATACATAATAAATGACATAAAATAAATAACTTCATAACAAATAGGTTACATGAACACGTCTTTTTTATTGTTAATGGGGTTCGGCTTATATTTTTTTGGAGGATTAGGTAAATAATATCTTAAAAATAAAATTAAAAAAAACTAGGTGATAAAATAAGTGCAAAAAAATATTTAATGTTTGGCATAATTTTATCAGCATTATTTGTATTCATGATACCAATATTTTATTTTCTAGGAATTTATTCCCCAATATATTTCATTATTTTATAAGGATTAAATGGTTTATTTGAATCTACAGCACAGCCAGGTTCAATGAGACTTTTAGGAACCTGGTTTTCAAGCCAACATCGAGGTATTTTATTAGGAATATGGTCTGGTAGCCGTAGTTTTGGAGACGTATAAGGATTATATTTATCTCATATAATAATTAATAAATTCAGTTTATAATGGAATTATGGTTTAATAATATAATCATTCATATGCTTTTTGATAAGTTATTTAATATATAAATAAATAATTAATTATCCTGAAGAAATAGGCTTAAAAATTCAATAAGAAACTACAATATAATAAGAAAGTTTACAACTAACGCATTAAAAGACACATATTTCTATAAGTTAAGCTTTTTATACAATTCCAGGACTTTTTTGGCATACATTAACTATGATGTTTTTGAAAGCTTTAAACTATGGAATACTTTTTTGGTATCCAAAGTTTTTACAGGATATAGGACTTAAATAATAAAGTTCATACATCGCAATTTTCTGCAGTGTAGGAGTACTTTTAGGAGGAATAATTTCAGGATGGATAGGAGATAAAATAGATAAAAAAAGAGGTATTTTAATACCTCCAAGCCTTTTCTTACTTGTAATTTGTCTTTATTTTTTCAGTGTTTTAAATTAATAAAATGATTCAATTTTACATTTTTATTTTTACTCATTTTTTATTGGATTTTTTCTTGGTGGACCTTATAATGTACATCATGGACCACTTGTAGTTGATCTTGGTTAACATGAATCTCTTAAAAATAATAAAGAAGCAATAGGAAGGGTTACTGGGATTATTGAGGGAGCTGCTTGTATTTCCTCGGCGATTGTTTAGATCGTAATTCCGTATTATGGAGAAAATAATATCTTTAAACTTTTTATAATTATTAGTTTAGGAAGTATTGGATGCATTTGGCCTGTAGCTGTTAGTGACTATAAATATTTTAAAAATAAATATAATAATTATAGTTTAAACAGAAAAAAAATTGAAAATTTAAAAAATGATGTAAAAATACAAAATTTATAACATTAACTTATTTAGAAATATTGATTAGTTTAAAGGTCTATTAAAATTTATTTGAATTAATTAAAAAAAATATAATTTATGAAAAAAATATATTATATCTTTATATATTTAATTATAAGAATTTATATAAACAAAAAATATTTAAGTTTATTTGCTTTGATAAATAATTTAATTATATAATACAATTATAAAAACTAAAAAGTAAAATTAAAATTATAATATGTTTAAAAAGATAATGATAAAAAAAATTATAAACATTAAAGAAATATATATATATTTATTAACTATTTATAATGTCTTAAAAGAAAAAATTATAAATTTTAATAATATTTATATTTATATTTATATTTATATATATATATATATATATATATATATATTTTTTTTTTTTTTTATATTATAAATTTTTTTTTTTTACATTTTAAATATTTATAATTAATAGACATATATATATATATATATATTATTATTTTGTATAAATTTAATGTTTATATTATTTTTATTTTATTAAATTAAATTAAATATTTTAATTTGTTTTTTTTAAATAAAAAAAAAGATATTAAAATTTTTTATACATATAATTTTTTTTTATATCATAATAGTCTAAATTTATAATATCTTTTTTTTATTTTTACTAAAAATATATTATATAAATTTTATTTATTTTCAGAACTTTTATTTATTAATAATAAAATAAGATACTTTATATTAATGTATCTTATTCAAAATTATTTAAATTAGTAAATATAATAAATAATAAAAAAAATACAGGTATTTTTTAACATATTATTTTCCTTTTAAAAATAAAATTTTAAAATTTTTATTTTTTTATTAATATATACTTCTAAAATAAATTAATAATATAAATATAAATATATAAATATAAATATATATATATAAATATATTTATATATACATTTATTATATTATTTATATTTAACTTTATATATAAAACATTTTTATTTTATTTAATTTTAAATCATATATATTTATATTTTATTGTATATATAAATTAATATTATAAACATATATATTTATTTAATTTGTTTCTTTTTTTTTTTTTAGTTTTTTATTTTTTTTATCTAATAAAATTTATTTTTTAGTTTTTATTAAGAATACTTTTTATTTATGTTTTTTTTATTTATTAATTTTAATAAAATAATATATTTTTAATTATTAATTTAAATATTATCAAAATGTTAAATTTATTTTTATAATTATAATATTTTTTTTATATATAATTTTTTCTTTTTAATATATTTAAACTGTAATTTCTTTTAATTTAATTTATTTCATAATTATATATATATATATTATTTTTATCTTTATATTTTTTTTATATATAATATTTCAATAAAAAAAAAAAAAAATTTTAACTATAAAAATTTTTTATATTTTTTTTATTTTTAATAATTCACAATATTTTTTAGGTTAATTAATATAATATATTTTATTTTATTTTTTTCCAAAAAATAAAAATATATTTATATAGCTAAATCATGCAATTAGTTAATATAATTTTCCTCCAAATCCATATGAAATCATAACGTTGATAATATTTAGCCTTTCCTCTTTAATATTTAGTTTTTTCACGACACTGAACTAGTATATATGTCATCAGATAGATATTGGGATTCCTGTTATGGAAGTTTTAGTTATTCTGCGTTTAGATTGTAAAAAAAATTATAATATAGATATTTTTTTCCTCTTATTTAAATTTTATCATAAATTCTAGAAACTTTTTTTTATTATTAATCATATTAATACTTAATTGTTTGTTTTTAAATTTTTATATGTAGGTAGTATGAGCTTAATATACATATATAATAAAAAATTAATTGCAGTAGTCTACCGTGATTATTCTGAATTATAAATACATGCATACATAATTTAATTATCATAAATAATTATTTAAAATAAATAAAATATTTTAAAATATAATTATAAATATTATTCTATTCATTAACTAAAATTCAAAATTGAATAAAAAACATAAGAAAACCAAAATAATAATATTTTTTAAAATAATAAATAATTTAATAATTAAAGAAATAAATCTAAAAAAAAATATATCAAATAAAATTTATATTGAATATGAATAATTTAAAATTTATTTAAATTTTTAAATAAAATATGTCTTTTTCTTTATTATTTTTACAATTTCTTAAATCTATTATTTTTTTTGCTTAAATAAAATTAAATTAATAGTTTTATTAAATAATTTTTTATATATATATTTTATGAGATTAATTTTATGGTTATTAAAGTTTTAATTTAAAAAAATATATTTTATGAATAATATTTATACAAAAATATGAATTCATAAACTAGCATTTATAAACAAATTTTAATAAAATGTTATCCTTGTATATTTTATGGAGCAATTTCAATTTAAATTTTATTTATAGTAAAATCAATTTCAAAATAAATTAATTAAATTGGCTACATTACAGTAATTAAAATTAAAATAAAAAAATCAATCATATTTATAATTAACAAAGGTATTCACATACTAATAAATATTTTCTTATATATTATGCTAAATAATATAATAAATAATAAACAAAAAGTAAAATAAAATTCAAATATAATAATAAGAAACTGAATTTGAAAAGGTATCAATTTTATAGTAGTTAAGAAAAAATTAATAAATCATAGTTTATTCTATAATTTATTTAATAAATATTTATACAGGAGTAAAAGCAAATTCAATATTGCCTATACCTATGTATATTAAAAAAATAAAATTATTTAATCTAATTTATTTGTGAACAAACAAAAAGGTACCTCTAATTAAGAAGAACATTAATATTTTTTGTTTTTATTATTTCATTAATACTTGGAAAAAATTAGCATTACAATGGGAAAGCTAAGCTATCAATTGCATGTATAACATCAGGAGCTTTAATTGCTGGGTATAATACTTTTGATGATAATTTATATGGTTATTTATTCTGCTTTTTAAATAATATATTGACTGCTATAGGTTTATAACTAAGCAAAACTTTGAATGATAATTCTAATATTTCACCTTTTTGTAAATATAAATTATATTATTTTAATAATAAAAAATTAAAGAACTTATTAATGAAAATAGTAAAAATTTATTTCCTATTTGTTTAATATTTACTTTACTTTAAAAAAATATATAAAATATATTTAATCCTAATATACTAACATGGAATTTTATATTAATAATATAATATTATTCAATTTTAAGTAAAAAATATAGTTATATATAAAAAATAAATAAAAAAAAATATTTAGGTTTTTTGCATTAATTATCAGTTAATTTATGCACGATGTAATGTTCAACTTTATCTGTTTCTGTGACAAATAATTTAAAAGTAATATATATATATATATATATATATATATATATATATATATATATATTTATATATTTGTAAAATTGTATTTTTATATTTTAAAAGGATATATTAAGCACTATAGTTTCTTTATTCATACATAATGATATATAAGTTGATGTATTTTTAGTATTTGGTTTATTAATGTCATTTATAGGATCATATATATATATGTATTCTAACTATTAAGAATTTAAAGAAAAAAAGAAAAAAAAAATAGAATGAACATATAAATTCAAAATATATATATATATAAAAAAAAATTAACTTTCTCAATTAAAGAGAAAAAAATAATATAACTTTTATATAATTAAAAAAAAAAATCAAAAAATCAAAAAAAAAAAAACGAAATAAAAAAATGGACATTTATCGTCTTTCAACTGACATAAAATTTATGAATTAAATTGGTATGACATTAAGTGTAGAAGAAAGGTATATAAAATAAAAAAATAATAAAAAAAATCAATATAAAAAGAATGAAATTAGAATTATCCATATTAAAAATTAATGAAAATGAAAATTTCGACTAAATATTATTTTGGGGAAAAATCCAAGGTGTAAAAGCAGATTATTTTGTAGCTTTAGCTTTGTAATATAAAGGAAAATTTGAGTTTCCTTCTAAGAAATTTTACTTTGCCAAAAGTGATACATTTGATTTTGAAGAACTTCCTGAATGTAATTTAGAATATTAACAGTAAGTTGATACATTTAGGACATTATTTACAGGAGATCCAAAAACTGTTATCATCCCTCTCAAAGAAGAAGAAGAAGCCCCTCCAGCAGATGCAAACTAAGAAGAAATTCAAGAAAAAGCTCCTGTTGATTCTGATGAAGACGAAAATCCTAAAGTGAAACCAAAACCTTTTACAGAATCAGATAGATTGGCCTATATAATAAGAGCAATTGAAAATGACTGTTCTTTAGTTCCTGTAGGAGCTTTAAAACTTACTCCATCTCATGAATTAAGATATAATGATTCTTTTAAAGGTCTAAGCTTAAAAGAAGTTAACTAAATAAGTTTATATTAACATTTTAGAGCTCCATAAACTTAAGAAAAAAAAGATTTCATTAGTAGAGATGACGCTATTTTCCATTTCAATATTTTTGATCCTATTCATAATGATTTACCTAAAGGTTGCTGGTCTTTATAGACAGACTCCTCTAAAACAAATGTATAAATTACTTTTATTTTATTTTTGTTTTTACTTATTTAATTTTTTTTGAAAAAAGGCAACTTTAAGAAGTCTTACTTGGCCAGGTTTTGTGGGATACCATAGAGCTAACTCGAGAATATTTGGATATTGTTATATTGGAAACGGATTAAAAAATTGTGATTTACCTTTTCTTTTATGATTTTTTTATTATATTAATTACAATATTATAATGTTATACATTTTATTAAATTTTTTTATAAAATATTTAATTTTTATATTCAATATTTAATTATATATATATATAATTATATATATATATAATTATATATATATATAAATATATATATAATATATATATATATATTAAAGCTTATATGTAATTTTTTTAAAAATAAAAATATTTTTATGAATTTTTTTTATTTATTATTTCGATAAAAACTATTAATTTCTAGTTTATGCATAATTTATTATTTTATTGATTTAATTAGTTTGTATAATACATTCATTATTAGCATATTAAATATTTTTGTATCTTTATTTACCAACTAAAATTAAATTAATTATAATTTTTAAAATAGAATATGATTATAATATTGATTAAATAATATTTTGAATATAATATTATTTTAATATTAATCTATATATTTATTTATTATGATTTATTATTCTAAATATAACTTTATTGTTTGAGATTAATACATTATAAAACATAAAATAGTCAATTACTATGATTATTAAAATAATTATAATTTAAATTTTATATTTAATTATTATTACAAAAAGTATTAATTTAAATAATTAATATAGGCTTTAAATATTGTACAATTAATTAAAATAGTCTGATAAAACTATAATAACAGTTTTTGATTATAAAAAAAAAATTAGGCTAACATCTTATTTTAAAAGTTTTAAAATATAAATAATAAATTATTGTTATAAAAGAAAAAGCTATTATTTAATTAATTACAATATTTTTCTTAATATAATTTGTATATTTTAATTATGAAATATGTTAATTAATTAATTATAAAAAAATATTTACTTAAAAAAGGATGATATTTTAAATTTAATATAATATATATATATATATATATAGTTTTCTTAAAAATTAATATATAATTATTTTGTATTTATATATTGATATTTTTATTTATATTATCTAAAATTTTATATTATTTTTATTATTATTAATAATATAAAAATTAATATTATTTATAATATTATTATTATTTATATTATTATAAATAAAAATATTTAATTATTAAAATATATTTTAATTTCATTTTTTATTTTTAATATTATTTGAAAATTAATTATTATTATAATAAAATTTTTTTAAATATTTATTTTTATTATTATTATTATTATCATTATTATTATTATTATTAATATTATTATTATTTAATATTTTAATCATTTTTTTGTTTTTTTATATATTCTTTAATATTTTTTATATAAAAATTTATAATTATTTTAACTATTGTATTTTAATTTATTTTGTTCAATTATATTTTTTTTTTTATACATAAAAATATATTTATAATAATTTTTTTTTATATATTTACTTATTTAATATATTAGATAATTTATTTTTAATTATAAATATATTTTAAAAATAATGTTATGTAATTAATTTTTAATATCTTATTTATTATTATTACATATATTATTTCATTTTACCAACATAATATATTCTTTATTTATTTTTAAAAATTAATTTTTATTTTTTATATTCACACTAATTTTCTAGCATTAATTTATGTTCAGCTATTTAACTGTTTTTAATATTATAATAAAATATTTTTAATAAAAATAAAAATATAATATTAGATATTTAAATAATTTTATTGTAATATCTCTTTATATATTTAAATAAATTTTTGGTGTTTAATATTATTTATCATTTATTAACCTACTATTATTTTTATTTAAACTTTTGTACAATATAATCTAAAAATTACCAAAATTCTTAATTAGTTTTACAAAGTGATATTTAATTTATTCTTATTAAATTATCTTATATTGTATTAATATAATAGTCGTAATAATATATCGATTTAATTAATATTTATATATATATAGAATTATCATCATTTACTTTCTAACCTAAGATTTTTTAAAAATGAAAATTTTATTTATAAACAAAATTTCATATAATTTGATAAATAATTCTATGTTTCTTCTTGTGAATTTACCTTTTTCACAGCTATATACTTTTATTTTAATTTTACTATATTTTTTATATGTTAAAAGCTTGAATCTTACTTAACATACTTAAATATATATAAAATCTTAACTAATAATGCATTTATTGATTTCTTTATTTTTAGATATTAATTCTCACTATTTTTAATTTTTTTTTTTTTTTTAGATAAAAATATATAGTTTAATTGATATTATTTAAATTAGGACTGTTCAGAATTTTTCTTTTAAATAAAAATTGGATTATAAAATTTAGATTTTAATAAAAGATATGTGATATAGATTAGTTTCTTAAATAATAATTAAATACTTAATTTAAATATCAAAAAAAAATATATTGATTTTGTTATTTTTTTAGATTTTGCTTATTTATTTATATTTAATTTATAAAAAAATAATTTTTATTTTTAATATATTTTATAATAAATTTTTATAATTATATCATATTTTTCATAATTCATGATAAATAAAATAATAATTTTTTTATTTAAGTAACAATAAAGTTTTAAGTAAATTTATTTTTATCATAAAAATCATAGTTAATAAATATTAAACTTATGTGTAATATTCATTTTCAAAAATATAATTATAATTAAATAGTCAACAATTATATAAAAAATTTAAATTTAATTAATTTTAAATTTTAATATTTTTATATTTTAATTAAAAAATCTTATATATATATATTAATTTTTAATAAAATGTAAAATGATAAAAAAGTCAATTAAAAAGAATAATATTTTATGCTTAAAAGTTTAATAAAAATGATAGAAAATTGATAAAATTAATACATTAATAATTAATATTAATGAATATATATATAAATAAGCATAATAATATATTTTATAATTTTTACTTTTATACATTTTTTTTTTAAAAATATATATATCACTTATAATTCTTATCAAATAATATGAAAAAATTTAGAATATATATATTGATTATATAATTTATAATATATAGTTTTTTATAAAATTTAAAAAAAAAATATTATTAAAAATTTGCATTTTTTTATTTTTAAATAGCGAAGAAATATTTAAAAATATTAAAAATTTATATTATAAAAGTTCAATATTCTATTTAAACAGATATAAGAAATAATCTTTTTAATTTTATATTTGTTTTTTATTAATCATATTTAATTTATATAAGTTTTTCAAATGTAATATAATTTATTTAATATTAATATCTTTGCAATTATTTTTTTTGCATTAAACATAACAATGTTTAATACTTTTATAAAATAAATATATTTTTTATTATAGTTTACTACCAATAAATAATAAATAATTACTAAATTAAAAGAAATATTATAGATTAAATTATAAATTAATTTAATAGATAATTATACTTTTACCTTCAAATATATAATTAATTTAATCTTTTTTTACTAGAAAATACTTTTATTATAATATTTTTTCTATTTCAATTTATTTAAATCCAAAAAGAAATAAAATAAAAGAAAAAAAAAAACTAAAGAGAAAAAATAAATAAAAAAATTATAGTGGTATATAAAAAAAATTAAAAAAAAACAAATGAGGGGAAAAAAAATTAAAAGAAAAATAAAAAACTTCCCTAATAATATAATATATAATAAAATAATCAAACTAATTTAAAATCTGATTTTTTTTCTCTTCTTAATATAGGAAGAATAATTAAAAATAAAAAAAGAAAATTAATAGTTAAATAATAATAAATAATATAAATAATAAATAAATAAAATAATAAAAAAAAATATAAAAAACAACCAAAAAATTAAAAAAAAAAATGGCTAGAACTAAATAAACTGCTAGAAAATCCACTGGTGTAAAAGCACCTAGAAAGCAACTTGCTACAAAGGCAGCTAGAAAATCCGCACCTGTTTCAACTGGAGGATTAAAGAAACCTCATAAATTTAGACCAGGAACAGTTGCTTTAAGAGAAATAAGAAAATATTAAAAGACAGTAAAATTTTTTATATTTTTATAATTTATTTATTTAAATTTAAAAAAAGACAGATTTATTGATTAGAAAACTCCCATTTTAAAGATTAGTTAGAGATATTGCTTTAGAATTAAAAAATGATGTTAGATTTTAATCTCAAGCTATATTAGCTTTATAAGAAGCTTCTGAAGCTTACTTAGTTGGACTTTTTGAAGATACTAACTTATGTGCTATACATGCTAAAAGAGTCACTATTATGACAAAAGATTTACATTTGGCAAGAAGAATTAGAGGTGAAAGATTTTGAATGAAATTTATTATATTTTTTTTTTAATAAAAAATAATATTAATATTATAAATTTTATGAATACCTTTTTATTTTATTAAAAAAAATACTCTGATAAATATCAATTATATATATATGGATATATTATATATATATATTTTTTTATTTTATATATGTATTTTGCTTTCTTATTATATTGTTTTTATTTTTTTTATTTTTTTATTATTTAAAAAAAAAAATTATTTATTTTAATAAGTTTTTTTAAAAAATATAAAAAATTTAAATTTTTAATTTTCTTTTTTCTAATTTATCATTAATTAATTACTTCATCATCTTCAGATTCTATCGAATTAATAAATTCATTTATATTCTATAATTACAAATAGTCTATATTATTAATTTATAATTGTTATTAATATTATAATTAATTATTATCTATGTGCCTTTTTTATACTTAAGTTTATATTAAATCGTCTAAATTATGAATAATTTTACAATTAAAGTTATTTAACAAGATGAAATTAAATTAAATATCAGTTCCTTATTTTATTAAAATCTATTTTAAAAATATATAAATAAAAAAATAATATTATAAATTAATGTTTACTTTTTTATTTTATAATTAATGTAGACTTTATTTGATATGGCTTATTTTTTTTTATTCTATTCCTATATAAACATTACTATAGCATTTTATATATTTTTTGAAATATTTAGATATTATATTTTTTACTTTCCATCGGAAAGATAAAATTTGAGACAACTATTTTATGTGTTTTTGGCATTTAAATCTTGTTTTTCTGCAATATTTTGGATAAATAAAATTTCTAAAAAAATATCATTTAAAATCTAAATTTAAATTTATTAAATGACTTTTATTTTTTTTTAAATAAAAAATATTTTATACTTTCTTGTTATCTTTAATATTATTCAAAATAATAATATTTTATTATTAATTTATATAAGATTCAAATTTATCATTTATTATACTAACGAAAAATTACTTTATCTATTTATTAAAAATAATTAAATCATTCATTAAGCATTATCTTCTAATTAAAAAATAAACATATTAAAATTACATTTGAGTTTAAGTTTTAAAAGTCAAGCAAATGATTAATTATTTAATTTTGAAGTTAAAACTTTTCCAAATATGAAGTTTGTATGAATAAAGTAAATTTTTTTTATAAATAATCTTTAAAATTCATTTATTTTGATTTTAAAAATATCAGTAAAAATAAAAAAATAAAATACTTTAAATAGACAAAATTTTATTTTTTATAAAAATTTTCTATTACTTGAAAATATTTTTATTTAAAAGCAATTCAATAAAACTTAATTAATATTATAAATAAATAAATTTAAAATAAGAGCTTAGTAAAACTAAAAATTCAAAAGATTCAACAAAATAAATGATAAATCCGTTACTTGAGAAGAGAAGACTTCCTTAAAATTCAAAATCTCGCTTAAATTCTAAACCTCTTTAGAATCCCAATATTCATTAAAATTCGTAAAATATTACATATTAAGAATTACAAACAATAAACCCGGCAAAAAATTAAAAAATATAAAGTGAATCTAATCAAATAAGACAAATTTAAAATTTTAAGAATCACAATTAGGAAAAGTATCAAGCTCAAACTCAGAATAATTCAAGTCTAAGTAGCTATATGGAATCCTAATCAAGTGTAAGGTGCTCATTTTATAAAAAAGAATAAAATCTAATACATAAGAACTTAGAAATATATAATATATTAACCAACAAGAATAACTGCTTAAGATTTTTAAATGATAAATCTTTATTATTGAATGCTAACTGTGAGAACAGCCATAACTAATAATACAAAGATAAATTAAAAAATAACTAAAAGATTTCAAGTAATAAAGTTTTCTATTTATTATTGAGACTTTATTAATGCATAACAAGCTAAAGACTAAGAGAAAAAATCAGTGTTATTCAACCTTTCTATCCTTTTCATAAATTTAAAGTTATGTGGGATGTCTTAAACTTAATTGCAAATGTTTATTTCTTTATTTTTATTCCTTTAAAAATAACTTATAATCTAAAAATGCACCAGAATTAATATTCTATTATATTTTCGTTAATTTTAGCTACAGATATTTTTATCAATTTCAATACTTCTTATTATTCCAAAGGTTTATTGATTACAGATAGAACATAAATATGCTATAAATACTTCAAAAAGCGTTTTTTTTTGGATTTGATTGCAATTATTCCCCTTTTTACAACTGATGAATTCCGCATAGCTCCTTATTCAGAAGATTAATTAGATAATTAAAATATATCAGAATCTTAAAGTATATTTTATTTACTTTTTTTTATCCGCCTTCCTTTTTTATCAGACCTAAAAAAGCGTTTAGAATAAAAGCTTTTTTTTTAAAGAAAAATGATGTATATAATATCTTTAACTGACCTTTTGACTACTGTACTTTTTTTGGCACATATATTCACTTGCATACAAGTAAAGATTGCCTTAGTAAGGTAAGGAGAAGGAGACCCTAATACTTGGATTAATTAACTTTTTCCAGGAATAACAAATATTTACAAATAATATTTATATGCTTATTATTTTGTTACCATGACTATGACTACTGTAGGATATGGAGATGTTCATCCTTACAATGATCTCGAATATTTTACTACTATATGTATGATGTATGTTAGTTCTGGAATATTTGCATATACTGTTGGATAAATAAGTAATATCGAATAGGCTTTTTAATAAGAAAATAAAAAGAAAAAAAATATGCTTATCATAGCTACTAATTATATGGATAAGTTACATATTAAAAATGATCTTTAAAACTAAATTAGGGAATATCTTTAATATTATATTTTTGAGACTACAAATAATGCCTCAGAAGATGAATATAAATTTCTTTAAATGTTATCAGAGCCACTAAAATAATAACTTATGTTAGAAAATTTCAAAATAGTTCTTAAAGATTCTCCAATTTTTTGTAAAAATTTTTCAAATTCGACTATATAAAAAATTCGCCCAATTATAAGAGAAGTTAAATGTACACCTGATGATATCATTTTTAATAAAGGAGATATGGATGATTGCTCTATTTATTTTATTTAAAGCGGAAACATCTAAATTTGCTATGGTACTAAAAATTAATTAGACTAATTCGATTCGCGTGAAATAATTTCTAATGGATAAAACTTTGGTGAGTTAAGTTTCTTCTCTAATAAAGAAAGAGATTTTAATGCAAAAAGCCTAGATTTTTCTACACTTTTTGCAATTAAAAGAGAAGATTTCATTAATATAATTAAAGAAAATGAATAAGATTTTGAAAGGTTTTGCCAAATAAAAGACAATATAATTTTTTACTAAAATGTTTAAGAGTTAGGAATAACATGCCCTTTATGTAAAAGTAACAATCATTATCTAAACAAATGCGATAAAATGCATTATATACCAGAAGCTTTAAAAGTAATTTATTTATAATTATATATATATAATTATTAATAATAAAGTTAACAAATAAGGAAATAATAAATGAATAAAAAATAATAAATCCAAAAATAAGATACTAACGTTAAAATAAAAGCAAAAAAAGATTTTAAACATTAAAAAATAATTCTATCGTTTAAAAATAACAAAAAACTTTTTAGGAAAATAATATAGAATTTTTAGATTTAAATGGTTATAATTATTTATATTAGGATTTCGATATTACTGAATTTAATTTTTGCCATTAAAATGATGATAATTTAAATGAAGATATTTAAAATATGGCTTAGTCAGAAGATAAATAGGTTAGTTTTACAAAACTTCATTAAAAAATTGACAATTATAAATAATAATTTGATTGCAAAAATCAATTTGTTAATTATTTATTTGATGAAGTCGAATTTTTCTTAATGAAAAGCAAAAAAGAATTAAAAATAAATGATTTTGAATAAATTAAACGCTTTAAACGTTATTTCATTCATAATAACATAGATTAAGTACTAAGAATTTTCTAAATTTATCTTGCTTCACATTTTTTATCATAAAAAAATTTTCCTTCGATATTGACTTTGAGAAGAAATAAATCTACTTTGTAATTGATTGAATAAAAGAAATAAACCAAGATAGGCGAAGGATCTTTATCTTATAGAGAAAAAAAATGAAAATTTATCGAATTTAAATATTTTTATTTAATTTATTAATTTATAGATAAGAAAAAAATATATATATATATATATATTTAATTTTAATATCTTTTAATTATTTTTTTAAAACATATTGTACTATTAATTTTATTTTTATTATTTTTATGTTACTATTAATTTAATTATTATAATTTATAAACTATTTTTTTTCAATATTTTATTCAATTTCTTATGAGTTTCAAAAGTTCAATTTAATTTTTTTTTATTTCTTTACTTTTTTATTAAATATTTATTTAATTCCTGTATTGAAACTTGATTTTGTAAATACTTTTATAGATATCCATATTTTATTTATTCTTAAATTTTTTACCCGTATTTATCAAATTTAAATAAATTTGATTAAAATAATCTTAGATTATTATTATTATGAAATTAAATTTATTTCTGTTTAAAAATGCAGTTTTAATATTTTTTCTATTTATTATTCAATTATCAATTTTTTTTTTTTTTAATTTTTTTTTATTTTTTCCAATAAGTTTTTTATTTATTTTTCTTTAATTTTATTTCTATAAAAGACTTCTTTCTTTTTTCATAAATTTATATTTTTACTTTCAAATCTTATATTTAAGCTTAATTTTCTTTGGAACTTTCATTTTTATTTTTTTTATTCAAAAATTGTATTCGTTATATTTCTATTTGCTAATTAATTATTTAAATAAAATGTTAATATCTGCTTATTTTAAATATATAATTTATTCCTATTAATTACTTGTTGATATATTTTTTTATGATTCTTCCTTTAAATTTTTGAATATAATTTCTTTTTCTTTAAATCTATTTTATTTTCAAAATAATTTTTAAGTCTTTTTTTTACAAAATTATTTATTCTAGTTTTTAAATGTATTAAATAATATTTTTAGAGATTTTATATTTTTCTTCATTTTATTAAATAACTTTATTTTAAATATAATAATTTTATAATAAATTATTGTATTTACTTAAAATTCAAATAAATACTTTAATTTTAAGCTTGTAATTATCGTTATTATTTGGAGTTTGTTTAAAATTATATTATATATTTTAATTTTAATACTCAAAAATAATATTTTTAGATTTAGCTCGGATTTATTAGAATGCTTTATATTTTAAATTTAAAACAGTAGAAGAGTTTATTGTTTAATTTATTTTACTTTTAATATTTTAATAAACAATAGAAAGAAATTATGAAATAATATTCAATTTGTAAATATATTTTAATTAATTTGTAAAGTTAAATATTATTATTATTATATAAACAAATAAAAATAATATATGAAATTGAAATGCTTATGCTTATAGTTTAGTTAAATATATTAAATTATAAATAATTTATTTAGAATATATAATAAACTTAAAAAAAACAATTTATTTAAAATTTAAAAAATATTGATATAATAATTATTACATTTATTATATAATATTTAATTAATTATTTTTATAATTATAATTTTATATATAATTTGATATTTATTATTAATAGTTTAATATTAAAATATATAAATATTTTTTTAAAAAAGTTAAAGCTTGATATTTTAAAGACCTAGATATAAGTTGTAAAAAGGATTAAAAATAATTAATGTATAAAAATATATTTAAATAAAAAGGAAAAAATACAACAAATAATCTCATTAATATGTATTTCTTTATTAAATACAAATAAATTTAAAGTTAAAACACTAAACTTATATTATTATTTGATAATAAACTTGATAAAATATTTTTTTCATCTATAGGCTTTTTACATTTTTGATCTTGCACCTCTACCGCCGCATTTTTTTGCTTCCATTCTTCTTGGATCAGCAACTAATAGAGATCTATCGTATTACATTAATTATTCCTTAATTTCTCTTTTAGAGTTTTCGTCTACATATCTTTTTATCATATATAAATTTAAAAAATATTTATATTTTTGTACTTTTAGTGATAAGCAACAACACCTTTCGATAATGCTTATCTAATAGCATAAATTTAAGATGTATATCCTGATCCTCTCACTCTAATTCTAATGTCAAGTTTAGCGAATCTTTATGATCCAAGTAAAAGAAGAGGTTCCCAAATTTTAGATTATAATAGTTAAGGATTTACCAAATCTACTGGGGAACCATTTACTTTAAGTAAACCTTTACCAGGTCTAACAGATGCAACAGCAACTGCATTTTTTTTTCTTCCAAACGTTTATACTAATTAAGGTTTTTATTATGTACTCATTTTTTTTTTAATATTTTTTTTTTTTAATAAAATATTATAAATGAAATTTTTTTTGATTTTACTATTATTTTGTACTTTTTTTTTTTATTTTTATTTATTATTTTAATTCAAAAAAAAAACTTTTTATAATAAATATTTATTCAAAAAAAAATTATGTTTTTATAAAAAAAATCTAAATAAAATATATTATATTATAATTTATTTTATTTTTTAAAAAAAATTCATTTTAAATAAAAAAATATAATATATTTTAATTTATTTTATAAATATATGTATATATTTAATTAATTTATACTTTGAAAAGAAAAAAAAAAAATACATTACATATTATTAATAAAAAATTAGATATTAAAATTAATTTATATAAATTAAAAAAAAAAATATATAATTTTTTTTTATTTATAGATATTTTCTTAAAAAAAAAAAAAGTAAACTAAGTAAAAAAAAAAAATAAGAAATTTAAAATTAGCAAAGGGTAAAAGAGAAATTGTGTAATAGTTTAAGGTTTTATAAAACTCTCAATTTTTGTTTATTTTTGGCGGTTTTATGATAATTTGAAAAATAACATTTATTTAATATTCGAAAAATAAAAATGTAAAAAAATAATTTATTATTAATTTTATTTTTAAAAAAAAAATTATAAAAAATTGAAAATTGAAATTTAAATTTTTTTTTTTATTTAAAAAATTTACAAAAAGTAAAAAAGAAAAAAAAAACAAAAAAATAAAAAATAGATTAAAAAAATGTAAGAATCTATTTAAGATTCATAAAATGAAATCAAATATTAAGAAAATAAAACTGAATATTAACCTATTTTGCCTTAAAAAAGTCAATTTTAATAAATTTTTGAATAAACTTTAAATAATTAAGGTAAAAAAATAAAAGTTCATAATAATTAAAAAAAAAAAATTAAAAAAATATTAAAAAAATATAAAAATTTCCTTTTATTAAATAAAAAAAAGAAAAAAATAAAAAATAATTTTTTTATTTTGATTTTCATAAAAAATAAAATAATTTTTTTTTAGAAAAACTAATATAAGAATCCGAAATTTTTACCCATTAAAAATTAAAAGTTGAAATAATGCCAACCTTTTAAATAGAATAGGTGAGTGAATAAAAATAAAAAAGCAAATAAAAAATAAAAAATGAATCAGAGTTATCCAGCAAAAGACTTAAATTAAAGGATAATTAAAATTTGTAATAAATAGAAGACGATTGCTATTTTACAAGTGAATCCAAGGAAAGGTTAAATAATGAAAAAAACTCAGATAATTATTTATTTAATCTACATGACTCAATAGAAGATATTAAGAATAAAGTTTAAAATTTTATCGAAATAACAACTAAATAGGCTAAGGATAATAAAACTAAAAAAGTAGACAAATCATCAAATTTAATTTATTTTACTTGCGCTATATGTGATAAGCCATATGAAAAAAGAGGTTTCATGCGGCATGTAAGAGAAGTTCATTCTAAAGAGTTCCTTAAAAACAATCAAAAAGCTCAAGAATGTCCTTTATGTTATAAGGTTTTAACTTCTAAAAACTATCTTATTAGTCATTTGATTAGTTGTAAGGAAAAGTTTATTAAAAATAAAATTAGTATTAAGAGAAAATCATGATTAAACAAAAATTAATAAAAGAAAAAAAATGTATTTAAAATGGATTACTTAAAAGCTATTATACTTATTTTACCAAATCTCCTGGACTAAATGCTAATGACTTGATTAAATTTTAATAAACTAAAGAAAATAATCAAAATCTTAATAATATATAGTAATCTAATGAAATTTAAGAATGAATTGAATTATTCGATATTTAAAATTTATTTAAAAATTATTCTTATTCCTGCTCAAATTATTTATTTGTATTAGTTTTAAAAAAATAATTATATAAATATATATATATATATATATATCTATATATATATAAAAACTTCTTTAATATAAATATTTATTTTATAATAAAAATATATTATTTACTTATTAATTTTAAGCATTTTTTTATAAATTCATTTAATATTATTATAATTATGTTATATTTAAATTTTACTTGAGTGATTTATATAATAAAGAGAAGAAAACAAACACTTTATCTTATTTGATTTATTGAATAATTAATTGTAAATTTGCAATCAAATGTTTGATAGAAATTTAAATTTGTAAGCATATTATAAATCATTGACATAATTTATTATCTGATATAATTAAAATATTGCTACAATTGTTTAAAAAACAATATGTAATCTTAAAAAAATATAATATAAATAAATAATCTAATAATCTTAAAAAAAAAATTAATTTAATTTAAAAATAATAAAATTATATAAATTAATATATACATAAAAATAATTAAGATATTATTAATTTTTCATATTTATTGTTAGTTATTTCATATTTACAAATTTATATATTTTTTGTTTATTTTTAAAGCCAAATCAACAACAACAAAAGCACAGAATAAAAGAAAGATTTTTTTGTTTTTGATAAAGTTTTTTTTAAAAAAAAACAATGTAAAATAAAACAAAAACAATATAAAAAAGTATATAATTTACATTTATAAATTATTATCTTATAAAATATATTAATTCAAAACAAAAAAATTATTATTAATAAATAAAAATAAAAAATGTTAATTTTTATCTTAAAAAATTATTTAAAATTTTTCTTTATTTGGAGGAAACAAAATTCTTCAGATTATAAAATTTTTTATAATAAAGAGTATAGTACTTATATTGTTTTTGACACTTTCAATCTAACTATTTGTTATAATATATTACATATACATCCCAAGTATGCAATAAAATTTGAATTTATAATTTTAAAAAGATAATTAAAATAATTATATAAGTTATTATTTCAACAGTGATTACAAATAGTAAATATGTGCAACGCTAAGTCTAAATAAGCTAGAGCAATCTGATTATGATAACGAGTTTGTATTGAAATTTAAAGAATATGATATAGATTTGAGGACTTTTTGTGGAATATTTATACCAAGTGCAAATTAAGAATTAATATTTTAAAACGAAATATATCAAATAAATTTAAAATTCATATTATTTGATTTAAACTATAAAGTATTTAAGACAGGAATAATTCCCATAGAAACAATTATAATAGATAAAAATGGCCAAAACTTTGTTACAAAAAAAGTTTTGCACCTAAATTAAAATCAAAGAAAATAAAATAAAATAGAACTTGTCATTCAAAGTTTAGGTTAAAAAATACTTGATTTTTTCGGAATTGATATTAATTAATATATTTATGAATTAGATGAAACTCTTTTTGAAAAATTACCTAATACTGTTCTAGATTTACAAGGTTTAATTATTAAAGTGAAAGATGTAGATATTTATATTCAAAACTCAGTTCTTATGGTTAATCCTGTTCTAACTGGAATTAGATATTATTTATATTATTGGTTCTATTCAACTGGATTGTTTATTATTATTTTTATAACTTTAAATCTTTTTTCAGTTTATTATTTATACTAAACTTGCTGCTCAAGATAAAAATATAAATAAAATTGAATATAAAATATAAATATTGTATGCGTAAAAAATTTTAATCATAAATTTTAAGTTTTTATTTATTATTATTATTAATTGTAATTTTAATTAAATATTTGTATTCAAGAAAATTATATAATTTTTTGAAATCCCATTTGTAATTATTTTTGCTAATAGAATATTTTTATGAATATAACATAATTTTATTTTTTAAACTTGTTAATTAATTTTTCAAAATTATAATAATAAAATATATATTATAACAAACAAATGAAAATCGAATAAATCAATCATTCTATATACTTTTAATTTATAAGACAAACATAAAATTTACATTTTAAAAAATAGTCTGGGTTTAAAAAATTTCTTATATAACAATATGTCATTTTAAAGCAATAAAATATATATAATGATATTATTTATAAATATAAATAAATTTAATTCCATTAATAAATATTAAATAAATAATAAATTAGAAAATAATTTTTTTTATAAATTACATTATATAATTAATTAAATTATATCTAAATATATTAGAGTATATAATAATAATAAATATAATATAATAAAATATTTAAAAAAGAATAAAGTATATAAAATTAAAAAAAATAAAAAGAATAAAAAATGTCATTACTTTAAAAAATAATCAAGAAAACAAAATAGATATTACAAAGCAAAAAAATGTATGTTCCTTATGCCATTATAGCATTTTTATGTTTAAGAAAAATAAATAAATCCTAAGAATATCAAAATGTAAAATTAAGTTATTTCTTATTAGCATTATCTTAAAATCTGGTTTAAGAAGTAAAAAATAAATATATATTTTAAATCGAGTAAAAAAAAAAGATTATTATAAGTGGATCTACATTATTATTTAAATCTGCAGGAACTAAAGATTATTATTAAACATATTCATCAGTTTTATCTAAAGATTAATTATATACACTTTTAAAGTTAAAAAAAACTATTATAAAAATTATATCCTATTTAAAAAAAGAGATAAACCAGATATAGTATTTTCTTGTGTAGATGATTAAAACAAAGACATAACATTTTCTTAAAAATTAGTAATATTAGGGCTAAGTGCATATTTATCATATCAAATAACTTAAAAGTAAAATTAAAAATAAAATATAAAAAAAATAAAAAATAAAAAAGGCTTTTATAAACATAATAAATATAACCAATCGATGATGAATACAGAAGTAAAGTAAAATTTAGCGACATTTATGGTCTAGATAAACCAAAATAGCAATTACAAGAAATCATTGATTACTTATAAAATCCCTGGAAATATAAAAAAGTAGGAGCAAGATTAAGAAAAGGAGTTTTAATATATGGACCTCCAGGGACTGGAAAAACAATGTTAGCAAAAGCAACTGCTGGAGAATCAAAATCTTATTTTATTCATACTACAGCAAGCGAGTTTGTAGAAATGTATGTTGGTGTAGGAGCAAAAAAAGTAAGGGAATTATTTTCTTAAGCAAAAAAGTATTAACCTTGTATAATTTTTATCGATGAAATAGATGGAATAGGCCAAAGAAAAAAATAAAAAAATTCTGATTAGGAATCAGGGGATATGGAAAGGACAACAACATTAAACTAAGTGAATAATATATTTATATATATTTATATATATATATATATATATATATATATATATATATATATATATATATATTACAAAAAAAAAGTTATTGACTGAGATGGATGGTTTTTAAGAAATGACTAATGTTGTCGTTATTGCAGCCACTAATAGAGTTAATTTTATTGATGAAGCTTTATTAAGATCGGGGAGATTTGACTCTAAAATAGCTGTTCATTTGCCTAATTTTGAAGAAAAGAAAGGAATTTTAAACATTCATTTAATAAAAGTAATTTTTATATTTTAAAATAAATTTTACCTACTTATTAATATTTAAGAAATCTCATAATGTTAGTGATGCTGCTTTAGAAGAAATAGCTAAAAGTGCTTTAAATTTAAGTGGGGCTGATTTAGAAAATGTTATAAATGAAAGTGCATATTGCTGTATTCATCATGATAGGTAAGTTATAACTGACGATGATATTAGAGAGGCTTTCAATAAGATTTATAATGAAAAATTCAGCCAAGTCAATTAATTGAATATTTATTGAGTAAATATATATTAGTAAATTAATTTTTTATAATAAATTAAATATATTTTATATTTATTTTTAAACTTTTATTATTATTAGAAATTTAATTAAAAATTAATTTATTTGATTTTAAATAAATATTTATATAATTATAATAATAAAATAAAAATATATAATATCTTATAATAGTTATAAATTTATAATAATATTTATAAATTTGTATAATAATATTAAGTTATTTTTTTTTTTAAATAATAAAATGAAAATAATATAATAAATAGAAATTAAAAGATAATATGGTATTTAAAATATTTTTTATTAAATATATTAAAAATATAAAATTAAAAAAAATATATAATAATAAATATAATATTTTTTAAAAATATACAATTATATTTTAATTAATATAAAAATATGAAATTATGTTTTATTTTTATACAAATTTATTCATTATTTATTTATTTATTTATTTATTTATTTATATATAAATATATATATATATATGTATATATATATATATAATTATAATTATATATATCAATATAATATATAATATTTTTATACAAAATTTACTAAATTTTTTTTTTTGTTTATATCAAATATTTTAATGTACATAATATATTATCTTTATTATATTTTTGTTTGATTTTTTACTTAATAATGACTTAGCTTTCGTTTAAATTTTCATTAAATATTTTAAGTTTATATTTGTATATATAAATATGGGAAATTGCAATAATCCTACAGATTAAAAAGATATATCAAGTTAATAAAATAAAATTTATATTTTAATATACATAAATTTTATATAAAGTATAATCTGTTCACAATTATTATTTTCATTATGTCATTGGACGAGGAGGATTTGGAAAAGTATTTTAATTATAAAAATTGATTTGTATAAAAATATAAAATAGGTATGGAAGGTTGAAAGTAAAAAAAGTAAATAATATTATGCATTAAAAGAAATGTCAAAAGCAAAGTAAATTATTAAAAATTAATATTAATAAAAATATAATTTTTATATTAATAGAATTATTACAAAAAGAAGTGTTTAATCTGTTATGAATGAGAAGTAATTACTTTCTTCTTTAAGGCATGAGTACTAAAATAAAGCAAATAGAATTATTATTTTTTTTGATATTATTAAAAATATTATTAAGTTTTATTATTAATATGGTCGTAGCTTTTTAAGATAGATATAATTTATATTTAGTAATGGATTTATTAACTGGAGGTGATTTAAGGTATCATATATCAAGAAAAAGAAAATTTAATGAAACTTAAACTAGTAAAATAAAATATTAAAATAATATATATATTTTCTTAAATAAATTAAATTAATAGAATTTTTTTCTGCTTGTATAATTATTGGATTAGAATATCTTCATTAAAACGGAATTATACATAGAGATATAAAACCTGAAAACCTAGTATTTGATAGCCGTGGTATATAAATATATATGTACATATATTAGTAAAATAAAAATGAGGATATATCAGAATAACAGATTTGGGCATAGCAAGAATATGGAAACCTGATAATAATAGTGACACATCAGGAACTCCAGGATATATGGGTATATAACTTGATATAAGCAAATTTATAAATTAATAATAAACAAAGCTCCTGAAGTAATGTGTAGATAAAACCATGGTGTTGCAGTTGATTATTATGCATTAGGAGTTATCGTATATGAATGCATGATTGGAAGAAGGCCTTATGTAGGCAAGACAAGATAAGAAATAAGAGATTAAATATTAGCGAAATAAATATAAATTAAAAAAAATGAAGTTCCTGATAAATGGTCTATAGAAGCTGCAGATTTTGCAAATAGAGTATTTATATAAAACTTTATTTTTATTTTTTTAAAAAATAGTTAATTTAAAGAAAACCAGCAAACAGATTAGGCTTAAATGGTCCTGAAGAAGTAAAAAATCATGCATGGTTCAAAAATTTTCCATGGGATTAATTAGTAGCTAAATTTTACGAATCTCCTTATATCCCTAATGTAAAATAAAATGAATAGTATAAAATAATTTAAAAAAAGGCTAATGAAGATAATTTTCATTCTAACATTGATAGAAAAGATAGTGATTAAGAACTTGATTAGCAAAATGAATTAATGCTTAGAAGACATTCCATTTAAAGTATTTTTTTAAAATTTAATAAAAAAAATAAAAAATAAAGGCATGTTTGATGATTATTAATATGATAGTGCTAAAATTAATCATAATAATGCTATAAATATAAATATGATAAATAATTCTACTAATGTTAGTAATCGATTTAATAGTGCAAGATTTCAAAGATCTTAAATAACTCCAAATTGATTATGAAAATAAAAAAATTGAGTTATTATATTTAATTTAATTATAAAGAAAATAATATATGTAAATATCATATTTTCATGTTTTTTATATAATTTTTGTACGTTTTTATATTGTAATTTAATTATAATTATATTATAAAATATCTAAAATAATATTATTATTAAGTTAAAAACTATTTTTTCATGTTCTTACATATACATATTTTTTCTATATATATATTTTGCATTTAATAAATATTTTTATTATTTTTAGATAAATAAATTATTAATTAATTTTGTTACCTTTACTAAATATAAAATACATAAATTTATTTTTTACATTATATATTTATTTTATTTTTATTTAATTTTTCTTTAAAAGCTTAATGAGAATCAATAAAAGCAAGAAAAAATTAATAATTTAAATTTAATTTTTAGTATTTATCTTTTCTAAATTAATTTATTTAAAAGAATCAAAATAATACTTTATCAATAACATTTTAAATAAATACAAAAATTAATTTAGTTGTAGAAAATTTATTAAATAATAAAATAAATTTTGAAAAATAACGATTAAAATAAAAAATATAATAAGTGTAAAATATAATTATTATATTTTAAGTTTAAAATATAATTATTATATTATATAAATTTTAATTTAAATTAAAAATAATTACAAGTTAAGTTTTAAATATAAAAACTATTAAGAATTATTTAAAAATGAATATTTTTACATTTTTAAAATTTAAATATTAAAAAAAAACAGAATAAACATTTTCAAACGTTAAAATAATTTTTTTCATAATTTTTTATTAATAAATATTTATAATTTTAAATTAATTTTATTTTTAAATTCTTAAAATAAAAAGTACTATTTCAAATAATTTTTTTTAAAAACTCTATCAACAACCAAATAAGTTCATTATTTATATAGTAAAATTTGAAAAAAAAATCAGAAAAAATAAATATATAATATGAACCAACAATACAAAAAAAAAATATTTATTACAAATTAGTGTCTATAATATTCAACTTTATTTTATTATTAAAATCTTAATTATTAAAATTATAATTGAAAATATTTATTGTTACAATGTTTATTATAAAATTTTTCAAATTATTATTAACTTAATATCAAATTTACTTAAATATTATCAATAAAATGATAAAAGTCTATTATTGTATTTTTTTGTAACTTCCTTTTATATAACCTATAAAAATTTTAATTTTAATGGAAATTCTTATTTTTCTTAATTAATTGATATTTTAAAATTTAGAAATAAATTCTTTTTTCTTTTTCATAAAAGATTTAATTTAAAATGATTTATTTTCAATTGAGTTATATTTAAAAAAATTATTTTTTACAATAATATTTTATTGTTTATTGTGTTAAGAAAAAAAAAAATTATGATGTGTTATTAGTACAATATATACATAAAAATTACATTCAAAATTAATATTTTAGATTTTCTTATTAACCTGAATAAAATTAGTATTTATTTATCAATATAAATGTTAACTGAATTGCACAATAATAAAGTTTAAAGAATTTAAATTGATAATTAATTAATAAAAGTATTAAAATTTTAAGCTAATATAATGCTATTTATGATAATTAAATAAATGTAACGAGATATAATATTTTAGATAATTAATAATAATAATGAAAACTTAATAGAATTATTTTTAATTTTATTTTAAAATAAAAAATAATTTAATTATTTTTAATTTAACATAACTAATAATAAATAAAAAATAAAAAATATTTAACTAATATTTTAAATATTATTTTAAAATTAAATTATAAATAAAATATAATTAAATCAATACATTAAATAGTGATAAAATAATATTATATTATATAAACATATGTAAATTATAATATTAAATTTATAAAAATAAAAAAAAAAGAATATTTATAAAAGTATAAAAAAAAAAAAATTATTAAAAAATATTAAAAAATAAAATTAAATAATATTAATTTAAACAAAAATAAAAATCTTAATTAAAAATGAAAAATATATTATGTATTTTTTATTAAGAAATTCTATATGATATAATATAGCTTATTAATATTTTTATAAATAAAATAAAATATAAAAAAAATAATATTAAAAAATAAAAAAATATTAAATTTATTTACAAAATAAAATAAAACTATTAATAAATAAATAAATAAAATAATAAATAAATAAATAAATAAAATAAATAAATAAATAAATAAATAAATAATATTATTTAAAATATAAATTAAAATGTTAAAATAAAGTTAATAAAACTAACAACTTATTGTAAATTCAAATGAAAGTTTATAAAATTTAAATGATTTATAATAATCTAAAGATTAGGTTTCAGGGAGTCATTCCTAATAACCTAAATAACTTGAGTAAATTTGTTTTGTTAAAATAAATAAAGAATGGAAGATATATTAATAAATTATGTTGTCTTTTTTTTTAATGTTATCAGTAGTATTTTTTTTTCCATATTTTCAATATTGGGATCCTTATAAATTTCAAAATACTTAATAGAAAAAAGTGTTGAAGAAGAAGTAACATCTATGTTTTAGTAAACTTTAATAAATGCTACAAAAGAATAATCTAATTAAATTAAATAAATGATAACATCATATGCATCATCATTAGAAATAGTAACCAGAATCTTTTTAAGTTCTTTAAATTAAAATGACTTATATGATGATCGATTATATGATAAAATATTTAATAAAATTCCTTTAAGTTCAAAAGAAAAAAAATATCCCCTCACTCACATTTTTTTAGAATAAAATCTAACAAAATAGGATCTTTAATTATCCAAATCCAGATATTTTTAAAATTAGTTAGTTTCCTTGGATGGATTTACTTACTTTTCTTCAGAAGCTAAAGAACCTACTTTTGACTAACTTTCTTTAAAAGGATAAGAATATTTACTAGCAGCATAAAATCTTAATTATTTTTTGAAAGATCTTATCTTTTTTTAGCGTGAAATTAGTAAAATATAAACCCTTTATCTCTGTTTTGAAAAAGATCTTAATATTTTCTACCCAGCAGGCTCTGTTAACCACTTTAAATAAAGTAAACCTATGTATAATGCTTTAGAAAGAGAATGGTATAAAAATGCATAATAAGAATTTTCAGATACAAATAAAATTAGCGCACTTCTTGAAGGTCCTTATACTGATTTTGCTACTAATTTACCTATTATTACTCTTATAAGACCTATTGTTTCTAAATAAAAATAAATGATTGGAACTGCTTCTATTGATATACTTTAATTTGATTTCTAAAGTATATTCTAAAAGGAGTGCTTATATAAAACTGATTTATACTATTTAGTTAATATCTCAACTGGATATATTCTAAATGATCCATTAAATTTGAATAAAATAGATCCATTTAATAAAAATAATTAATAATATTCTGTTTTTTAAGGTTAAACTGCACAATTTACTAAATTTAATTGGTATTTAAAAAAAAAATAGAAAAAAATAAAAAAAAAATAGGGATTTAATAAAAAATTTAAATTATAAAAAAAACTAAACATTTCAAATAGAAAACTTTAAAAACGAAAAAGTTTTAATATATAGAGAATTTATAAGTATAGGTGTTAATTCAAAATATGAATACGTTTTAATAGGATAAGTTCCATTTCATGAAGGAATGGATTAATTAGAGATAATTAAAACTTATATACACGATAACGTATAATATGTATAATTATGCTTATTATATACAATAATAGCATTTGTATGCATTTCTTTAATAACAATATTTTTTATTTAAAAGCAATAATATATCCATTATAAATGTTATCTAATTATGCGAATTAAATAAACAGAAACAATGAAAAATAAGTGACTGAAGAAAAAATTAATTTAAAATAATTAAAAAGTAATGATGAATCAATTCAAGAACTTATTTATGCTTTTATAGATATTTCGAAACGATTTTCAGGATAAAAAAAAGAATTATTTATGATAAAAAAATTTCTGAAGAAAATAAAATTAATTATTCGAAAAATTAAAATAAAAAAGAAAACTCTCTTCTTTACGATGAAGGAATATAATAGCTTTTAAACAAAAACGAATTTGATTAAATAGTAAAAGCAAACGAATAAGGAAAATATTTTTAGTAATTAATTAATAAGTATGGGATCCCAAATATACATTTATTAAATCGAAATAAAGAAAGTAATAAAGAAAAAAATGGATAAAGTCCCTTTTCAATTAATAATTATAATAATAATACTACTAGTATTGTTAAAGAAAAATTAATTATTGATGAATTTATTCCTTAATAAATTATGTTTATATGATTTATTTTTAATTTTCATATTGAATATTATTATGTATTTTATATTATTTAATTTTATTATTTTAATTATTTATTTTCAAGATTATTAACTCGATTGTTTAAATAAGTGTTTGTTTGAAATATTTAATCATATTTTTATATTTAATCTTCTTATTTTTATTTTTTTAAATGAATAAATATAAACTTATAAACTTCATCACAAAATTTATTTGATTTATTGATTAAATATTTTGTTGTATTTCTAATTAATTAATTTTCTCCATAAATTCAGTATTTTAATCCAAAATTTTATCCTCTTTTAATTAAATTATTGTTTTCCCTGTATATCAACTAAGTTATCTATTACTTTTTTTTTAAAAAAAAAATATTTTAATTTTTTTATCTAATATATTACCAATTCTATTTATTTATATTTATGTTTAATTTTTTAATTAAAAATTGCATAAATTCAGTATATTTTAAAAACTTAACTAGTTTTTAATTCATAAATAGTTTTGTAAGGTTATTTTAATTCTTTTTTTGCATATTTTAATTTAAATTAAGCTTTATAATTATTTTATTTAATATATACTATTTTATTATTTTATATTAAGTATAATTAATTTTAATTTAACTTTTTTTGATTTGTTTTTGTTATTTTTAAAAAATGAAATAAAATATAAATAAATTAAAAATCAAATTTAATTTAATTTAATTTCGAAATATATATTTTACAATAATCTATAATTATTGTTTAAGATTTCTATTTATTCACTAAAGCATTAACAATAACTTAATTTTTAATAAATTCATCTAAATACATTACTATACTTTAATAAGATTTGAATATCCACTTAAATATTATAAATTAATTCATCATATCTTTACGAAAATACTATAACATTTTGTATAAAATATATTTTATTAATTTTTCTAATAAATTCTTAAATTAAAAATATTATTTAAGAACTTTTTTCCTTATTTTAAATTTAATTACATTTTTCGTGTTTATTTGGAGTATAATTATATTTCTTTTATTATTAATACATTAAAAATATTATAAATTTTATTTATGTATGAAAATATTCATCATATCATTTAAATGAGCTATTAATTATAAAATAAATATTTAAAATATTAATTAATGTTTTTCAATAAAGAAAAGTACATAATATTTAAGAAATAAATTCAAATTTTAACTTCATTTGTGATATAAAATCAAAATAATTATAATTTAAATATGTTTGTTTTTTTATATATTTTATAAAATTTTCTATTGATAATTTAATTTTATATGATATAAAGTTATTTGTAGTTTAATAATTTTTATAAGGTATACTTTATTTTTATGATTTGAAACATATCAATTTATTTTTTTTAATTATATTTATAAATATATATAATCAAATTATTTGTCACTTTTCAAAAATTTTTCTAAAAGATTTTATTTATCCTTAATATTTTTTTTATTGAAAATAATAAAATTTAACATATACATTTATATTGCTTTAGTAAATCATTTTATTACCTATTTTATATATAAACTCAATAATATTTAGTTAAAATAATTAAATTTATTAGATATTTAATTACGAAAATAATATAAAATAAATAATAAATGAAAAAAAAAATAAGTAAATATTTGTTTATTTTTAAATTTAATTTTTTATTATTTTAATCTATAGTTAAATAAATTATTTTAATCAATGATTTTTATTTTTATATTGAATAATAATTTCTTTCTATTTATTAATTAAGGCTTCTTTTCCAATCTCATCTGTTGCAGGATTAGCTCTATCATAATCCTATTTTTTAAATTTCATAAAATAAATGAAAAACAAATTAATATTTTACATATTAAAATTTAGTTAAATTATCGCTATAACTTGTTGTAAGAGAGTCAGCTTCTTTTACATAAAATAATTTTTAGTTAACTTTATCCGTAGGTATTAATATATTGAGAAATCCTAAAAATATAGCAATGTAAGAAATAAAACTAACTTAAATTTATTTAGTATACAAAAGAACAAATTCAAAACTAACAGTAGAAATCTTTAATTATATAAAAATATATATTTAAATAAATTAAATACAGTATATAAAGGTAATAAGAATTCCATTATTTCAATCATTTATTAAGAAACAATATGACTAACTTAATATTTGACACATCTATGGTTTAGTAGTTTCCACTTTTATAAAAATAAAATTAAATAAATTAAATAAATTACTTTCTAAATAAAGTAAAGTAAACCAATAGAAACAAATTAAATAACAATACCTAAAGGAATTAAAGGACTATAGAAAATACATACAAACATATTTTTCATAAGAGCAGCGTAATCTTAAGCAAGATTACTTGGCACATCTTCATATAGGGCATTAATTTATCTCTAAGTAAAATATGTTTAGATTTTTTTCTTATTAGTATATCTCATTATAATTTTAACAATCCTAGAAGGATCTACAATTAAAGAAACAACTGCAATTAAACCAGATGTAATAAATACATATTGCTGATTAAAAACAAGCCCAGCTAAATTAAAAAAAATAAGAATTTTTGTTTTTATTTTTTTTTACTTTTTGAATATATATTCTCAGCTGCTTATTCTCTTTATCCATTAAAGTAAAAAAATCCGACTTTTATTAAAAATGTCATTATAGCAGTATTTAAGAATTAAGAAATTGTTAATTTTATAGACAATGAGCTTAATTCTTCTGTCCTTGTATAATGCTTTTCAAAACTTGATTTAAATTATTTTTAAATGTAAAAATTTAGAAAATAAATTACATTGATAATTAAGTTAAAAATATTTAAAGACCATAATTTAATGCAGGAATAACTGCAGAAATTAAAATAGCAAATATTTTAGATTATTTATCTTCTAGTTTATCTTTTTCATTATTTTTATTAATTTAATCTTAAATATACATTAGTGCAAATATAATTAATCCACAAATTACTAACAATAAAATAGTTACTAAAGTTGAAATTATATTACTTTTTAACTAATTAAATGTGCTGTATTACAAAAATTCCCAATTTACATCAGTACATTCAGGTGCTTACTAAACCTTGACTTTTTATCCATTTATTAGGATCAAATTTTTACTTCCAAAAAATAATTTATTTTCAGCTTAGTAAGCATCTAAGATTAAATTTTTATCTTTTTATTTTTAATTTTTATACTTATTTTAAAAAAAAAAATGATTATTTTATATTTACCATTTTCATTTTCAAAACTAACAAATGCATGACCTGTAAAAATCTAATTATTTTATTTTCCATTTAAACCGTCATAATATTATCTCTTTAATTCAGTAATTTATTAATTAATTTCTTTTGCTTTAGCCTTAAGTTCTTAGAGCTATTAGTTTTTTTCTTCTTAATTCAAATTTTATAATTGATAAACATTCTAGAATTATTCAGTAATTTTTTGCTTTTCCTTATATACATTATTAATATCATCAAGTTTATAACTTAAAGTAAGATTAGCTATTTTCATAAAATTCTGTTTATTTAAAGCTTCTTCATATTATTATTTGAAAACATTTTAAAGTGATTAAATGATGTCATTTCTTAATTAAGTTTCCATATCATCAACATCATCCCCATATTATGGGATTTAAGAAATCCAAATAGTATAATCACTTGCTGAAATGCATAATTCATCACATCTTTCATTTAAATTCCTTTAAGTTGTTCTCAAATATTAAAGAATAAAAATTATAGTGCAAACAGTAATCAAGTTCATAATGTCTTATAAATAAATTAATCTTTCATTATGAATTTTATTAACATAAGATAATTTAGTAGTCCAAGTATCATAGCAATCAATCTTGGGTTTTAATTATTCTTTTTTTAAAAAGAAATTCGAATAAGATTATTACCCTTCCTCTTTTTAGCAATCTTTTCCAAGTTAAAAATTTGTCAATAAGTTAAAAGCACCTGAAGATATCAAAATCATAAAAAGTACTAAAAGACAACCTTTAACAAAATCAAAATACATAGGGTATCCTGATCCCAAAAAACTTAGTTCTATGTTTTCGTCAAAAAGTCCTATTTTTTCTCTAGCTTCATTTCTACCAGAAAAAACATTCATTTTATGTTCTTTAAAAATTTCTCTAGTTGCTGTTAGTGAATACTTTTACATATTTTTTTATTATTATTTATTTATATATATATGTTTAAACCGCATAAAGTTCTGCCTTTTTTACAGCTTCTTCCTTATTTTCGGGTACTCTGTCAGGATCTAAATCTTTTTTAGCTACATTGTCGTCATAATATTTATCAAAATTACCAGTATTGTATGTTTAATTTTAAATTTCTTTAATCCTATCTGTAAGATTCGACATTTTTGTTATTGTAATAAATAAATAAAAAATGATTTAAATATAAATTTTTTGATTTAAATAAAAAAATATATTTTTATGCACCTAAAATAAATTCAAAATTTTAAAAAATCTATATTGAATACAAATGAAAAAAAAATATTCAATATAATTACGATTATAATTTAATAAAAAAAATAATTAATATTTAATTAAATAATTTAAAAATATACAAAAATATTAATTATAAAATAAATAAAAAATATATAAAACAATAAAAAAAAAAATTTAAAAAAATATGAAAATAAATTAATATAATAAAATCATTAAAAATAAAATTAAGAAAAAAAGTATAAATATATAATAAAACTAAATAAATATTGAATTTATTTAATTAACAAAAAACACAAATATTAAAAAGATATATTTTAATAATAATATAAATTTAAAAAATATTATACAAATTATAATTTTATATTTTTCAAGGTTTTTTAAATTAAAAATAAAAATTCATTTATTTTTTTAATGTAGTGTATTTATGTTTTATTTTTATTAGTATAATAAATTATATTTTCATTTAATTTTCATAAATTAAATTTATATTATTTGTTTTATTTATGATTCTTATTCAAAGATTTTTTATTATAAAATTCTATATTAATAATATTAAGATTTATTTTAAAAAAAAAATCCAATTTTTTTTTTATAAAAAACTCTAATTTTATTAAATAACATATTATTATTATATTCCCAAATAATTTTTAAATTAAAAAAATTTTTGTTTTAAATTTTATTTTTATTATTATTTTTCAAGCAAAAATTGCAAATGCATTTATAATTATAAAATAATTTAATTAATGAATATTCATAAAATAAGATGTAAATAGTTAAAAACTTAATTGAAATGGGTAAATTTTTTTATAAATTTAATTATTTTAATTTTTTTTAGGTTTCCCCTCTGAACAAGCAATAAAAGCACAAAAATATGCAAAATAAAAAGATAATATAGAAGAGTTATTAAATTTCTTAATTAAAGGTTAAAATGGTTGGCTTCATTAATTTGCAAGTGATTTAAATGAATTAAACAGGTGTCTATATAAAAATATTTTAATTTTAATAAATTAAAAAGATGCGCAATATGCAATGAAACATTATCAGAACATGAAAATTAGAACTTGAACTAAGTATTAATAAATTTTTCAGATAATAATAGTAATTGCAGTTCGTATAATTAACCAATTAACAAAAATTTATAAATAATAAAAATTGGAAGTAAACATTAAAATTAATAAAGTATAATTTAAATCAATTAAAACAACAATATATCACAACATAATAATAACATAGATTAAAGTTTTAATAATATAATAATAAACAATATATATATGAATAATTAAAATTCATTATTAAACTCAAAGTTTCAAGAAATAAAAAAATTACAATAATGTGAAGTATGTTTTATGAAATATTCATATAATGATATGAAAAAATTGCCATGTAATCATATTTATTGTTAGCTTTGTGTAGAAAAACATATATTATCATGTATGAATTAGGCAAAAGTAAAAAAATAAAAATAGAGGCAAAAATATTTGTTTTTAGTATATAAATATTAGATGTTTAAATTATGATTGCCTTTTTATATTTCAAGACGAGCATATAAAAACTCTTTTAGATTCAGAAAAAGCCGAAAAGTTTTTTAAACTTAAAGAAATTTATTTATTAAACTAAGATCCGAACGTAATTTGGTGTCCATCCCCTTTTTGTGGTAGATATATAAAGTTATCTGAATAAATTCGTTAAAAATTTAAAGAAATATAATGTTAATATTGTAATGAAAAAATATGTTTAAAATGCCTTCGGAAATCCCATTCTAAGAAAATTTGTTGTTTCTTCAATAAAAGTTGTGATGAAGAATTAAATGAAGAATACGAAGCTTGGGCTAAAGGGAAGCCTATATAATTATGTCCTAAATGTAATGTTCGTGTTGAAAAGTTAGAAGGATGCAATCATATGACTTGTTTTGTCTGTAATTATAATTGGTGTTGGCTATGTAGATAATAAATTTTATATGGACATTATATGATTGCTAATCCGTTTGGGTGTCCAGGTATGTCTGGTTAAGATTTTACTACAGATTAATGGCCGAAATGGAAAATTTATTTGAGGAGGGTTGCCATTTTTATTTTTATTTTATTATGTATTATTTTTGGAGTATTTATTATTTATCCTTTGATTTTTGGATTTTATTTATGGTATAGATATTATGATAGTAAATTGGCGTTTTTATTAACAAAAAGCTTAGATTTTTGCTTTTTTTGCTATTATATTGCTTATTTCTTCTTTATTTTAATTGGAATTCTAATATATCCTATATTTTTTGCTCTTGCGATTTTTCCTTGTTTACCTCTATTTTTGTTTAGTTAATCTTGGAGAAATTATATGTCTAAATCATTTCCTGCTGGTCAATCTATATTTTTGAATATTTTTTCAAATTTAAGAGAAAGGATTACTTGAAAAAAAAAATTATTTTAATTAAATAATTCGAGAATAATGATTTTTTAAATTTTTATTTTATTTTAAAATTTATTGTATATAATAAAATAAATGATATTTTTTTTTTTGAATATAAGGTTAAATATATTATTTATTTGTTTTATCTTTAAATATTTAAAAATAATAATATATATTATTAGTTATTTTAACCGAACATAAAAAATAAAATGATTTTTAATGAAGAGGAAAATCAGATTAAACATTAAGAATTTAACAAAAAATAATTTTTAAGTATTTAAGGACTTTAGAATATAATAAAACCAATAGGATAAACAAATTAATAAATTGATAAAAGTAAAAATTAATAGAGCCTCTCAAAATCATTAAGCAATTCATAATTAATTTAAAACTAAAATAATTTAACGTTAAAAATGAGTAAAAAATCAACTAATTATAAATTTACTATTATATTTAAAAAAAAAAGATAATTTTAAACTTTAGGATTCTTATTCGAATTCAAAATACTCAAAAAAGTTAAAAAAAATATAATTGAATGAAATATGTGATTTAAAATAAAAACTGAAAAACATAAAAAAGCCTTAAGAATAAAATTAAAAAGTAATTTTTATTTTATAAATTATATATACATAACTAATGCTAATTTTTTAAAAGTAAATATATTAATATATTGATAAGTAAACGCACTTATTATCTATCAAAAAAATTCGAGAAAATATTAATAAATAAGTTAAAATTCAACAACCACAATAAAAAGTATTAAGCATTTTTAATAGTATATAAGTTGATTCAAATTAAAATAAATATAAAGAAAAATAAGAAAACATTAATAAAAATCTATAAATAATATATTAAAATTAATAATCAAATAAAAAATAAAGCTATTAAGTTTCAAATAGTGAATAAAATTCATTGAATTAATCAAAAAATTTCGAAAATTAAAAATAAAAAAATAACTGTTTATCTAATAAAAATAAACAATAAAATGTTCTTAAGTCAGTTAGTTTTTCTGGAGCATAAAATAAATTTTATTAATCTAATTATTATTTAAAAAATAATTCTTAATAAAAATAATAAAATAAGTAATATTAATAATTTAACCTTATAAAAAGTAACAATTAAGAACTAAAGAAAATTAATTTTTCATAAAATAATTTAGATTCTGAAAGTTGTCTAAAATAAATAGAATAAAGTATACAAATTAGACTAAAAAATATTTCTTCTGTTAAATAAATATATATTGATAAAAGTAAAATAAATAATTATTTTGCAATTTAAATTTCTAAATATCAAAAGTTGGAATAGAAAGTTTAGTTTTTAGAAAAATAAAACTAATTATTTATAAAAAAAAATAAAGATTTATAGAAATAAATTGAGAATCAAGAAATAGTTAATAAAGAATTAACTAAAAAAAAAAAATTTTTGAATAATAAATTAATACAAAATATTCTAGCTAAAAGTATACAAATTAACAAACATAAACTATTATTGGATCAAATGAAATATAAGAAATTAATAAGAATATAAACTCTTAATATCTATAAGAATAAAACTAAGCACTTTAAGATTATGTTGATTAATTGGAATTAAAAATAAGCAAATACAAAAGAAAAAATAAAATATTTTAAAAAATAATGGATATTTTAAAATAATAAGGACTTGATGCTTAAGCTCTTTTTAATTAAATTGATAACCAAGAGTTATAAATTGAATAAGATTCATAAGATAAAAATATGGTTTCCAATAATTTAAGAAAATAAAAAGAAAATTAAAAAATATATTCTTATTAGGGAGATGCTGATAATTCAAGTATATTTATATCTATATGTTAATTTATTTTATTTTTATAGTTGTAAATGATTCAGATGAAAGTAGTTTTGATTATTATGGTAAATAAAATTAAATAAATAAAAGTATGCTTTAATATGTTAAAAATAGTGAAAAATCATTTGCCAAAAATAATTAAAATATACCAAAATAATTAAAAATGAAATTATAAATCAATTTAGAAAATGTTATTTAAAATTTAAATTAATTAAACTAAAATGATAAAAACGTAGATAATAATCAAATTGATTCTAATTTAACATTAAATAGCTAATTTATTCTAGATAATATTTAAATTACTTAGGAAGAATTAAAATAATTATAATTATAAATTTAAAAAGATCCTGATAATTTAACTGAGTAATAAATGATTTATGTAGAATAAATACATAATTTGTTTGAAAATAAATGTAATTAACAAAATTAAAGTAAAAATACCATATATATTTTTAATAAGAAATTAAATTATAAAAATGTAAAAAGGTTAAAAATAAATAGAGAAAATTAAATAAACTTCAAATATAAGTTTTTGATGAATTTTAAAGATTCGAATATAAAATAAATTTAAATAAAAATAAAATTAGTAATTTTTCTTAAAAAGAAATATATAAAATCAATAAAATAAATAGTTTTTTTAATTTCAAATATAAGATGCAAAATAAAAAAACAAAATAACAAAAAAAATCGATAAAAATTTAAAATATTTTTATTTGTTAAGTATAAATATATATTTAATTTCAATATGTTTTTTTATTAAAAAATATTTTCTTTATTATTATTTAATATAAATATATTTAAATAATTATTAATTTTTTTTTTTTGAAATAATTGTAAAATCTATAAAATATATAATTTTCGATATCAAATTTAAAATATTGATTTAATTTGCAAAAATTTATTTTCATCTTATAAAAGTAATTGTAAATCATAAAAATTAATTTAGAGATTTTATAAAGTTTCCTAAATAAAAAAAAAATATAAAATATAATAAAAAATAATATAAAATAAGAATATTATAATAATATTAATAATATATAAATAATATATTTATATTTATATTTATATTTATATTTATATTTATATTTGTATTTGTATTTGTATTTATATTTATATTTATATTTATATTTATATTTGTATTTGTATTTGTATTTATACTTTTATATATATTTATATATTTTTTTACATTTATTTTCTCTTTAAAAATATCAATTAAATTTAATTTGAAATATTTTTAATTAAATCTTAATATTTATTTTCTTTTAGAAGATACATGTTCGCTCATTCTAGCTTATTTTTAATATTTTTCAATTTATTGTTTATCCTTTTCTTCACTATGAAGGTCTGGTAGCATTCTTAATAATAAAAATTTTATATTTTCAAAAAATATTTCATTTGTGAAATTAGGTAATATACATAGCAATGATATAGTATTTAACCTCGAAGAATTTTTATTATTTGTGAATTCCATATTTTAAATCCACATTTTCAAAAATGCATTTAAATCATATTATTCAACTTTTTTTTAAAACTATTTGATATATATTATAATAAAAATATATACTTTTTAATAATTAAATAAAATCTTCTAAGTTTAAAATTAATAGCATGTTTATTGTATTTTATAAAGATTATCGATATTCAGGTACAAATTAAGTTGTTTTACTTATATTTTCTTTCATTAAATCCTTAATTGCATATTTAATTATTTGCAGATAACTTGAAAAAGGTTATCCTTTTTCCCAACAAGTGTTTAAAAGATTTAAAATACTTACTTTTACTCTAGCTTCTTCTTCAAAAAGCTCATCTTGATAATTTTAATTAGTTAATTCATATTATTTTATTAACAAAAGACTTAATTCTTATGCAGAAAACGGATTTAGGTCAAGTAAAATATATTCTTCTATAATGTTAAGAGATTTAGCAATAATTTCTTCATCGTCTTATAAATTTATAATATTTGAAATATTTTACTAATAATATTTTTTGTTATTTAAATTAAAATATAAAGATATAAAATTACAATTAAAATATTAACAATGGCATTATCTATTTATTAGCAAGAATCATATTCCTTAAGTAAAAAATGCCAAAATTTAATAAGAATAAATTCATATTTTTTTTTTTCAAAATTTATATTAATAAATTAAATAGCAAGTTAAAATATTTAAGGTATTTTAGCATATTAATCAAAAAACACTATTAGATTCATAAACATATCAACTATGGCTTCTCTAAGAAATTCACTTTCAGTACTTAAAAGTAAATTTAAATTACTTGCTTATAAAGAGTTTAATATTTAGGTAGAATTTTAAGCTTTTTATAAGATAATTGTTAGGAAGTTTATTAAATGCCAAATTATATTTGAATTAGTAAATTAATTAAATAATTATACAATGATGGGAGTAATTTAATCAACTAAAGAATTGTAATCTATCTAAACATTTTCTTTTTATATAATTTATTATATACAAATACAACATTCATATCTTGTTACAGGCTCAGTATGATCTTTTATTATTTATAAGCATATTTCAATCATTTTTTAATAAGTTAATGGGCAGATAAAATCTATCCATTTTAATATTAATATAGGAATTCTTTTTGCAGCAAAAGAAACAGTTTTACGATTCATATATAAATGTTCTAATATACTTAATATATTTAGTATTTATGATGGATTAAAGTTAATTTTTTTCGATATTTGTGGTATTAATCCTAAAATACACAAAAATCCTTCTTAATATTCAATTCTTAAAAACTAGTAATTTGCTTGATATTTTTTTTTTGTTTTAAATAATTATTCAATTTTTTTTTTAGTTTACTTTCTATTAGTTTTTTTAATAATAATTATATATTAGTTAAACATTAGTTAGTAAATCTATATATTAACTATTCTATAGTACAAACAAGTATATTATGTAAAGAATTATCAAGTTCATTTATAGTTTCATCAATATTATTATCATCCTCTTTTTTTTTTTTTTTCATGTATTTTAGAATTTTTTATTTATCACATATAAATAAAAAAAAATACCTTCTTCAACCATTTTATCTTAACTTTCATAATTTTATTAAAATACATAAGGAAAAAGCTTTTCAATAAAACAATTAAGAATAAATTCTATTCTTTCATTAGAAAAAAACTATGAAAAAGCAATATAACATTAACTTTAATTTTAAGCATTAATATTTTTCATAATTAATTTAGTAAATTATTCAGGAGTAGAATAATAAGATAATTATTTTAGCATTCTATATAAAGCTAAAAGTGAGCTTTTAATTAAACTTTCGGTATTTTCATTAAGTTAGCATTTATTAATCATTAATTCACATAATTATAGAAAATCTTATAAATCATTATGAAACAATACTGAATTTAGTAATTAAATTTAGGACAAGTTTTACATAATTACTTTTATTTATTTTATATAAAGTAGATTATCTTATTAAAGTAAACTTATTATTCGAGCTGATTTAACTAAAAGATTTCTTATTATTTGTTTTACTAAATCTCTATATTTTTAAAAATATATATTTAAAATAAATTTAATATTTTTATATGATTTCTTACTCAATCTATTAATTAATTTATATTGAACAAATAGTATAAGATATTATTTTATCCATTCTTATCGAAGTTTAAATTGAAAGTTAGTTATTCTACTGTTAGTTTGTAATTATTTCCCAAATTTAATGAACAGTTTATAGAAAATTCAAAAGAAAATCATTAAATCCATCAGTATTATTAAAAAGCCTTTTTTTGCTTTACTATTTTAATGAAATTTAACAAGTTTTTAACAAGTTTTATGCTTTTTATAATGTGTTCAAATTTTAGTTTTAAGTTAATTCGATTAAAAATTATTAAAATTCAGAGTGTATATATTTATATAAATCTAAAAAGTTTATCGGAAAATCATTTTTTATTATTAAAGCAAGGCAATTATCTATTTATTTTCTATAAATTTATTCTTAAACATTTTGTAACATTTAAACTAAGCAATTTTTAATCGTTACTTTTGTTTAATCATTTATACATGCTTTTTTTTTAAATAAATTAAAATTTGATATAGTTTAATTAAAATTTAATATAATTTTATTTTAATATATGGTTTTAAATTTTATCATAAAAAAATAGATACATTTCTTTGAATTCAAATTCTTTTAAAAACTGTTCTTTTACTACCAATATTTTAATATAATATTTTTTAAATATATTATAGCAGATAATCTTATAACATCATTCTATTTGAAATATTATTTACATCGTTATTTAACAAAAATAAAAAAAGAAATATAATATTTTTTAAAATACTTAATCAAGTTAAAATATTTGTATAAGATGTAGAGCAAAATAATCATCTTGTTCTTGATTTATTAAATAAGTATTAGCATGCTATCTTGCTTATTCATTAGGGGGATTTTAAATAATAAGTAGATTTTAAAGAAGCTCGTTCATATTTATTTTTATACTTATGTAATAAATATATAAAAAAAGTTATTATAATACAAAATAAAAAATAAAAATAACACTATCGAAAATATAAAAATAATATATATATATTCATTTATTTATTTTATTTTTTGATTAATTTTTTATTTTTATTTTTCTTAAAAATCTTTTATATAAACATTATAAATAAAAACTTACAATTTATTTGTTTTTATATAAAACAATTAGTTTTAATCTAAATAAATTTAATTTACATTATAATTATTTTTATATTATGTCTATTGAACTTTCTAAGGTTATTACACCAAAAACTGATTAAAGAGAGTACAAATTAGTAAAACTATAAAAAAATGATATGTAGATATTACTGATTTCTGATCCATAAATAGATAAAAGTGCAGCAGCAGTAAACGTTAATGTTGGTTAGTATAATGATCCAAAAGAAAGATAAGGTCATTATAAAAAATTATATATTTTTTAAAATGATAAAATTAAAATAAGGACTGGCACATATTTTAGAACACATGTTATTTTTAGGAACTGAAAAATATCCAGATGGCTCTTAATTTGATAAATTTCTAAATGATAATTCAGGATATTCAAATGCTTATACTTCCTTAGATTAAACAAATTATTTTTTTAATTGCTCTAACAGTAGCTTTAAAGAAGCATTAGATAGGTAAATGCATCTTTTTATTTTTATTTAAATTTAACAAAAAATATAAAAGATTTGCTTAGTTTTTTATTAAACCTCTATTTAATGCTGATTTTGTAGAAAGAGAAATAAATGCGGTTCATAGTGAAAATCAGAAAAACCTTTAACAAGATTTATGGAGAGAATATTAATTAATTCGATCAATTAGTAATAAAGATACTGTTTTTAACAAATTCGGAACAGGAAACTTAGAAACTTTAAACCATCCTTCAATAAGAGATGATTTAATAAAATTCTATGATTCATACTATTCATCAAATCTAATGAAAGGTGTTATTTTATCTAATTCTACTCTTAACGAATTAGAATAACTTGCAATAGATTTATTCTCGAATATTCCTAATAAAAATCTTAAACCGATTTAATTTACAGGAAAGCCTTTTGATAATTAAAATTTATAAAAGCTAATAAAAATATCTCCTTGCAAATAAGAAAATAGAGTAAATATTATAAACTATATAACAAAAAATTCTAAAAAAAATAAAAAAAGATGAATATATTATGGATATTTGATAAAGATTATACAGAATTATATCGAAATAACCCTTTACAAAATATAAGTTATTTAATAAATCATAGAGGAAATAAAGGTCTTTTAAATGCTTTAATAAATGAAGGTTTCGCAGAAGATTTAAAATGCAGATATAAATCAAGAATGATACTTTTTAGTGAAATCTAAATTGAAATTTAATTAACTTAAAAAGGACTTTAAGAATACAAAAAAGTCCTGCACTATGTTTTCGAATATGTTAAATTATTAAAAGAAAAAGCCAATTAAAAATGGATTTTTGATGAAAAGTAGAAAATAAATGTTTTAAAGTTTAATTATAATGAATAAATGGAACCAATTAATTATGTAAGTAAAATAGCTTCAAAAATGTAATATTGTAAGTAAGAAGATATTTTAAGATTTGAAGCTGTAGAAGAAGAAGTATTCAACTAATAATAACTATAATAAACTTTTGAATAAATAAAAATTGATAATATTTTAATTAATTTAATATCTTAATAATTTAAAAATGAAGAATTAAATCTTGAAGAATATTATTATAAAACAAAATATTCTATATAAGATTTGGAACAAGATATAATAGAAGATTTCAAAAAAGAAAGAAATTAATAATTAAATTTAGATATACCTTAACTTAATTAATTTTTGCCTAAATCTTTTGATTTAATAGAATCTGAGAATTAATAATATCCAATAAACTTACTGAAAAATGAAAAATTAGAGCTTTGGTATAAAAAAGACAATTAATTTAGAATACCAAAGGTTGTTTTTAAATTAAGAATTAAAAATAATGAGTATTTATTAAAAAAAATTAATATATTTAATTTTTTTTATTAAAAATATGAATTTTAGTTGTGGTTTAGGAAAAAATGCCTAAGCTTAAGTTTTAGCAGAATTATGGATCAGTCTATTTTAAGAGTATACAAGAGAATTAGCTTATTTAGGTAAAACTGCAGGCTTAGAAACAAAAATAGAATTTATAGATGAAATTCAGTTAGAAATTGTTGGTTTTTCAGAATCTATTTAAACTTTTATTTAATAATATTTAGAAAAGACTACTACTTTTAATCCAAAAGAAATTTAAAATAAATTCGAAATTCATTTAGATAAGCTAATTAAAGGCAAAATTAATTTTTCTAAAAAACCTCCTTACGAACAAGGAAGAATTTACAATTTATTTATTTTAACAACAAGAACATTTTCACCTAAGGAATTAAGTAAAGAAGCATAAAAAGTGACATTTGAAACTTTTGAAAAATTTAATGAATAATACTTAAAAAATATCTCACTAGAAATATATTTAGCAGGAAACTTAAATTAAGAAAAGGCTATTGAAATTACTAATTTAACTTCTTCAATATTTTTTGATTAAAGGAATGCTAAACCCATTTAAAGAGTAAATATATATTTTTTTTTTAAACATTTTAATTTATCAAAAAAAAACAAAGAACCAGATATTAGATAGAAGAACTGTAATGCTTTAAAATGATATTAGAAACATTTATGAAGTATAATTAGATGAGTGCGAGAATAACAGTTATATTTCTATTATATTTGAGTTCAAACAAACTAAAAATATAAGAAATAAAGTTATGCTTGAATTATTGGGCAACTTTTTGAATGATTAATTTTATACATAACTAAGAACGGTAGAATAATTAGGGTACATTATATGGTCTTAAATTGTTGAAGTTAGAGGAGTTGGGCATATTCGATTTATAATTTAATCAAGTGTACAATCTCCATAGTATTTAGCATCTAGAATATATGATTTCTTGTGTAATTAAAAAAACTAAATATTCTTATTTTTTAAATATAAAAAGAACAATAAAATAAGTAGTTAGATTAATATTCAGAATAATAATTTTAAGTATTGAAAAATTCAGTTATGGTAAATATAAAGGAAAAAGATGTTAACTTGACTAAAGAAACTTAAAGATTTTTCACTTAAATTTTAACTCATAATTACTAATTTGATTTGAGTAATGAATTTTTATTATATAGATTTTAATTTAAAACTTTTTTATAAAATAGGATAATTAATGCTTGAAAAACTTAACTAAATTTAAATTAATGAGTTTATTTAGACTTTTAAATAAGTTTTAATTTAAGAAAAAAAAGTTGCGGAAATTCATTTAATTTCACATTAGCATAAAGAATAAAATGATTTGCTTAAAAAAGTCTCATCTCCTTATACAAACCTTAAAGTAATAGAATCTGTAGAATAATTTAAACTCGAAAATTCATTACATCCAGATTATTATGCTAAAAAGGATTGATATCGATAAATTAATAATAAATAGATTTAATATAAAAATATATATTAATAAAAATATTTAAATTTATTTATAATTATTAAAAATTTATAAATATCTTTTATTTTATTAGTATATTTATTATTAATTATAATTATTTATTAATTAAAAAAAAATATATATAAAAAAAATTTATAAAAATATATTTAAATTAATTTTATTTTGATTATAAAAAATAATTAAACAAAAATGAATAAAATATATAAAATTAAAATAAAAAAAAGTATAGAAAATTAAATAAATATAAATTTAATATTAATAATAATAATAATAATAATAATAATAATAATAATAATAATAATAATAATAATAATAATAATAATAAATATATTAATATTTATAATGATTATTTTAATTAAATAATATTAATTTATAAAAAAATTTATAACATTATACTATATTTTTTAATAATGTATGCTAATAATAATGTAAAAATATATTATATTTAATAAACAATTATTAATATTTTAAAAATATTTGCATTAATTTTTTTTTATAATATAGAAAATAAAATAAAATAAAATAATTAATTATATATTTTTATGATCTTAAAATTAAATTTTGAGTATTTTAAATAAAAATAATTATATAATTAATTTCAAATATTTATAATTCTTAATTCTTTTTATTTCTTAAATTAATCAATTTTATTTTTTATTATTATATATCTCATTAATTTTATTTTTTTAATAATAAAAATTAATTTATATAAATATATTTTATTAAATTAATATTATTAAAAATTATTAATATATTTATATCATAAAATTAAGATAAATTAATTAAAATTAAGAAAATATAATTTTTAAAATTTTATGAAAATATGTTTATATAAAAAATGAATGGAAATTAAAAATATAATAATTCAAAATATATTTAATTTTTTAATTCCTTTATTTTGTACAATAAAATAAAATTAATAGATGAAAAAAATACCTTTTATCAACAAAAGATTATATATAAAATAATAAATATTATACTAAAATTATCAGCTTCCATTCATTTCAATCAAATTTTAGTAAGCATTTGCTAAAGTATGATTAGTAGAAATGCTAGAACTGCTTTAATTAATTAAAGAATTTGTTTATTCGTTTAATGTTTTTTGCCTACAAATAGGACATTCGTTTTTTCTAAGAATCCAAGCTTCTATACATATACCATGAAAAATATGCTCACAAGGAGTTACTTTACAAGTATCATTATTTTGAAAATCAATCAAACAAATAGAGCAAGATAAATCTATTGCTCTTTTATTATTTGGAATATTCTTGTATATTTTTGTTGGCATTGATTTTTCTAAAAGCTATTTTCTTTCTCTAATAGAGTTTTTATGGAGGAATAATCTTACTATAAAGCAAAAAGAGTAAACAAAGACTAAAGATATGAATATTCCTAATTTATTAGATAATTAATTAAAAAATACTTAATTTAATTATTTATTTTAATACCTGCAATTGAATAAATAATATAATTGAACAAGTTTTATATTATTTAAGTACCTATATCAGATATATAAATTCTGGAATTTTCTCCAATATGAATATCCAATTATATTGGTTAAATCATATAGTTTTGGATACCTACAATTCTATATTTATCATCATCTATCAATTTTGCAAAGTGATAACTATTATTTTCTCCATCACTTTTAAAAATATAAATATTCTCATTATGAAATAAGGCGTTTTCCAAACTTTATAACTAATTTTCATCTATTCTTCCTATTAAAGTTTTTAAGGTAATTAACTTTATATAAGTCTGATTATCCCATTTTAATTCTAATGAGTAACTATTTAAATTTTCATTTATTTAGTAAAAAATCCAATTTCCTGGTTATAAATTAACTTATTGAGTTTCATTTTAATAAATAATTTCCTTCCTAATATCACATTATCGACCCATGTAATTTTCAAATAAAGGGCATATGCATTAATTATTCACTTCCTTACTATTATAGCCTTAATTAAAGCACTTTATTGGGTGTTCTTTATACAACTAATTTATTGTTAATCTTACTTTGTATAATTATTCTTTTTTTTAATTTAATAGATAATAATATTAACAATTTACCTTATGTAAATTATTTATTTACATCCAAAAAAGTAAAATATATTATATTATTTTATTAAGTATTAGGAAGTTTTATTGTTAAATAATACAAATTTGAATTCAATGCATTTTAATAAAAATCACAAGCTTTGTAAGAAAATTTTTCTTTTAACTAGCCAAATATATTATAAAATTATTCAATTTTAACTTTTTGATTTACATCATAACATAAAACAGGTAATCTTTAATTAACTTCATCATAGTTTATTACATTTCCTTCAATCATTATTTATTAATTTTATAGTTCTAATGGTAAAAATTAGAAAGATATACCAAAAGTATAGTTTAACTAAGATTTTTTTAAGTTTAATTCTATAGCTTAATTATTAGAATAATTAAATATTTATATATTTTCGCATTTATTTACAAAGACAAATATAAAGAAAATTAATATTTATTTAAATTGTTTCATCATATTCATATTTAGTTTTTTTCTATAATTAAAAAATTAACTATTAATAAAATAAAAATAGAATAAATATAATGATTATAAAATAAAATAATATAAATTAATTATTTGTTAAATTATTTCGATATATATTTATTTATTATTTTAGATTAAATGTATTATATATAACTTAAATATTAAATTAAAAAAATATTGTGATAAATTATTTTCATTTAATAATAAAATATTATTATTTATATTTTCTCTATTTTTTTTAAAAAATTAATGATTTATATTTATATATTTTAAAAATTAAAATTAATAATTATTATATATGCCTAATAAAACTTTTTAATTTTATTAAAGATTATACAATATAAATTAAATAATTAAGTTTCTTATTTTTTAATTTATAAAATTTATTTATTATGAAAATTATAAATTTAGCATTTTAACCTCTTTAATCTATAAAATTGTTTTTTATGAAAATTATAAATTTTGGCTTATAATTATATTTCTTAATAGTATAAATTCAATTAAGAATAATTAAATTAACAAATAAATTTTTTTATTTTTATTTTATTTCAAAAATATTCAATTTAATTCACTGGTAAAAATTCCTTTTTTGCTCTTATTTATTTTATATAATAACTTTTTGTATCACCTTCAAGTATAGGATTTCTATCAGGTTTTATATTTTAGATATTTTACCTTGGATTTCCTGGATATATATCATACGTTTAAGTGCAATTTTTAGTATTATTTATTTATTTTATACTTGATTTCCATTTAAATTCTTTTTCAATTCTATCTTTACTATTAAACTATATTTTAATTAATTTTAATTCAAACAAAAATAAGGTTATTTTACATCAAAAACAACTGATTATTTTTATTAAAAGTTTGCTTATTTTAATTAGGGTTTAAATTTTGGCTTTAGTTTTTTTGCATAAATTTATATTTTTTTTGAAAAAAAATGAATTTACTTCATCAATTTAATTTTAAATTATTGTATTTGTTTGGGCTAAGTGTAAATTTAAAGGTTTGTTATAGGAATTTTATTTGGGTAAATAGTTAAATTAAGAAGAATTCGAGCTTGTCTTACTCAGCTCTGATTAATCGTTTTTTATTTAATATTGATTCATTTTTTTATTTTCTTTATTTAAAATTTAACAGTATTATTTTTATAAATATATTTAAATTAATAAATATTTTTTTTTTTAATTTTATTTAAATATATATATAATACAATATAATATAAACTATTTAATATTTCTAATTGATTTTTTATGAAAAAATGTTATATTTCCCAATATAATTAATTAATGGGAATAGTAATGAAGGTATCTATAAAATAAGAGTCATTATATATAATTATGTTTTTTTAAACTTTTAATCTTTTTATATTATTGAGCTTTTAATTTTTTTATATCAACTAAGAATTATTATTTTTTTAATAAAAATTTAATATAGTATAATATAATATATTATAAAATTTTCAATTTATTTAAATTTATAATAAGTTTTCTATATAAGACTCTTCTTAACTTTTACTTAGCAATAAATCTGCCTTTTTAAAAATTGATAAAATAATATGAAAAATAATAAATACAAGTTTATCAACAGGATCATTTGTTTATGTTTTACATAATTCTATTAATGCTTCAGTCAAATAAGGAACTATATTATCAGCTAAATATTATCTAATTAAAAAAAAAAAATGAAATAATATATTAAAAATTATAAACCTTAAAGTGTAAGATCTTTCATCAAGTTTTTCTCTTTCTTGATTTTTTATTTTTTCAAGTTTGATTTTATTTTCTTCTTCTTATTATCTTTTTAGATCTTTTTCTTTTTCTTCTTTTTATTTTTGATTTTCTTATTCTAAAATATCTTTATTATCGTCTTCTTCATTATATTACGCTGTCAAATTTTCTTATAATTAATTAACTTCTTCATTAATATTAAATTTTCCATTCTATGAATTATTTTATATAAACAAAATATTAAAAAAAAAGTACTCTTTCAATAAAATTTTAAATTTATTCGAACAAATTTTCATCTTAAATATCAACCTTAAAAGTTTCAATATTATTTTATTAAAAGAAATCGGACAAAACTTAATTTCCTTAAGTAGCATTATTATATTATTTATATAAAGTAAATCTTCTATTCATACCTTCTTCATTATAATGGATATTTGTCAATTTATCTTCAGGAATTTCTTTAATCCTTTATCTAATAAATTCTTCATTTCCTTCAAGAAAAATAACATTTTCAGGTAAAAGTGAATCTTCAACTTAATTAAAATTTTCTTCTTATTTTTCTTCTATTTATCATATTTTTTTTTTAATTAAAAATAAAAAGGTTACTTAAAAAAAGCCCTTAAGCTTATTTATAATTTTTAGGAAAACCATCTAAAAGAAATCCTTTATTTTAACAATCAGGTAAAGAGAGCCGCCATTTGAAAATTTTAAAAACTAACTCTTCACTTAATTTTACCACTACTTTTGAAGAATCGAATTCAACTTCAGGCTCACCTTTAGATTTCTTTTTCTTTTTTTTCTCGTTTTCGAATTCTTGTAATGCTTTTTCAACTAATTCTTCTCTTTTTTCTTCCAAATATTTACGTACTTCATCTCCTAACTAACTATTTAAATTTTTAGCTTACTCAATTGCATATTATATTTAAATATGTGGAATATTAAATTTCTGACTTATTTTTTAACTTATGGTAGTCTTTCCAGAAGCAGGAGGACCATAAATAAATATCTTATTAGATCTTAAGCCTCTATATTCATTAAACTCTTTGTTTAATTTTCCAATATTAGCTACTAATCCATCCTTGTAATTCCATTCAAAGTCATTTTTAGCATATCTATCTTCAACTCCAGTAGTATAATTTTCTTCAGTAACTAATTCGGCTTAATATTCTGCACTTTCGAATATTTTACTAGGTTTTAATCTCAAATCAAGTGTAAAAATATCAAAATTTTCTACTTCTAAAGCTGCTTAAGAAATATCAATATGTTTTGTTTAGCCTGTTCCTATAGCTTTACTTATGGCTTGAACAATATTTGCTTATGAATTTTTAACACTATGATCTATTGCAAATATATATTATTATTATGGTGTTTTTCTATTATTTTTTTCACAAAATTTACTAAATCCTTTACGTGAATTGTTGGTATTCTGTTTTTTCCGTTTCCTATTATTTCAAGATCTGGTTTGTTCGAAACCCAAGCTTGCTTTTTTTATTTAATATTTGTTTATTTATTTTTTATATAAATTACTTTAAATAAACCATAAAATAAATCTTCACCATTTCCATATTTTATCCCTGAACATAAAACATAAGTTTTTAAATTAGATTTCACATTTCCTGCTTATAGACACATATTTTCTAATTATTTTTAAAATTCATATTATGGTAGAGGTCTTCGTAAAGTAAATTCCTTATCTGTATATTTAAAAATTTTTTTTTTTTAATTATCATCATCATCAAATAATTCATCATTATCACTTTTTATATCTTCTAAACCTTCTTCGTCTATTATTTATTCGTTATCTTTCTATTTTTTAATAATAAATTTATGATAAATAAAAAAATACTTTTTCTCTTATTTTTAATTATGTGTTTGACCATGTCATTACATTTGATATGTAAATAAGAATTTTATCTTCTTTAAATTAACCCATTTTTAAAACTATTTTTTATTTTATAACAAACTATATTTGTAACTTAATGTTTTATTATTTACTTTTTATTATAAATTCGGCTTCATCTAAGTCACAATTACTTAAATCATATATAATAACATCACATTCAAGAATTATTTTTGTAAATTATGATATTTTCTCTGTCTATTTTTTAACTCAAAATAAAGAATATAACATAATTTTTTACATCAATTATTTTATAAATTCCTCTTGGAATTTCATTTTATTCTTGTTTATCCAAAGAGCCTAAAATCAAATGAGGGTTTTCATCATTTTCGTGATCGTTTCTCAATGATTCAACTAATGCTTAACCTACTACAGTGTTTATATTGTTAATGAAGAATTTATGTTGTTTTTATATTATCTGTTTTTTATCTGTCCCTGTTTTTTTTGTTATTTGTGATTCTGTCATTATTTTTTAAATATATGTTTTATTTAAATACAATTTATTTGCTTATTATATTATTTTTTATTTATTTTTATAACCGATCAACTAATATAATAGCTTTAAATTATTTATAATTTATTATTAAATAAATTATTATATCATTTTTAATAATAAATAAAAATAGAATTTTTAATATGTATATTTTAATGAATTGAATATTTCTTCATATTTTTTATTTTTTTTCGAATATATTTAAAATCGCTGTTTAATAATTTAAATAACAATAATTTTTATATTTATCAAATTAATTTTAAAATTTTTAATTTAGTTTATGATTTATAGTTGTTTTACTTTTTTAATTAAATATTTATTTTCAATAAAACAATTATAAGAAAATAAATCATGTAAGAACTTTATTATGAATATGATAATTATATTTGGAGAAAAAAAGACAAATTAGGTTAAGGTACATTTGGGACTGTATATAAATGCAAGAATAAGAAATCAAATGAAATATTAGCTGTGAAAGTTTTTAGTAAAAAATTAATTTTTTAATCTGATTTAAATAAGATAATGAATGAGATCGAGATTATGAAATAATTAAATTCGTAAAATATTAGTAATACATTATATTTTAAATAACATATACAATAATAAAAAGTTAAACTTATTGATTATCATCTAGGAGAATAAGGGAAAAAATACTTATTTGTAAAATATTGTGAAGGTGGAAATTTAAGAAAGTACATTTAAAAAAAAGGTAAAGAAAAAATAATTTTAGACAATTTAAATTATATACAATAAGTTAGGAGGTAAACTTAAAGAAGAAGAAGTAATTAGCATTTTAAGATAATTAGTTAATGGATTTTAAGAATTAATAAAAAAATATATATTACATAGAGATATTAAACCTGAAAATATTTTAATTATGAATGGAGTTTTCAAAATATGTGATTTTGGTCTTGCATAATATTAATGGAAAATAAAAGATGAGGGATTAAGTAGGGACATAATTATATATGTCCCCAAAAATATTAGATAATTAGATTTATACTTCTAAAAGTGATGTTTGGTCAATAGGTTTAATTGTATTTGAAATAGTTTTTTCAAAAACGTATTTAATATTTTTAAATATAGTTAAACCATTGTTTTTAAAAAAGTCCGTGGCCTTCTAGAGATTTCTTCGCTTATTATCAAAATGTTATTAATGTGCCTTTAAGATTTCCTTATATAAAACCAATAAACTTATAAACCAAATAATTTATTATTATTTGTCTTCAGATAAAAGAAAAAATAGAATTGGATGAGATGAGATTATTATAATACAAATAATTTAATTAATATTTTTTTATTTTTAAAAAATTAAGATTTTTTAACATCCATTAATAGCTGTTTCGAAAATATATCCTGTTGAAGAACCTATATTAAAATTAGAGAAAGAAGACAAATTAATATTATATTCTTTATAATAATCAATTAAGTTTAAGAAAATATAAATAGAAGATGATTAAGAAGAAGTGGATTAAAAAAACTTTAATAAATTACTTTCTAAAATTGAATATTCTTTGACTTCATTGGATTCAAATCATTTATATGCATTATTAAGTAAGAATATATAAATCTAATATTATATATATATATATATATATATATATATATATATATATATATATATATATATTTAAATATATATATATATTAGATTAAAAATAATATTAAAATAAAGTCAATTTAATATAAATCGATGATATTTTTAATAAATTTGATATTAGTGATGTAGATGATATTGCATAAAACATTTTTAACGATTTGAAAGGAATAATACATTTTAATAATATAAATATAAACTTAATATTTCAAAACATTAACTCCTAAAAAAATGATATTTTAAACTTTTAAGAATTCTAATAATTAATAAAGGTATAGCTCCTGCTTTACCTTAATATGAGATGGAAAAATGTTTTAGTAAATTTGATTAAAATAATCATAAACTATTTACTTTTGAAGAATTCTAAAATATTTTATCTTATGAAATAAACTAAAGTATTAATTCTAAAAAGAAAACTCATAAAATTATTACAGAATTGAAAAATACTTTATAATAAAACAAAATTGATATAAAAGTTCTTTATAAAAATATGAAATAAAATAATGAAAATTATTTAGATTATACATATTAAGTAAGCTAATTCTAATTATTAATAAAAATGTTTTGGAAGAAGAAATTTAATCTATATTTTAAATTTTTGATAAAAATAATGATGGGAAAGTTAATTAAAGTGAATTTATTATTTTATTGGAGTGATAATTAAAATAACTTTATTCAAAAACAAAAAAAAACAAAATTATATTTTTTTATTTAACAATCTATGTATTTATTATTAATTAATTAAATTTAATATTTTAAGCAATATGAAAATAATAAAATATATTATAAAATAAATAAAATATTGAAAAATCGTATTTATTATAAAATTTTATTTAAAACAATTCATTATATATGCATATATTTTTAATTTAAAAAAAAAAATCATTTGTAAAATTTAAAGAAGTAATATATACTAAAATGAATGTATAAAATAACAAATAAGTGGATTTATTTAAATTGTTTTTTTTTTAATTTAAAAAAGCTAAACATTTTTTAAGGTAGATAAATGGCAAGAAAAGAAAGCATTTAAAGAATTACAGCTTTAGACTAAATATCAATATACGACGAATCATAATGGGTAGTGTCAATTTTTTTTTTATTTTATGAAAAATGGAAAAAAAGGATGAAAAATATGCTTTTATATAAAAGATTATAGAATAAAGAGAAATTTAATTGTGCAATAAATATAATTAAATAATTGACAAACTTAAATTTAAATTATAAGAATTACAATAAATAATGGAATAAGAAACTTAAAAGTAAAGTTTAAACGAATAAAATTAAATCTAATATATAAAAGAAGCTCATTAATGCATTTATAATTGTTTTACTGAAGATGAAAACTGTGAAAACATCTCAGATAATTAATTAAGACTAAAAAATATAAATAGTTTATTATAAAATATATAAATATTAAAATTTATTATTAAATAAAATGTTATCTTAATATATATATATTTATTTAGAAAATCAGGAAAAGGAATTAGAAAGATTCAAAAACATATGCCTAAAATTGTAATAAGAATAAGAAAAATAAAATAATATAATAATTCAAAATAACAAAAATGTATTTAATATAAAATATTTATATATATATATATAATAAAACAATAATATGAATACTTATATAATTATTAGTTTTTAAATTCTTTGATATAAATAGAGTAATAATTGCTTGAAATATAATGTAAAGATGTATAATGCTACATATTGAAAGTAATTGAACTTACACAAAAATAAAAAAATATCATAAATGAAAGTAATAAATTAGCATAATAAAATATAAATGAAATCGTATTAAATGAGACAAAAGAAGAAAATAAAATTAAATAGTGTTAATTAATTTGTTAAAATAAATTTATAGAATAATAAAATTAAAATTAGGCATTGCAATAATAAATAGAAAGTTTATAATAATAATTATCATAAAATAATTCTAAAAATTTAAATCTATATGATGAAAATTTATAGCAGATTTAAAATTGCAATAATATAGGAGAATTAAAAGACAATTTTTTACATGTTTATAAATAATTGAAAGACGAACTTGACTATACTAAATAAACTGCAATAAATTGTAAAATATAATTAGCTGAAATTCTAACAGATAACGATAAAGTAAAATTCAAACAAAACTAACTTTAAAAAAAAAACAATACTTAATGAAATATAATATAATAAGAAATAAAAAATATTAAACAAATTTGAATAAATTATAAATTAAAATAAATTTTTTGATTTTTATTTATTTAATTATATTTATTTTTTATATTTTTATCAAATTATTATAATTATCTATTTTTATTATTGCATTTATATTTAAATTAAATTATATTTTATCAATTATTAATAATATTTGAGTAATATAATAAAATCTGTTTTTTAGTTCATTTTAATTTTTTTTTTTTTTTTTTATCTTTCTTTTGTTTCTTAATCTTTTTTTTTACAGAACTTTTTGAATCATATGAAGACTTTCTTTATTTTTTCTAATGTTTTTCTGGTTAATTATTGTATTGCTAACCATTAAAATCATTTTCCGGAATGATCTTATAATTCTATTCTTAAAAATTAAAATTGTTTCCTATATTATTTTTCATTTACATTTTTTATTTATCGAAACATAGTTATTTTGCTTATTTTGTGTATTAAAATTTCATTTGTTCATCATATTTTTTTTAAACTTTCTCTAAATATTTTTTAGCTAATTCATTATCAGAATCAAGCTACAAGCTTTTTTTATATTCAATTATTCCTTCTTTATATTTTCCCTTTTACAAAATATAAAAATTAAAAAATATTTTTAGATTAACAAAAATACTAAATTTGCTAAGGCACATCCTTTAGTAATATAAATTTAAGGTATATATGGATCAAAGGATAAAGCAGTATTTAAATGTTCTATTGCTTATTAAGGTTTATCTTAATTTATAAGTTAAGCCGCTTCTCTAAGAGATATATTGGCCCATTCATGATTTTAGATTTCTCTAATACTAAATAAAATTTTAAAAAATATAAAAAAAAAATATAAATTAAAACCTTCTATAGTCAATTTAACATATCAAAAATATTTCCTTATTAATAAAATGATCATTTAATGATTTGTATTCATTTAAACCTAATTTTTTTATTAAGAGTTCTTTATTTGCCTTAGGAATAAAAAAAGAAAAAAAAAATGATGAAAAAATAATATATATATATAAACAACTATATTTTTAATGTAGTTATTTCTCTTTATTTAAACATCATAAGGAAATATTCCAAATTAATATAAATATAAAAGCTCATCTTCAGTTACTTTTATATTATTAGTATAAATATGACCTAATCGAACAAATTAATCGTTATTAGAATCATATGTTGAAGGATCTAATATATTTTATACTGAAAGAAATTTTAAGTTTTATATTATTTCGTTTTTAGAACTCATTTATAAATATATTTCGTTTTCTATATATTAATTTAAATTTTTGTTATTATAAAAATTATTCTTTGTTGTCACTGCAAATATTTCATCTCCTTCTGTTATTGTTTCAAAATTATAATCTTTACTAAAAACATTAAAATATTCAATCTAATAGTTATAAAATATATTAATTCATAATTGTTAAAAAAAATTTATTTTGATATATATTTTATTTTATATTAATAACTATAATTATAATGTTTATATTGCCTTTTTTTATTATTATTATTTTTTATTTTCAAAACTCAATCAAAAAATATTAATATGAGAGAAAAGTCTATAATTAATAAAAAAAATTTGATTGAGTTTTTAAAATTAATTAAAAATAAAATAAAAATAAATATACATAAGTATTATTTATTTTATAAATTTATTTATATTTATTAAAAAAATTACAATATCTGCTTCTTTTATTATAGCTTTTATTTTATACTAATAAATATATTTTAATTCTTTTAATTCTCTATGTTTTTGATTTAAAAGTAGAATTTGGTTTATTTTTAGATTCATATCACATATTGATTAAAACTTACTTAAAATAACTATTATTTGCCTATTTTTTAAATCTTTTTTTGTTACAATACATTAAAAAATGCTTCCTTCAACTAAAGCTTACATTAATTAACTATGCTGAATCATTTAATTATCAATCCTTAAAATATTTATTTATGATAGTATTTAAAACTATTAATTTTAATCCAATATATGTTATATCTATTGAATGAAAAAATAATTTTTAATAATGAATTAATTTTATAAAAATACTTATTATTAATTCAAATTATTTTTGTTATTGTTTTCTTGCTTATTAGTATTTAATCTAAAAAAGCATTTTTGCATTAATGATTATTTCAAATTTAAAATTCTCTATTCTGCTTATTATTAATTTGCATTAATCATTTATAAATAATTAAAAAAAAAAAATATTAAATATATATAAAAATATAATATTTTA